TTGTTGCTATAATAACCACTTTGCAACACACACATAGGCCTACTTGTGGGTAGTTAGGAACTATTCCCTTTTGATTTTAAAAGTGAATAGAAAAGGCTCTTATAAGGTCTTCCGTTACGCCTACCAATTCTGGAGATGAGGCGGCACCTGTTGCTACACAGGCATAGTCTATAAAGCACAACTTTGTACAGGTGGATGGATAGGCTACTGTGAAGGAAAGGATGAACACAGCTCTGTAGTAGCTATCGCTATACACCATAACATGTTGTTCACGCAATATATTATGAGCTGAGGGATGCACCCTGCTCAGGTGCCAGTGTTTGTTCAGCAACATAATTATCAGGTCTAGTTCCAAAATGGATTCTTGCTCACCTACTAGACTGTATACCAAGTGATAGTTTGTGGTCAAGTGTACAAGGGGACTCAAAGATATCCTAAACATCAGTACTACACCCACCTTGGCCTTTACTCACAGCTCCAGTCCATATGGCACAATCCATACATTTCATATTAGGTAGGCCTTTAAAGTGCCACTCCTGCAGGAATGAGGGGGATGGACTTTGCAAGTGTACAGAGGACTATTTGAAGTAAATGGAATGTATGGGTGTCTGTTTTCTTTCAAGTATAATTCATTGTGTACATCTTCCCCCCACGGGAAACAAATTAATCTCAATTGTATACTCCTCACATCCTCTTCTTTCCTCCTTCTAAAAACCCATTTGAGGAGAAGGTCAGAGGGGCGGGACCTCTGATTTCTTATCCAATGGGTATTGAGAAGGAGGCAAGGAGAGAGGACGCTAGGAGTATGCAATTGAGATTCTCCCATAGAAATACTATCCTGCTATGCTGAATCCTCATGCAACTGAGTGGAGTTATTCTATCAAGAAGGGACAGGACAAAACAGCAGGTAAAACAATTATTTTAAATATACTTTTTTTATCCAAAACATGGTCAAACCTGAAAATACACATCTGTATGTGTTGAAAACACCATGGGGACAACAGGATAAAAGTCACCCAGGAGTAGAAAGCACATAATGGACGCTGCCACAGACTGATAAGGTGAACCAGTGACTATTTCATAGTAAGACCTCGACAAGGAAATGGTTCTGCTTTATTTACAGTGAATACAAAAATAAGGCCTTACTTACAGAGAGACATCCATGTCCTGGGTGAGTAGTAAGGAGGAGACTGCACTGAACCAATAGTCTACGTCAGAAATGGCACCCAATTCCTTATGGTGCACTACTTAGGCACTGTATTTCCCTATACAGTGCCCTTGTTTTGACCAGGGCACGCATAGACAGTTGAAGTCGGAAGTTTACATACACTTAGGTTGGAGTCATTAAAACTCGTTTTTCAACCACTCCACAAATTTCTTGCTAACAAACTATAGTTTTGGCAAGTCGGTTAGGACATCTACTTTGTGCATGACACAAGTAATTTTTCCAACAATTGTTTACAGACAGATTATTTCACTTGTAATTCATTGTATCACAATTCCAGTGGGTCAGAGGTTTACATACACTAAGTTGACTGTGCCTTTAAACAGCTTGGAAAATTCCAGAAAATTATGTCATGGCTTTAGAAGCTTCTGATAGGCTAATTGACATCATTTGAGTCAATTGGAGGTGTACCTGTGGATGTATTTCAAGGCCTACCTTCAAACTCAGTGCATATTTGCTTGACATCATGGGAAAATCTAAAGAAATCAGCCAAGACCTCCGAAAAAATTTTTTGTAGACCTTCACAAGTCTGGTTCATCCTTGGGAGCAATTTCCAAACGCCTGAAGGTACCACGTTCATCTGTACAAACAATAGTACGCAAGTATAAACACCATGGGACCACGCAGCCGTCATACCGCTCAGGAAGGAGATGCGTTCTGTCTCCTAGAGATGAACGTACTTTGGTGCGAAAAGCGCAAATCAATCCCAGAACAACAGCAAAGGCCCTTGTGAAGATGCTGTAGGAAACAGGTACAAAAGAAAAGCAACATCTCAAGACATCAGTCAGGAAGTTAAAGCTTGGTCGCAAATGGGTATTCCAAATGGACAATGACCCCAAGCATACTTCCAAAGTTGTGGCAAAACAGCTTAAGGACAACAAAGTCAAGGTATTGGAGTGGCCATCACTAAGCCCTGACCTCAATCCTATAGAAAATATGTGGGCAGAACTGAAAAAGCGTGTGCGAGCAAGGAGGCCTACAAACCTGACTCAGTTACACCAGCTCTGTCAGGAGGAATGGGCCAAAATTCACCTAAATTATTGTGGGAAGCTTGTGGAAGACTACCCGAAATGTTTGACCCAAGTTAAACAATTTAAAGGCAATGCTACCAAATACTAATTGTATGTATGTAAACTTCTTACCCACTGGGAATGTGATGAAATAAATAAAAGCTGAAATAAATAATTCTCTCTACTATTATTCTGACATTTCACATTCTTAAAATAAGGTGGTGATCCTAACTGACCTAAGACAGGGAATTCTTACTAGGATTACATGTCAGGAATTGTGAAAAACTGAGTTAAAAATGTATTTGGCTAAGGTGTATGTAAACTTCCAACTTTAACTGTAGGGCATTGGTCAAAGTAGTGCACTCTAGGGAACAGCGTGCCATTTCAGACCAACACGTAGGGAAGATCTCAATTGCATACTCCTCGTGTCCTCTCTCCTGCCGTTATTCTCAAAACCCATTGGAGGAGAAGATGGGCGGGACCTCTGGCTTTTTTATCCAATGGGTTTTAAGAAGGAGACGAGGACGCGAGTAGTATGCAACTGAAATCTTCCCATAGTGTACTGCTACTCCCCATAAACTTGCAATCGAATTCAACTGCCTCTGAGGCAGTTGAATTCGATGGCATCTTTGCTGTTCCACACTCAGTAAAAATAGTGAGGAGAGGAAGAGAAGCAAAGTTAACATTCAGGAATAATACCTAGTCAGTCACGTGCCATTTGTTTACCTAAATGACTGGAGAGGGGCATTGGTGGCTCCTGACCTGACCAACCAGTAGAGTAGTGCACACATTTTCAGTGATCGATCAGTAACTTATAATTGATGAGTTATAAACTGATATTAACCAGCAGGCTCCGGACCTCATAGGGTAAGAGTTGAATACCCCTGGCCTACACTGTAGCCTACACCTACAGCACACTGGTTTATAGAGGGGATTGGAGTCACAAGGAATACAGGCCTAGTCTTCATATTTACTGTTGTTGACAAAACACCTTTACAAATATATACACTGCCTAGTTCAAGTCTACACACCCCTTGCACAGTCTTCGCATTTTGCAGCCTTACAATTCAATCTAAAAAGGGAATACATTAGATTTTTTCCTACCGATCTACAAAACCTTTGACATTTTCAAAGTGAAAGAAAATGATAGAACATTTTCCAAATTCATTACAAATTAAAAAAACGAAGTTGTCTTGATTGTGCGTGTCTTCACACCACAGAATTCATACTTGGTGGGAAGCAAATATCTATATAAATAGAAGTAGATTAACAATCTGGGCATACGAGAAAAAGTGCAAAAGAGAGGGATCTTAAAAAGTATTATTCTACATTCAGGCAACCACTGAATAGACTCCCCTATCTATGCAACAGTAGGGGCACTATCACTGTTCTGAAATATGCATCTAAATAATCTAAAGTAACTTCCTATCACAAGGACTCGCTAGACGGAAGTCAAATTCCTGGCTGGCAACCACCACATTGCTTTAACTCCTCCTCTATCTTTCCTAATCTGAAAATGAAGGTGGAGACGAGGAGAAGACACTTTAGACTATTGAGATGCAGCCCATGCGGTTACATCACTGTAGTGTCTATCACTGACAGAACAGAAGAACACACTGCAGTGGAACCAGCAGTATTAAAGAAGTTGGCTAGTACCATATGTACATTTCTGTAATGTACATATCAATCAAGCAGATATACAGATCTGTCAAAGACCAATGGAAGAGAAAGAAGTTATGTTGAAAGGTAGAAACATTGGAAGAAGTGTGAAAAGGGAGAACCACAGGCAAAAAGGACCCTTACAAATACTAACATCGTATTAAGAGCGCACTGTACGTGCACACGTCACCTAGCGGGTAAAACACTTTAGCTTTAGTAAGGGGAGATTAATAATGAATACAAAAATAATACAATATATGTACACATTTTCAACAATAACTCTATGATAATAATAATACTTTTAAAATGTACATACAAATATAATTTTGCTCAATGTTTGTAGCTCTACTCTGGTCAGTAAGAAAATTATTAAGAAATTATAAATTATTATACATTAAAAAAATCCAACACCATCGTTTTTCCATTTAGGGTGTAGGTCCTGACACTCTCTGTGTTGCAACATTTGAGACGAAGAATAAAAACAATCCTCGATAACCTGAATTCTTCCTATTTTGAAAGACATTTCATGAAAAAGTGTCAGTATAAAGTCTTCCCTTGTGTGACAAGACAGGTTGTTGTGTAGCCTCTGGAGTCCAGGAGGAGAGTAAGTGCACTTTGAACACAGGCATGCTGGAGAGAAGGGTGTGTGGTGAGGAGGGGATGTCTGCTGGGGCTGTCAAGACAGGTCTGTCTGAGGAAGTTTTTGGACATGGGAATTCCTTCCTGGCCACCTGACCACACAGGAACGGGAAGCTACAACAACAAAACCAACTGATTGGTTGATAAATGTCTAAATGCATGAGAGGGCAGTTTGTGATGATGAGTGTCTTGATTTGAGTGTTTCACCCTGTAACCATGGAGACTACCTCTGTGTGGGCGGGGTTGTGGGAGGAACCACACATCCTAATATGGGATGGGCAGTGTGAGAGGAGGAGCCAAATCATTCTGACCCACCAATGACTCCAAGTCCCAGAACCCCTCCTGGATACAGGTGCAGAGCTGAGTGACATCACTGTTAAGAGGGCAGGGCCCAGTGGTATGACATTGGGTTAAAGGTCACAGATACTAGTCCATGCAGCTGCCCAACATTCTGTCCATGTCTCCTGTTATTGTCTATGATGCATCTTGGACTGCAAGAGGAAAGAGAGACACAGGGGGAGAGGAAGAGCAGGGGGAGAGCAAGAAAGGGAGAGAAAGAAAGAATCAAGTTGACTGTCAAGCTCAACACATATCCTAAAACGACATCAATCTGTATAATCCATGACAGTAAAAATAAATATGAGGCAGGCTATTTTTATTTGAGCCAAGCTAACTTCAGCTGTCAAGTGAGGTGAATTACCAGTTGGGTTACCATGTGAGTAACCAGGTGATTTAGAAGGTGTGTTTACCTGTCGAGGTGACTCTGGGCCTGAGGCCAGAAGTCCAGTGCTGTTCCTCCTGAAGAGACCGTCCAGCCCTGCTGCTGCTTTGGCCATCTTACTGGGCTTCCCTCCTCCTCCGTATGCACTGGGGCTCCTCCTCCTTCTCCCCTCCACCCCTCCTCCGTAGGCCAGGGGGCTGGGGGGAGGCAGGGGACTGGGAGGAGGGGGCAAGGGTCTGGGGTGGTAGGGTGTGGTGGTGGTTGGGTCAGGGTTGGAGTACGAGTCCTCAGCGCTGACCCCCACCTCACTGGCACTGTGTCCTAAGGTCTTTCTCCTACCAGAGCTGAGCATGGGGGTGGGAGTCAGAGTGTGGTAGCTGCTGCTGTTCCCCCTAAGAGTGTCAGAACTAGGTGGAAGGGTGGTCCTCCTCTTCTTGGCTGCGCCACCAGTGGCCCCTGGGGGCCTGATGGGTTTGGTGGTAGTGCCGTTACGGGGTTTCCCTAGGGCGGAGACAGGGGCCAGGGGCTGGGAGGGGTCCCTGATGCCAAACAACCCTGCTGCTGATGCATCCTGGGGGAAGGTTGTGGAGTGGGACCCAAGGGAGAAGGCTCCATTGGTGAAGGGAGGAAAGGAGGGGGAGGAGAGGCGGGGAAGAGGGGTGAGAGAGCTGGGGGAGGGAGTGCTGATAGGAGGGCTCCCGAGGGAGAGAGGGCTCTCAGCAGCCAGGGGCACCTTTCTGTAACACAGCAGAGGACAGAGACAGGCAGAGCGTTAAGAAAACCAGAGCCAAAATGAAATACTGACCCATAGATTTACAGGGGTTCAGAGACATTTCTGTCTAGAATATGAGCTAGCTGCTGATGTCCTACGCCAGAGCCACATCAGATCCAGGTCATACTAACATCCGCCATTCCACACCTATTAATAGGGTCTATGAGTCTCTGTGTGTCTTCCCTAGACAGCTGAACTCACTTTCTCCATAGAGCATCTCAAAAGTCTAAAGCTGGATGTAAATACATTAGAGTTGGGCCGAGAGCCCCAGATCCCGACACCTCAATTTTCCCCAAAATGGGCTGGCAAATCATTTATACTGGTACAATTAATACATGCACACACTTTCCTCACCTCCACATCTGAGTGTTGACATGTTTCTCCACCATACAGTGTAACGCCAGCCTCATCTTGTCCCACCGCCGGTCAAACACATAGTGACCACGCCCCATCAGCCTGCTGCTGAATGCACAGCACTGAGACACGGAGGGATGGGTTAAAACAGTCAGAAAAAAGATATCAAATCAGCCTGTATGGACGGCCTCAAGCTAGGGGTGTAACGGTTCACCAAATCCACGGTTCGGCACGTATTGAGGTTTTGGGGTCATGGTTCGGTTCGGTTTCGGGACAGCGGGAAGTTTAAATGCCATTCACAATGTTCAGCATTCACAATGTTCCTGGCATTCTGTTGTGACAGGATTGTTATGTTGGGCCTCAGGTTTCCACTCTGATGCTGCATTTGTAACCATGTGGGAGGTGGGAATTTACCAGTTGTGAAGTTGTAAATACCAGTTGGATGCATTCATGTGATTTGAACTCATCGAGAAACGCAAATGGGCTAATGGCCCACAAGCTGTGTCAACCCTAAACTAAAAGTACAGCTATTATACAGTTAAAAATAACATTAATAGATTGCGTTTTATAAATAATGTTTTGTTGTTGCATTTAACTGCAGAAAATGCTGTTATAGTGGCCATTTCCTTAGTAGGTGACGTCAGAGGTCAGTATGTGGGAGAAGTGGGAGCTCAGGATGACAGAAGAGTTTCCCACTAGTAATTACCAGTTGGAGGGCCGTTCGAGGGGATTTTTCCCAGTAGTATGTGGTAAATTCTCACTTCCATCTTGGTAATGAACACACCATCACACTGCATCCTTCAGTGCCAGATGCGCACTTGTGACTCTCATAAAGCGGGCATGTCTGTAGCACGGTACATCTCCCACTCCAGGGTAATGTGATCAATGCTGTCACTTAAGTAAGCGCAACACAGGGTGCATTGGCTAATTAATTGAAAACTTTGGCTTTGGCTTGCTTATATACAGTGCATTTGGAAAGTATTCAGACCCCTTGACTTCTTCCACATTTTGTTGCGTTACAGCCTTATTTTAAAATGGATGAAATTGTTTTTTCCCCTCATCAATCTACACACAATACCCCATAATGACAAAGCAAAAACAGGTTTTTATACATTTTTGCATATGTATAAAATATAAAAATCTGAAATATAACATTTACATAAGTATTCAGACCCTTTACTCAGTATTTTGTTGAAGCACCTTTGGCAGCGATTACAGCCTCAAGTCTTCTTGGGTATGAAGCTACAAGCTTGGCACAGCTGTATTTGGGGAGTTTCTCCCATTCTTCTCTGCAGATCCTCTCATTATTCTCTGCAGATCCTCTCAAGCCCTGTCAGATTGAATGGGGAGCGTTGATGCACAGCTATTTTCAGGTCTCTCCAGAGACGTTTGAACAAGTTCAAGTCCAGGCTCTGGCTGGGCCCCTCAAGGACATTCAGAGACTTGTCCCGAAGCCACTCCTGCGTTGTCTTGGCTGTGTGCTTAGGGTCGTTGTCCTGTTGGAAGGTGAACCTTCGCCCCAGTCTGAGGTCCTGAGCGTTCTGGAGCAGGTTTTCATCAAGGATCTCTCTGTACCTTTCTCCGTTCATCTTTGCCTCGATCCTGACTAGTCTCCCAGTCCCTGCCGCTGAAAAACATCCCCACAGCATGATGTTGCCATCACCATGCTTCACTGTAGGGATGGTGCCAGGTTTCCTCCAGACGCGACTCTTGGCATTCAGGCCAAAGAGTTCAAGCTTGGTTTCATCAGACCAGAGAATCTTGTTTCACATGGTCTGAGAGTCTTAAAATGCCTTTTGGCAAACTCCAAGCGGGCTGTCATGTGGCTTCCATCTGACCACTCTACCATAAAAGGCCTTATTGATGGAGTGCTGCAGAGATGGTTGTCCTTCTGGAAGGTTCTCCCATCTCCACAGAGGAACTCTAGAGCTCTGTCAGAGTGACCGTCGGGTTCTTGGTCACTTCCCTGACCAAGGCCATTCTCCCCCGATTGCTCAGTTTGGCCGGGCGGCCAGTTCTAGGAAGAGTCTTGGTGGTCCCAAATTTCATCCATTTAAGAATGATGGAGGCCACTGTGTTCTTGGGGACCTTCAATGCTGCAGACATTTATTGGCACCATTCCCCAGATCTGTGCCTCGACACAATCCTATCTCGGAGCTCTATGGACAATTCCTTCGACCTCATGGCTTGGTTTTATGCTCTGACATGCACTGTGGGACCTTAAATAGACAGGTGTGTGCCTTTTCAAATCATGTCCGATCAATTGAATTGACCACAGGTGGACTCCAATCAAGTTGTAGAAACATCTCAAGGATGGTCAATGGAAACAGGATGCACCGGAGCTCAATTTCGAGTCCCATAGCAAAGGGTCTGAATACTTATGTAAATTACGTATCTGTTTTTTTATTTTTAATAAAATTGCAAACATTTCAAAAGAAATGTTCTCGCTTTGTCATTGAGGTATTGTGTGTAGATTGCTGAGGATTATAAAAAATAAAAAATAAATTTTAGAGTAAAGCTGTAACGTAACAAAATGTGGAAAAGTCAAGGGGTCTAATACGTTCCAAAATCACTGTAGAGCGGATACTACCTATTTGCTGAAATGGGTCAACAGTAAATGGGTGCAAGAGGGAAATTTGTAACATGGCTCGAGCACTTTCACAAGGTGATGCCTGAAACCCCCTATTCTCAACCACCGAGCATAGGCACATTTATGCGGTTATAAACCACAACTCTATGTCCATCACTGTTGTAATCTTTGGGAAGCCAAAATGTTTCCAAACTGGAGATTTAAACGATGGAGGAGGATCCTCCAATTCTGGTTTATCGACCCCACCATAGAACTAGTTCCCGGCTGCGCCTCACAAAAGGACAGTTTGAAATCGGCAATTAAGATATTAATTTTGATTAACGTGCGCATAGGCTCTAGTTGTTTTAATGCAATAGCCTGAAATATTTTTTTTAACTCAAATTTACTCAAGAGGCGAAAGCCTACAATGCAGTGTAGGCATAGCCTATAGGCCTAGGTTATTTTTAATGTATTCATTCGTGTTCACAGTGCGGACCGAACAGAGGTCTCCGTACCAAATGGTTCAGTACGAATGTGTATTGTTACACCACTACTTCAAGCAGTATGATGACATGGCAATAGCTCCGAAGTCATTATTAAGGCATAGCTCTATAGCATTATCATTAGGCAGTCCGGCTGAGGTTTCCACCATATTGCTTACACAATCAAATCTCTACAAAGAGTGTGGGGGAAAGGGTAGAGCTGGGCGATATGGACATAAAGTCATATCACAATAAATTTACCCATTTTGTTCGATAACCACTTTTTTTTTACTTTCCATTAGCGGCAGGGATCTAGACTGATTTTTCCAGTGCCAAGTAAGACATGAAAGAAGTTAGCTATTTCCTCTAACATGTTCAGGGAATGCATGATAGATATTTTGATGTAGAGATTAATTTGCCGGGCCTCCCGAGTGGCGCAGTGGTCTAGTAGCTGTGCCACTAGAGATCCTGGTTCGAATCCAGACTCTGTCGCAGCCGGCCGCGACCGGGAGACCCATGGGGCGGCGCACAATTGGCCCAGCGTCCAGGGTAGGGGAGGGTTTGGCCGGCAGGGATGTTCTTGTCCCATCGCGCACTAGCGACTCCTGTGGCGGGCCGGGCGCAGTGCACGCTGACTCGGTTGCCAGGTGTACGGTGTTTCCTCCGACACATTGGTGCGGCTGGCTTCTGGGTTAAGCGGGCACTGTGTCAAGAAGCAGTGTGGCTCAGTTGGGTTGTGTTTTGGAGGACGCACGACTCTCGACCTTCACCTCTACCATGTCCGTACGGGAGTTGCAGCGATGGGACAAGACTGTAACTACCAATTGGATACCACAAAATTGGGGAGAAAAAAAAGTATAACATTTTTAAAAATTCAACAAAAAATTAACAACAACAAAATAAAATAATAATAATAATAATAATATGCCATTTAGCAGACGCTTTTATCCAAAGCGACTTACAGTCATGCGTGCATACATTTTTACGTATGGGTGGTCCCGGGGATCGAACCCACTACCATGGCGTTACAAGCGCCGTGCTCTACCAGCTGAGCTACAGAGGACCAGATTAATTTGCCTGAATCTTTTTTGTGTGCATATGATACAATCTACCACATGAGGAAGTGGGAACTCAAAACACATTAGCTATATTGCTAACTCTAAAAATATGATGTTGTTGCTAGATAGCCATGTAATTGATCGAACAGTAAATGTAATGTCCAACAAAAAACTTTCCATTGGTAGGCATCAATAGACTACTTGATTTATTCACTGCAAATGGCCGTTCCGCCAGCGCATCATCTCAACTACATACTCTGTTTGTAAAGTGGTGTTATTTCCTCAAAATTGAAAGTTGAGAAACAAAAAATATGCTCACATAAAGCTGAGAATCTCCAATATTTTTTTACAACAGTAAAATTAGTTTAAAAAATACATTGTTTTTCCCCAATTACATTTAGAAATGTTGCTCAATGGTTGTATGCTTGCGCTTATCAGAATGCATCTGTCCATTCACTTGGTACGCAAAGTGGGGAGAGGGAGTGAGACCGGGCAGCGAAACAGGGACAGGGAAGATACTGTACTTTCATTGCAAATTGCAGGTTAATGCACATTACTGTTGACAAAATAATGGTTTTAGAACAAAAACATCTACAGGAACGTTGTGTAGCATAATAACCGAAAATTACAGATGTAACCAAAATGCTTCGGTAAGAGGGCAATGTCGGTGTCGGTTTATCTTCCCAGCTCTAGGGAAGGGGCTTAGGGTTGATTTCAGTTTGGGTGTTAGACTGAGAGATAAGGGAACACTTTATAAAGGATTTACAAGTAGTTTATCAACCGTTTATTTGTTTATAAATATTTTAGAAGGAGCTGAAATTGAGTGATTACTTACAAACCCTTCGTAAACAATTATACATATTTTTGCGCATAGCTACCTTAATATTAAGTGTTGGGTAGACAGGTACAGAGACAGGTACAAGGCACTTCACCCAAATTGCTCCTGTAAGTCACCCTGGATAAGAGTGTCTGCTAAATGACTCAAATGTAAATGTAGATACAGGTACAGGTAAAGTTGAAGTCGGAAGTTTACATACACTTAGGTTGGAGTCATTAAAACTCGTTTTTCAACCACTCCACAAATTTCTTGTTAACAAACTAGTTTTGGCAAGTCGGTTAGGACATGTACTTTGTGCGTGACACAAGTAATTTTTCCAACAATTGTTTACAGACAGATGATGTCACTTATAATTCACTGTATCACAATTCCAGTGGGTCAGAAGTGTACATACACTAAGTTGACTGTGCCTTTAAACAGCTTGGAAAATTCCAGAAAATGATGTTATGGCTTTAGAAGCCTCTGATAGGCTAATTGACATCATTTGAGTTAATTGGAGGTGTACCTGTGGATGTATTTGAAGGCCTACCTTCAAACTCAGTGCCTCTTTGCTTGACATCATGGGAAAATCCAAAGAAATTGTAGACCTCCACAAGTCTGGTTCATCCTTGGGAGCAATTTCCAAACGCACCACGTTCATCTCTACAAACAATACTACACAAGTATAAACAACATGGGACCACGCAGCCGTTATACCGCTCATGAAGGAGACGCGTTCTGTCTCCTAGAGATGAACGTACTTTGGTGCGAAAAGTGCAACTCAATCCCAGAACAACAGCAAAGGACCTTGTGAAGATGCTGGAGGAAACAGGTACAAAAGTATCTACAGTGAGGGAAAAAAGTATTTGATCCCCTGCTGATTTTGTACGTTTGCCCACTGACAAAGAAATGATCAGTCTATCATTTTAATGGTAGGTTTATTTGAACAGTGAGAGACAGAATAACAACAAAAAAATCCAGAAAAATGCATGTCAAAAATGTTATAATTTGATTTGCATTTTAATGAGGGAAATAAGTATTTGACCCCCTCTCAATCAGAAAGATTTCTGGCTCCCAGGTGTCTTTTATACAGGTAAAGATCTGAGATTAGGAGCACACTCTTAAAGGGAGTGCTCCTAATCTCCGTTTGTTACCTGTATAAAAGACACCTGTCCACAGAAGCAATCAATCAATCAGATTCCAAACTCTCCACCATGGCCAAGACCAAAGAGCTCTCCAAGGATGTCAGGGACAAGATTGTAGACCTACACAAGGCTGGAATGGGCTACAAGACCATCGCCAAGCAGCTTGGTGAGAAGGTGACAACAGTTGGTGCGATTATTCGCAAATGGAAAAAACACAAAATAACTGTCAATCTCCCTCGGCCTGGGGCTCCATGCAAGATCTCACCTCGTGGAGTTGCAATGATCATGAGAACGGTAAGGAATCAGCCCAGAACTACACGGGAGGATCTTGTCAATGATCTCAAGGCAGCTGGGACCATAGTCACCAAGAAAACAATTGGTAACACACTACTCCGTGATGTACTGAAATCCTGCAGTGCCCGCAAGGTCCCCCTGCTCAAGAAAGCACATATACCGGCCCATCTGAAGTTTGCCAATGAACATCTGAATGATTCAGAGGAGAACTAGGTGAAAATGTTGTGGTCAGATGAGACCAAAATGGAGCTCTTTGGCATCAACTCAACTCGCCATGTTTGGAGGAGGAGGAATGCTGCCAATGACCCCAAGAACACCATCCCCACCGTCAAACATGGAGGTGGAAACATTATGCTTTGGGGGTGTTTTTCTGCTAAGGGGACAGGACAACTTCACCGCATCAAAGGGACGATGGACGGGGCCATGTACCGTCAAATCTTGGGTGAGAACCTCCTACCCTCAGCTAGGGCATTGAAAATGGGTCATGGATGGGTATTCCAATATGACAATGACCCAAAACACACGGCCAAGGCAACAAAGGAGTGGCTCAAGAAGAAGCACATTAAGGTCCTGGAGTGGCCTAGCCAGTCTCCAGACCTTAATCCCATAGAAAATATGTGGAGGGAGCTGAAGGTTCGAGTTGCCAAACGTCAGCCTCGAAACCTTAATGAGTTGGAGAAGATCTGCAAAGAGGAGTGGGACAAAATCCCTCCTGAGAGTTGTGCAAACCTGGTGGCCAACTACAAGAAACGTCTGACCTCTGTGATAGCCAACAAGGGTTTTGCCACCAAGTACTAAGTCATGTTTTGCAGAGGGGTCAAATACTTATTTCCCTCATTAAAATGCAAATCAATTTATAACATTTTTGACATGCGTTTTTCTGGATTTTGTTGTTGTTATTCTGTCTCTCACTGTTCAAATAAACCTACCATTAAAATTATAGACTGATCATGTCTTTGTCAGTGGGCAAATGTACAAAATCAGCAGGGGATCAAATACTTTTTTCCCTCACTGTATATCCACAGTAAAACGAGTCCTATATCGACATAACCTGAAAGGCCGCTCAGCAAGGAAGAAGCCACTGCTCCAAAACCGCCATAAAAAAGCCAGAGTACAGTTTGCAACTGCACATGGGGACAAAGATCGTACTTTTTGGAGAAATGTCCTCTGGTCTGATGAAACAAAAATAGAACTGTTTGGCCATAATTACCATCGTTATGTTTGGAGGGAAAAGGGGGAAGCTTGCAAGCCGAAGAACACCATCCCAACCGTGAAGCACAGGGGTGGCAGCATCATGCTGTGGGGGTGCTTTGCTGCAGGAGGGACAGGTGCACTTCACAAAATAGATGGCCTCATTAGGAAGGAAAATGATGTGGATATATTGAATCTCAAGACATCAGTCAGGAAGTTAAAGCTTGGTCGCAAATGGGTCTTCCAAATGGACAATGACCCAAAGTTGTGGCAAAATGGCTGAAGGACAACAAAGTCAAGGTATTGGAGTGGCCATCACAAAGCCCTGACCTCAATCCTATAGAAAATGTGTGGGCAGAAATGAAAAAGCGTGTGCGAGCAAGGACGCCTACAAACCTGACTCAGTTACACCAGCTCTGTCAGGAGGAATGGGTCAAAATTCATCCAACTTATTGTAGGAAGCTTGTGGAAGGCTACCCGAAACGTTTGACCCAAGTTAAATAATTTAAAGGCAATGCTACCAAATACTAACTGAGTGTATGTAAACTTCTGACCCACTGGGAATGTTATGAAATAAATAAAAGCTGGTGATCCTAACTAACTTAAGACAGGGCATTTTTACTAGGATGAAATGTCAGGAATTGTGAAAAACTGAGTTTAAATGTATTTGGCTAAGGTGTATGTAAACTTCCGACTTCAACTGTACATACCCCCAGTGGTCGAGGGTGGTGAGGGGAGTAGTGGCAGGATGGTCGGTCTCCATCTATGTCTCTGTCAGGGTCCTCTGGTGTTCCTGGGTTGCCCTCATCACTGGACAGACGACCGTCCCTGTCCCCTCCTGCCCTCTCGTCCCCTCCTGCCCTCTGCCAGACAGAGGCTGGGGGGTCCTGGGTTGAGGCTGGGGGGACGGGGGTAGAGGATAAGACAGCAGCACCACCACCACCAGGTACCCTGCACACAGATGGGGAGAGAAGGGGAGAGAGAGAGCGAAAAAGAGAGAAAGACAGGCAGAAAGAGGAGAGGAGAGAAAGTGAAAGGAAGACATTTTTTAACAAGTGTCAAAATCGGTTTGTTTTCACTTTGATTCTGATTCTGCTATCAACAGTAGTTTACAGCACCCCCTAGTGGTTTAAGTCTGAACTGAGAGATTTTTTATAATCAAATCAAATCAAAGTTAATTGGTTGGGTACACAGATTTGCAGGTGTTGTAGCAGGTGCAGCAAAATGCTTGTTACTAGCTCCAACAGTGCAGTAGAATGTTTTGCAACTATGCAACTTTGGTCTAACTTTGGTCTAATATTACTGAGCAGCAAACACAGCATCTTTATTGAACAAATATCATAACAAGTCTATGATTCCATTGAACGAATAGAAGCTATACATTGACTTTGGCCTCAGTGCTGCCCCCTACTTGGGTATGTGTGCATTGGCCAGCCGCAGTTTGAGTGTGGAGACGGTCCTGCCATTGTGGCAGTGGTGGGGCAGGGTGGAGGGGGTAGTGTTGTTGGCAGGGATGCTCTGACTGCCCCCCTGTGACTCCCTCCTCTGCCCTCCCTCCTTCTCTTTCTCTTTCGCCCCCTCCTTCTCTTTCTCCTTCGCTCGGCCCTTGTGTTCCGCCAGGAGAATATCAAACTCTTTCCGCCTGCCTGGGACGGCCCGTCGGTGGGTCAGGGAGTGAGTCTGGAACACACACACACACACACGTAAATAACAAAAATAAGTGGACACAAGAGGGCAATAAAAACACATTTAAAATTAGACTTAAATTAGTTTTCCCTGGTATCAAGGAAATTAAAGCACACAAGGCAAAATAAATTAATGTGCACTTATGGTCAGAATGAGCTGTGTAGCCAATGAGATGTGAGGTCAGAGGTTAGAGGGCAGTGTGTCTCACCTTGCAGGTGAGTGATCGCGTGCAGGACCGTTTGCTCTCTGGGTCCTGGACTCCACAGTGCTTGTTAGGGTCAAACACCCTCCCTGTAAACACCAGACAGACATCAACAATCAAACCAGGTCGTCACAGCTGATTACAGATTTTTGTCTTCCGGTGTACCATGAGGTAATCTTTTTCCAAGATATCTTGAATGACAGGAGAGATGGGTCTTACAAAGTTGCGTTATATGATCTACAGTAGACTGTTGTTTGACTGAAACTTCCCAAATTCCACTGAGCAGTTTCCCCTGCGTTAAACACTTAAAATGTCCCTGTAATCTTACATATGTAATCTCTATAATCTAGCTAGGTAGTCTGAGTTATGGGAGTGGTTGGGAGTGTGTGTGTGTTTGGAAGATGAGGAGAGGAGAGTGTGTGTGCATGTGTGTGAGTCTGTGTATGGGGGAGATTAAAATAATGTGTGTGTGTGTGTTACTGCTTGTGTGTGTGTGGGAAATGAGAAGTGTGTGTGTGTGTGTGTGTGTGTGTGTGTCTCTCAGAGTATGTGTTTAGGAGATGAGAGTAGATGAGGCCAGTTGGAGTCCCAAGTGGTGGGAAGGTTTTTAAGGAGCAGAAGCCTTGGCAACAGTAGCTCATGAACTACACTTGTAAATCATAGTTGGAGCGACAAACAGCAAAGAGACAACAACATATGGAGAAAGGAGAGAGAGAGAGGGAAAAGAGAGACGGGAAGAATGAAGAGATAGGAGAGTTGGAAAGAGAGGTACGAGGGAAGTCTCCTCCTCCACCGTAGAATTAGCAAGGCCCCAGTGCATAGGATTAGAGTTGAGCAACAGCTTCCACTCTCTCTTCTTTCAAAACAGCCCCCACCCATGCCAAGTTCCTAACCCATCATATGAATCTGTTCATGCCCCATCACTCTCATGACTGGGCAGCTTTCAAAGGTTAGGGGAGATAATAAGGAATATGGAGGGGTTTTACACTTATAAACATAGGCTTTATATTTTTACCATAACCTTTATAGTGCTTAGATATGCACATTACTGGTGGAAGAATTTAAGTAGATGTTACACATTGCCTACCAGATAAAAGGTACATTAATACATCATATGAACCCACGATCCTTAGCGTTGTAAGCACCATTCCACCAACTGAGCTACACAGGACCATGATAATGATTAAAAGTAGGATTGGGGGTAGGGTAAACTGATCCTAGATCTGTGGTTAGACTGTGTTCTCACCTGACAGTCTCCTGTGAGGCCTGGGGGTCTTGGTTCCATTCTGCTGTTTCCTGTCCAGGGGGAAGGTGGGTGCCGGGGTCCGAGGGGAGGGAGAAGGGGAGGCGGCGGGTCTGCGGTGGTCCAGGGGGGAGGGGGAGGGGGTAGAGGAGGGCTGTTTGTCCAGGGGAGAGCGGGCCGGGCTGGGCCGGCGGTCCACCGAGGAGGCGGGTGTGGTGGAGCAAGGGGTGGAGGGGCCGCGACCGTTCACCAGCTTTTCCTGAGACCCCCTGAGGGGAGCTGGGGGGGTCAGGGAGGGTTTGAGGGAGGAGGGAGAGGAGCAGGAGGGTGTGGAAGAAAAGCAGTTGACTCTGATGGGTGTTCCCCCCTCTGCCCGGCCCAGACATGGCATCTTCTCCAGACTCACTACTGGCAACGACACACTGGAGAGAGAGGGATGAGAGAGAGGGTGCTAAATGATTGAGTGGAAAGTTGTGGAATTTTTATTCAAAATAAATAATAACCATGACAGGGATTCAAATGCAGGCAATGTCTGCATGTTCACAAGATTTGGCCTGTGTGTGTTTATCAACATGTGTAAGTGTGTCTGTACCTACCATGTCTTGCCGCGGGCACCCTTGGGAGGGTAGACAGCGAGCGGGGCCTTGTTGAAGCGGGAGTGGGGGTAGTCTCTGGGGACCCTGAAGGGCGGAGGGGGAGCAGGACCCGGGGTGGTGGACACTGCCACATTGGGCTTCACAGAGACCACTGGACCCCTGGAGGGACACGGGGAGCCGTGCCGACGCTCTGAAACACACACACATAGTGTCAGGAGTAACAGACTGAACATATACAGTGTGAACACACCTGGTAAACACCCAGTGTCATGAAAACGTCTTAACACTGTAGATCACTGACTAGTCAGTTATTCAAACAATGGATCTGTGATGTCTGTAAGTGATCCAGGGTTCCAGACTATGACCATTTGACTTGGCTGAGAGAGAGTCTTTATTTATTTTTTAATTGGTCGCATCGGTGCGAGCTGCACATTCTACATTGTCACTCACTCAAACCTTCCTCTTTTTGGGCAGCTAAAACCATGATTTGGTCAAACAGTGAAGTACATTATCCTCATGATTCCTGTAATGTAAGTGTCTGCCCTGCCCCTGTTTCGCTAGGACCTACTGATGTGACGAGCAAGCCACATTCCTCTCCAGGAGAATTTTTTTTGTTCTGATTGTATAACATTTCAAAATGCAATTGCAGGAAAAACATAGCTTTGGAAGCAACTACTGTTGTCCATGTCGAAGAGAGGAGGGTCTCAGCTTTTTATAGGTATAATTGTTATTTCTCAACTCTCATTATTAAGATCAGTAGCAACATTTTTTAATGTCCTGTTTTACTTATGGAGGGAATACCATTAACAATTGTGATTACCTTTGTGCAAAGGAAGGAAGCGAAGTCTCCTCCCTTGCAAACGGAAAATAAGCCAAACCACTCCCTTCTGTTAATTTCACCCGTGTTTATAATGGCCAAAAAGCACATTTTTGTTTTCATGAATTTTCATGATACAGACAATTTTGACTTTGTAGCTGTGGAATCTAGTTGAAACCATTTATCATCCGCACACGGGTTTGAATATCACCGCACCAGTTTAAGCATCGCCTTCGCTCAATCCTGATTCGTCCAAATAATCAATGAGGAAAACTCAAAACCAGGAACTACTGCTACTCGTAATCACATAATTATACGTGAGCCTTAACAGATTCTTGCCGTTTCATCTGTCCACGAGAGATTACGAGGGCATCTAAATCTCATTACCCTACAACTGCATTGTTTTTTTTAGGACATTCAATTTACTGTTAGATTAATACATGGCTACTAGCAGTGGGTATTATATTTAGAGTTAGCGAGCTAGCTGATGTGTTTTGAGTTTCCACTTCCTCAGGTGTTGTGTTGTGTTGAATTAGCTCCAAATTGAATTATGCTATGATATTAGGGACCGGTTGAAAATTACTGGTGGGAAAGGGGGGTCGAACTCGAGATGTCATAAAAAAAGCACCCCCATAACCAATGTTCAAAAATTTTACAACCCTCAACTTGTACATGAAAAAAATGACAAAACATAATGATTACGACCACAGTAACCGTGACAAAGTAGACCTACCTCATTACTACGATCTGGGGCAAATAAATTAAATCACCTTTATAATAGAGCATTGCACCTTTATAAAAAAAGCCTTTTATGAACGCATTTCATGCAATTCTAGTCATTTTACATGACTGAAGACATTAGCAGAATGTCCTTTTTTTATACCACAGTTTTTCTGAGCTAATAGTCACCGGGCCAGAACATAATATAATAGCAGCCCAATTCATAGACCTACACTATTTTGAACAAAATGTTTAACACATCTGGTTAGTACATAACCAATTCAATGAAAATAACATAAAAATTTAGATGCAATCAGCAATGTCTCTAGTAAATGAGTTTTGTAGACTGTCTATTTCTCTGTGCGTTGATTGGGGGAAAACAGGTAGCCTACCTTCCTTTTTATTAGCTCAAAACAATCAACTTGCTTGCAAGAGAAAATGTCGCTCGCAAAAAGTCCCAAAAGAAAGGTGGATTTAGAAAATAGAAGTTTCAGGAAAGAATGGACAGAGATATGCATTCCTCTTACCACATTTCTCCAAAGCCAAACCAATGTGTCTTGTTTGCAACAAACTGATGTGATTCTAAGTATTGTAGCCTACTTTCACAAGGTACCTTTCCACCCCAGACAGAGGCCTGACGCAGAAAAATATAAGCTTTCACTGGTGGCTCATCTTCTGGGGCTTAGCCCAACAAGAGAAGGTCACAAGTAGGGTTGAGCGATGTCAACCTTTGTCCCATCGTGAATATGTACTCCATAGCAGCACCCACCCATAGTCTGCGCTCCAGCAGGTATATCTCACTGGTCATCCCCAAAGCCAACACCTCCTTTGGCCGCCATTCCTTCCAGTTCTCTGCTGCCAATGACTGGAACGAATTGCTAAAATCTCTGAAGCTGGAGACTCTTATCTCCCTCACTAACTTTAAGCATCAGTTGTCAGAGCAGCTTACCGATCACTGCACCTGTACACAGCCCATCTGAAATTAGCCCATCCAACTACCTCTTCCCTATATTGTTATTTATTTTGCTCTTTTGCACCCCAGTATCTCTATTTGCACATAATCTCTTGCACATCTAGCATTCCAGTGTTAATACTAATTGTAATTATTTTGCACTATAGGCTATTTATTGCCTTACCTCTGTAACTTGCTACATTTGCACACACTGTATATAGATTTTCTGTTGTATTTTTTGGGGGGGACTTTATGTTTTTTTACCCCATATGTAACTCTGTGTTGTTGTTTTTATCACACTGCTTTGCTTTATCTTGGCCAGGTCGCAGTTGTAAATGAGAACTTGTTCTCTTCTGGCTTACCTGGTTAAATAAAAGGTTAAATAAAAATAAATAAAAGTACTCAAAAAACATTGTGATATACGATGGTATCGCCCCCTTTTGGCTACCCACTCCCCCCAAAAAGTACTTATTTGAATTTTTAAAAGTATTAAAAAGATGCGAGTGCGAGCTCGCATGCTACTGGACGGACGAGATAAATCACGACATTGGCAAAAGATATTTAGTGGAGACAAATCTTTTCTAGTAGCCTATTCCACTCTGGTGGAGCTGTGGCACGAAAGAGGTGTGTGGGCATGTCTGTGTGTGCCGAAGCGTACAGATGGAGTGAGTGACACAGTCAAAAGGCCTCCCTCACTGGCAGTGTGTCGTGTGACGGGTTGTAAATCATCATGGGCTACAGAGCAAGCAACTCTGCTGTCCTCAGAACTGGATAATTATAAACTGATTCACATTTTTGCCTAATCCTATGCTCTTATTAGGCCTAGGCTACTATGCGTTGAAGGTAGGTTGCACATTGCTAGAATAATATGGATATAGGCATAGGCCAACTAGGCTACACATTGTTTTCTTTCATAAGCTTTCCTCAGCTGTAGCCTACGTTATCTTTAGACTGCTCAATTTCACTTCTTGTGGCATGAAATATTATTCAAAGTTGTGATTGAGAATAGCATATACTCTGACTTAGATAAGTATGAAAATGTATCCACTCACTAACTGTAAGTCGCTCTGGATAAGAGCGTCTGCTAAATGACTGAAATGTAAATGTAAATAATTGTTCCCATTTAAAAGCAGCAACTTTAGGACATTAAACACTTTATTCGAATATTTGGTAAATATTTTAATAACATAACTTTCATTTGTCTTAATGCTGTTAAAATATTTCAATTAGTAGGATTAGGTTTTTGGTCGTTTGGTTCACAACGGCAAGGATAACTTATTTTGGGGGGCTTTGCATGCATGCATCCTTTCCGTCATATACAGTGAGGGAAAAAAGTATATGATCCCCTGCTGATTTTATATGTTTGCCCACTGACAAAGAAATGATCAGTCTATAATTTTAATGGTAGGTTTATTTGAACAGTGAGACAGAATAACAACAAAAAAATCCAGAAAAACGCATGTCAAAAATGTTATAAATTGATTTTCATTTTAAATGAGGGAAATAAGTATTTGACCCCCTCTCAAATCAGAAAGATTTCTGGCTCCCAGGTGTCTTTTATACAGGTAACAAGCTGAGATCAGGAGCACACTCTTAAAGGGAGTGCTCCTAATCTCAGCTTGTTACCTGTATAAAAGACACCTGTCCACAGAAGCAATCAATCAATCAGATTCCAAACTCTCCACCATGGCCAAGACCAAAGAGCTCTCCAAGGATGTCAGGGACAAGATTGTAGACCTACACAAGGCTGGAATGGCAGCTTGGTGAGAAGGTGACAACAGTTGGTGCGATTATTCGCAAATGGAAGAAACACAAAAGAACTGTCAATCTCCCTCGGCCTGGGGCTCCATGCAAGATCTCACCTTGTGGAGTTGCAATGATCATGAGAACGGTGAGGAATCAGCCCAGAACTACACGGGAGGATCTTGTCAATGATCTCAAGGCAGCTGGGACCATAGTCACCAATAAAATAATTGGTAACAAGTCTACGCCGTGAAGGACTGAAATCCTGCAGTGCCCGCAAGGTCCCCCTGCTCAAGAAAGCACATATAGAGGGCCGTCTGAAGTTTGCCAATGAACATCTGAATGATTCAGAGGAGAACTGGGTGAAAGTGTTGTGGTCAGATGAGACCAAAATCGAGCTCTTTGGCATCAACTCAACTCGCCGTGTTTGGAGGAGGAGGAATGCTGCCTATGACCCCAAGAACACCATCCCCACCGTCAAACATGGAGGTGGAAACATTATGCTTTGGGGGTGTTTTTCTGCTAAGGGGACAGGACAACTTCACCGCATCAAAGGGACAATGGACGGGGCCATGTACTGTCAAATCTTGGGTGAGAACCTCCTACCCTCAGCCAGGGCATTGAAAATGGGTCGTGGATGGGTATTCCAGCATGACAATGACCCAAAACACACGGCCAAGGCAACAAAGGAGTGGCTCAAGAAGAAGCACATTAAGGTCCTGGAGTGGCCTAGCCAGTCTCCAGACCTTAATCGCATAGAAAAATCTGTGGAGGGAGCTGAAAGTTCGAGTTGCCAAACGTCAGCCTCGAAACCTTAATGACTTGGAGAAGATCTGCAAAGAAGAGTGGGACAAAATCCCTCCTGAGATGTGTGTAAACCTGGTGGCCAACTACAAGAAACGTCTGACCTCTGTGATTACCAACGAGGGTTTTGACACCAAGTACTAAGTCATGTTTTGCAGAGGGGTCAAATACTTATTTCATTATTAAAATGCAAATCAATTTATAACATTTTTGACATGTGTTTTTCTGGATTTTTTTGTTGTTATTCTGTCTCTCACTGTTCAAATAAACCTACCATTAAAATTATAGACTGATCATTTCTTTGTCAGTGGGCAAACGTACAATATCAGCAGGGGATCAAATACTTTTTTTCCTCACTGTAATGCTTTGCTCAACTGTAAGGTGTGTTTAAATTTCTCATTCGATTTTTCTATCTGGCTATTGTTTGTTCTACAGCGCCTTCAGAAAGTATTCACACCCCTTGACTTTTTCCACATTTTGTTGTGTTACAGCCTGAATTTAAAATTGATTAAATAAATGTTTTGTCAAGATGTTTTGTCAAGATGTTTTGTCACTGGCCTACACACAATACCCCATAATGTCAAAGTGGATTTTTTTTTTTTTTAAATGTTTACAAATTCATTAAAAATGAAAAGCTGAAATGTTTTGAGTCAATAAGTATTTAACCCCTTTGTTATGGCAGGCCTAAATAAGTTCAGAAGTAAAACATTATAATAAGTTGCATGGACTCACTCTGTGTGCAATAATAGTGTTTAACATGATTTTTGAATGACTACCTCATCTCTGTACCCCGAACATACAATTATCTGGAAGGTCCCTCAGTCGAGCACTGAATTTCTAACACAGATTCAACCACAAAGACCAGAGAGGTTTTCCAATGCCTCTCAAAAAAGGGCACCTATTGGTAGATGGGTAAAAAAATAAAAAGCAGACATTGAATATCCCTTTGAGCATGGTGAATTTATTCATTACACTTTGGATGGTGTATCAATACACCCAGTCACTACAAAGATACAGGCATCCTTCCTAACTCAGTTGCCGGAGAGGAAGGAAACCATTCAGGGATTTCACCATGAGGTCAATGGTGACTTTAAAACAGCTGTGATAGGAGAAAACTGAGGATGAATCAACATTGTAGTTACTCCACAATACTAACCAATAATTGAGTGAAAATAAGGAAGCCTGTACAGAATAAAAATATTCCAAAACATGCATCCTGTTTGCAACAAGGCACTAAAGTAATACTGCAAAACATGTGGCAAAGCAATTAACCCTTTGTCCTGAATACAAAGTTATGTTCGGGCCAAATCCAACATAACACATTACTCACATTTTTTTCAAGCATAGTGGTGGCTTCATAATGTTATGGTTATGCTTGTAATCGTTAAGGACTGGGAAGTTTTTCAGGATAAAAAAATTAACGGAAGGGAGCTAAGCACAGCCAAAATCCTAGAGGAAAACCTGATTCAGTCTGCTTTCCACCAGACACTTAGAGATTAATTAACCTTTCAGCAGGACAATAACCTAAAACATAAAGCCAAATCTACACTGGAGTTGCTTACCAAGAAGACAGTGAATGTTCCTGAGTGGCCGAGTTACAGTTTAGACTTAAATATGCTTGAAAATCTATGGCAAGACCTGAAAATGGTTGAAGAATTGTTTAAAGAATAATGGGCAAACATTGCATAATCCATGTGTGGAAAGCTCTTAGAGACATACCCAGAAAAACTCACAGCTGTAATCGCTGCCAAAGGTGATTCTAATCAAGATAGTGTTATTATATATTTTTTTACAAATGTTAGAATTTTTCTTCCACTTTGACAGAGTATTTGTTATAGATCGTTGACAAAAAATGACAATTAAATCAATTTCAATCCCACTTTGTAACACAACAAAATGTGGAAAAAGTGAAGGGGTGTGAGTACTTTCTGAAGGCACTGTATTCCTCTCATTATTACCTTAGGCCTACCATATTTCTAGGTTATTCAAAAACAACTTTAAACTTTCTGAGATGGCGTAGAACTCCGTTAGATAGATTCATTGTTTGATCATGAAATAGCGTGGCGGGAGAAATCATCCGCTATTGGAGAGAGAAAAAAATAATAATTCTGGCTGGACATTTAGCACTGCTTTGGTGAAACTTAGCCATGTCTACACTGTTATCGTGCATTCTTTAAATAACATATTCATTGAAATAGGCTATAGCAAATAGGAATATTGACAATTTCCTCAGAATGTCACCCATTACACCCCCCCAGTAATTCTCCAACTGTCCCTTAGTGCATATAAAGATGTAGGCAAATTCATTTCCATAATTTTTTTTTTTTAAAGAACATCTGGAGCCCTATTTTGACAGTATAATATAACAACAATATCCTAATGGTCAACCCAAAATTCATGACAATCACTGGATTAGGTTGCACATCAAAATATCTTGAATCATGCATTCCTGCTTGGACATGTTAGATGAAAAAACTTATTTATAGAATGGCATCTCAGTAGCCTATTACACTTCTTAATAAAGCACTGTGAAGGACTTTAAGATGATTACTACAAAAATATATACAGCCAGGGGGAAAAAAGTAAGAGACCATTGCAAAATTATCAGTTTCACTGGTTTTACTATTTATAGGTATTTGTTTGGGTAAAAATAACATTTTTGTTTTATTCTTTAAACTACTGACAACATTTCTCCCAAATTCCAAATAAAAATATTGTCATTTAGAGCATTTATTTGTAGAAAATGACAACTGGTCAAAATAACAAAAAATATGCAGTGTTGTCAGACCTCGAATAATGCAAAGAAAATAAGTTCATGTTCATTTTTAAACAACACAATAGTAATGTTTTAACTTAGGAAGAGTTCAGAAATCAATATTTGGTGGAATAACCCTGATTTTCAATCACAGCTTTCATGCGTCTTGGCATGCTCTCCACCAGTTTTTCACATTGATGTTGGGTGACTTTATGCCACTCCTGGCGCAAAAATTCAAGCAGCTCGGCTTTGTTTGATGGCTTGTGACCATCCATCTTCCTCTTGATCACATTCCAGAAGTTTTCAAATGGGATTCAGGTCTGGAGATTGGGCTGGCCATGACAGGGTCTTGATCTGGTGGTCCTCCATCCACACCTTGATTGACCTGGCTGTGTGGCATGGCGCATTGTCCTGCTGGAAAAACCAATCCTCAGAGTTGGGGAACAATGTCAGAGCAAAAGGAAGCAAGTTTTCTTCCAGGACAACCTTGTACATGGCTTGATTCATGCGTCCTTCAGAAAGACAAATCTGCCCGATTCCAGCTTTGCTGAAGCACCCCCAGATCATCACCGATCCTCCACCAAATTTCACAGTGGGTGCGAGACACTGTGGCTTGTAGGCCTCTCCAGGTCTCCGTCTAACCATTAGACGACCAGGTGTTGGGCAAAGCTGAAAATTGGACTCATCAGAGAAGATGACCTTACTCCAGTCCTCTACGGTCCAATCCTTATGGTATTTTGCAAACCTCAGCCTGGCTCTTCTTTGCTTCTCATTGATGAAGGGCTTTTTTCTAGCTTTGCACGACTTCAGCCCTGCCCCTAGGAGCCTGTTTTGCGAACCGTCCTCGCCGTGCACTTCACCCCAGCTGCCGTTTGCCATTCTTTTTGTAGGTCACTTGATGTCATCCTACGGTTGTTGAGTGACATTCGAATTAGTTGGCGGTCATCCCGGTCAGTAGAGTCGTTTTCGCCCTCTGCCGGTCTGTAGCTTTGTTGTCCCCAATGTCTGCTGCTTGACCTTGTTCTTATGAACCGCTGTCTTTGAAATTTTAAGGATGGAAGCAACCTGACGCTCACTGTATCCCTCTGCCAGTAAAGCCAGAATTAAACCCTTCTTTTCCTCACTCAAAACGTTCCTTTTCAACTCTTTTGGCATGGTCAATAGTTATTTTTTTATTAATATTACTTTTGAGGTACTATTAGCACTGTTTTTGCCATCTAGCTGGTCCTATTGCAAGAGGATAGTGATGATCACAGCAGTGGTTTTTATACTTTTCCTCGTTAAATAAGATTTGGTTCATGTGATCACCTAATCAGTACCTAATTCAGTAGAATGAGGTGTCCCTGTGTTGGAATTCAACAGACACTGGAATGGAATGGCTGTCATACATGTAGAGATGCTGATTTAAGAAAAAAAAATTCCACAGCTGTATATTGCGTGACAACGTTTTTTTATGGGTGCGACTAAATCATGAGCTGGTGCCACCAACTAAAAAAGTTAGTCTGGAACTCTGTGATCCATATTGCAGTAGAGTGCATTGGAGAGAGACAGAGAGAGGACAGGAGAGAGAAGGAAGGAAGGAAGGAAGGAAGGAAGGAAGGAAGGAAGGAAGGAAGGAAGGAAGGAAGGAAGGAAGGAAGGAAGGAAGGAAGGAAGGAAGGAAGGAAGGAAGGAAGGAAGGAAGGAAGGAAGGAAGGAAGGAAGGAAGGAAGGAAGACTTACGGTTCTGGCTATGCATGTCTTTGGGGGGGTAGGGAGGAGGAGGAGGAGGAGGAGGGTGGGGAGGTCCTTTACTCTCTCTGCCTCACTGGGACTCTACTCCCCAGACACCTAGTCGGGACAGAGGGACATGTCAAAAACACACACACAGCCATACGGGCGCTCCACACACCCACACCCACCACACACGTCACACGTGCTCTCGCACGCACACACACACCTCATCAACGCTTATTGTAGACATACTACTCATGCGGACTTTGCACTAAAATTAGCGCGGAAAGCTTGTGAACGAACTGTGCAGTGGGGATAAAATAATGCATTATATCACTGTCAGCAAATACAACTATTCATGATTATTCATTTTGGAATCAACATCTTTGTTCTGCCCGGGCAGTTTCCTAAATAGACTTGGCCGCGGCACCACAGCCATCCTGCCAACTCTCCTCAGCCAACTACTGTATGACATAGGCTGTATCACCTAAGCCACAGAATCTGTCTCATTGGTCACAGTTTAGTGACTGACAGTGTGAGGAGCCAATAAGATGACAGCGTGTGGGAATGACAGGGAGATTGCCTTACCCTGCCAATGAGTGCAGAAATACCTACAGCTCGTTAGAACAATAGGAATGAATGAGCACACAGATTAAGCAGGCGTCAAGGCGTGTGTGTGCGTATGTTCCAGGTGTGTGTGTGTGTGAGTGTGTAACTGCGTCCGGCGGGCAGGTGTGTGCAGGTGAGTAAATAGGCAAGGTAATGCAGAGGGGCAGCTGTATTGGGAGCTAGGACCAAAGTCCACCTCATTCAGGTATGCAGTAGTAGTAGTAGTAGTAGCAGCAGCAGCAGCAGTAGTTACACAGCAGCCAATTCAGATTCACACACAGATTGGTTACTTACAACTGTAGTTTAGCGTACATCTAACAATGCACTCAAGTCTAAGTCTTGTGCTTCTGCCCTTCCAAGGTACAAGTTACCCCCTAACACAGATCTAGGATCAAAATACCCTATCCTAACCTTAAACATTATTAAGGGGGTTTAAAACTATCTGACCCTGTATCAGTGGTTATCAGTGGTTAGGGGAAACTTCTACCTAGTCCCTCAAGCCTGTTGCCATGGCATTGCCGAGCGAGCGGAGCGGTGGCTAGCGTGAGAGCCCTGCGAGGCTAGCAGCCACAGGAAGTAGGAAGCTGAGCGTCAGCGTCGCTCTGAGAGCTCAGCTGGGTTTGTTTACATCCACACCGCCACCGCTAGAGGAAGACACCCACCAGAGAGAGAGAAAGAGAGAGAGAGAGAGAGAGAGAAGCGCCAAACCCTTCTGCAACAGCCAATACATTTCATAACATGACACACAACGCAGCACATCACTAAACTATTCTACACAAGTCAACACTCACACTACACTAAACCACACTGCAGCTGCTTCAACACAACAACTGCCCACACTGGCACCAAAGCAAGCACACAAACTAACTAACTACCTCGCCAACACACTACAATGCAGGGTGTGCCATCCCACACATCAAAGTCAGGACGGAAACGAAACTAAGCTGAGGACAGAGCCTGCAAGGAGCTCAATTAATCCAGGACCGTAAGGGCAGTCACCAGACAACAACACACCCTATGAATAACAGTCTAGTACACACACACACACATTCTCTGAATAACAGACAAAAGCTTTTCCGTTAAACTGCTTAATCAGCCTCTGCCGTCAGCTACAGATGGGCAGAGAGAGAAACTGAGCTGGGTGTCAACTGTCTGTCTGACTCTTGCAGCCTGGCTGGCGGAAAGAGTAGTTCTACACACACACACACACACAAGCTGGAGGAGCATAGCTGAAAGGCATTGACCCCTGAGCAGAGCTGACCTCCTCAGAGCCTGTCAGTGAGCAACTGTTGTGAGAGGAAGCTTTCCTGTTCCCCCTAACCACAGATCTAAGGTCAGATTTACATGCGTTATAACCATTTAAATGAATTAATAATATTAATATTAATATTTAGTGGTTAGGACAAAGTCTAGGTCCTGTCTGAGAGGACTGCAGCTGGAGGCAGCAACCTGCAAGGGGCAGGAGAGAGCACTCATACACTCAATGTGTGTGTGTGTATGTTTTGCCTGTCTCTTGGCACAGACAGACTCCTCGCTCTAGATCATGTGCAGCCAGCCAGCAGCAGATGTAAGCGCGCTCCGCTCACTGGGGCTCAACGAGAACGTAAGCAAACGGACAGAAAATAGCTGGTTTTCCATTATTATTTTTCATCTTTAACTCTGCATTGTTGGAAAAGGACCCGTAAGTAACCATTTCACTGTTAGTCTACGCAGCATGTGACAAATAAAATGTGATTTTGATTTGGTCCAGCACTGACCGATGTTGGGGGTTCTTACTGAAATGGGTTAGAGTTAGGGTTCTTACCATAGTGGGTCTGGGTAATGTGTCAAGGTCAGGGTGGTTTGTACTGTAAGGGTAGTGTCAGAGTTAGGGTCAGGGTTCTTACTGTAGTGTGTTAGGGTATAGGGTTCTTACCGTAGTGGGTGAGGATGCCCTGGGGTTTGACCACTTGGTTGCAGACATGGCAGACGACGAGACAGAAATCCTCCTGGTTGGGAAACTGGCCAAACACATGCATCTCTACAGGAGACAGAGACAGGGACAGGGGTGAGCCAAGGGACAGGGGCTAAACTAGCAGTAGGATCAGAAAGTTGTTTCCTCCTATGGTTAATGTTTGGGGGGGGGGGGGGGGGGGGGGGGGGGTTGAGCTGATCCAATCAAAATGTATCTTCCTACTACCAAACAGTCAACTTACAGAGATCTTACTCATCACTATTTGGACTCTGCATCCCAGGGGGATTGGCAGGTTAGCGTTTTTCGTCATCAATCTTGTTCTGGAGGCAGCTCTGTAGAGTGGTCACTAGCTAGCACAGCCACAAAATCATAAAATCAGATTTTAAACTTAACCCTAACCACACTGCAAACTCTAATGCCTACACCTAACCTTAAATTAAGACCAAAAATCAGATGGCCTATCTAAGGGGAAATCGCTTTGTGCTGCCTCTAGGACAAGACTCATGACAATAAACATCAACCTGCAGGGAAAACAGGGAAGATTTGGTTCATCTTCACCTTGACCTGGCAATGCTGGCATGTTCTGTCATCTGGAATAGATAAGTGGCCAGTCATGCTTGGTGGGTATCTAACTGAGGCAGTACTGATGCTGTCCTGGACCGTCGGGAGATCTTCGGCTACGTCCCAATTCTCCACAAGTGTACACTTTGGGGAGAAGTGTGGAGAATCGGGATGCAGCCTCAGAGCCAGTCAAGGTCACAGGGAGGTGAGGACTGAAGCATCACTCTGGCTAACACTAAACATTTAATAATGCCTGCTGATTGATTGTATATCATTGTATTTTAAATTTGTGTGACTGTCCTTGTCTATCAGTGTTTTGTTACTTTGTGTTTTTGTGGACCCCAGGAAGAGTAGCTGCTGCTTCTGCAAAATAAACAAATCAAATCGCGTGGATGGGAGGAGGTAGAAGTTCCCTTAACTTCTGGTCCAGATAGTTGCTCAGACATAATGGTTAAGGTTAGGGCAACCTTGACCATGGTCTAGCCCCTACACTGTGTGGAGCAGACCACTCCGGTAGACCAGGCGCTCTGCTCCAATTGTTTTGTTTTTTTTACCAGGGAAGACATATTGAGACCTAGGTCTCTTTTTCAATTGTGCCCTGCACAATACATTTACATCATTTAGCAGACGCTCTTATCCAGAGCGATTTACAAATTGATGCATTCAACTTATGATAGCAAGTGGGACAACCACTTTTTTTTTTTTTAATGGGGGGGGGGGGGGGGGGGGGTAGAAGGATTACTTTTATACTATTCCAGGTATTCCTTAAAGAGGTAGGGTTTCAAGTGTCTCCGGAAGGTGGTCAGTGACTCCGCTGTCCTGAAAGGTGGGGGGGCCATCGTGGGGGGCTTGTTCCACCATTGGGGTGCCAGAGCAGCGAATAGCTTTGACTGGGCTGAGCGGGAACTGTGCTTCCGTAGAGGTAGGGGGGCTAGCAGGCCAGAGGTGGATGAACGTAGTGCCCTCGTTTGGGTGTAGGATCTGATCAGAGCCTGAAGGTAAGGAGGTGCCTTTCCCCTCACAGCTCCGTAGGCAAGCACTATGGTCTTAATAATAATAATAATAATAATAATAATGCGCCATTTAGCAGACGCTTTTATCCAAAGCGACTTACAGTCATGCGTGCATACATTTTTGTGTATGGGTGGTCCCGGGGATCGAACCCACTACCTTGGCGTTACAAGCGCCGTGCTCTACCAGCTGAGCTACAGAGGACCACAGTCTTGTAGTAGATGCGAGCCTCAACTGGAAGCCAGTGGAGTGTGCGGAGGAGCGGGGTGACATGAGAGAACTTGGGAAGGTTGAACACCAGACGGGCTGCAGCGTTCTGGATAAGTTGTAGGGGTTTAATGGCACAGGCAGGGAGCCCAGCCAACAGCGAGTTGCAGTAATCCAGACGGGAGATGACAAGTGCCTGGATTAGGACCTGTGCCGCTTTCTGTGTAAGGTAGGGTCGTACTCTGCGAATGTTGTAGAGCATGAACCTGCAGGATCGGGTCACCGCTTTGATGTTAGCGGAGAACGACAGGGTGTTGTCCAGGGTCACGCCAAGGTTCTTTGCACTCTGGGAGGAGGACACAATGGAGTTGTCAACCGGGGATTCGAACCAGCGACCTTTCGGTTACTTGCCCAATGCTTTTAACCGCTAGGCTACCTGCCGCCCTATTTATTAACAATTAAAATGCTTTTTATGAAGTACATTTAATTATCCATGTGACATTGTTAAATACAAGGATGACATTTGAAATGGTTAATTTAATAAAACAACCAACTTTTAAATGTAGTGTTTATGACGTTCGCCACATAAAAAAAGACATACCTGTAGCCATCTATGCCGGTAGCCTTCACACGTTTCACGCTTGTTGATTTTGTTGGCCAATCAAAGCTGCTCTACAGTCAGAGGTCCCATGTGTAGCAAGTGAAGTGAGAGATCTCTAATCATGCAAAATGGAATTAAAATTACGGAATTAAAAGTTAGCTAAATAAGAAGGAGTGGGCTCAAACAAACAACCAACAGGTATGCTGTTGTTTAATCTGAATCATGGTGTTGCCATTTGTTTACAAGGACGGGGAGTGCAGTAATTCTAGCCTCAATTAGCTAGTTATCTAGCTGGCTAATTTAGCTAGCTAGTTTAGCTATCTTCTCTACATCGATTTGATGCAGTCAAAACAGGTACTGTCATGGGATGATAGATAAGCAGCAGCTAACGTTACAAGTTCGTCTAACTAGCGCGGGCCAGCGTGGCTACTTTGTAGTCTCTCTGTCTCACAAATACTCACACACACACCGGCCCCTCCTCCGAGCAGAACCGACAGCGTATGTCCCCTCACGCAAGGGCTCAGATTAAAAACATAAGTAAAAAAACAAAACACGTATTTCGACTATCCGGATGTCTGAGGAAAAAAATGCAGATATTATTCTAATAGTGAAATTATTTCAAATGCCCATCCCTAAACCAGAAACAACGAGTATAGTACTTACAAAATCACCATAAAAATAAAAAAAAATCTGTCTCTGCCAAGACAAATGAGAACAGTGTGTAGCTTACTGCCGCGCTCGCCTGCCAAAACAGTGCTGCTAAAACAATCTGTCTTTCGTGAATGAGCGCTACCCAGGCATAGAGAGAAACACACTGTCAGACACCCGCTGAGAAAATAGTTTAAAGCGGGGATAACGTTTTTCTATATTTGTGCATTGTCAAGTTTCACTTATCCTCATAAACAACATTGTCAGATAATGAATTGAATTATAGACTATATCAGCTGTTGACCTATGTAGGGGAGAGAAGGCATAATGCTGAGTTTACCATATAACTATGGGCATAATCGCTGTCTGGCACTAATCTCAGAGACGATTAGGCTATTGGAATGTAATGATGTCACTCAGTCATCTTCAGCACCAGTTAGTTATTAATGTCTGCTTGACACATAGTGTGACCTCATCAGCTGATGGTGTGACTGAGTGTGTGTGTGTGTGTCTCACAACCTGCCTGACTCTTGGCCGGGCATCAACAACACTGGGAGACTCCATTCTGGCTGAGTGAGTGAGAGGATCTCCTAACCTTAACCATTAGGGGGTCCAGGGGAAACACAACTGGCCTTTGATCAGTGTCTAAAGGGCAAGACAATCTTACTCTGTCTTAGTGTGTTGGCCTGGGATCAGCAGTCAGAGCATGTTGGTGATTCCAGTCTGGCTTTGACTGAGAGGGGCTGCTTTGGCACTCTGTCTGACTGAACTGAAGACTGGGGAGTTAGTACTGAAGTGTACTATACTTTATAATAATAATAATATGCCATTTAGCAGACGCTTTTATCCAAAGCGACTTACAGTCATGCGTGCATACATTTTTGTGTATGGGTGGTCCCGGGGATCGAACCCACTACCTTGGCGTTACAAGCGCCGTGCTCTACCAGCTGAGCTACAGAGGACCACATACTTGAGTGTAGCTCCTGTCTGTCACTCTGGGTGGCCCTCCAACCTAGTCATCAAATCCCCTCATTTGTACAGTGTAGGTGGAGCCAAGAGCCTCTAGGATACAAACTCTAGGCAAGCAGGAAGAGAAACATACTCATGTACACGTGACATTTCTTGTTTTACCAACATCATGCCACTAGATATCAATCCATTTGTAATTAACAAACGCGTACATTCATTATCATACATAGAACATATTTTATCTTCATAATAAACAGTGTTAGGAAAATGGTATGCTGTGATCATTCCTTAGCTTTGAAGTTGACAGGCTGTGCCCTGTTGTGTGGCTGTGGTGTTAAAATATACAAGAATGTTGCCAAGAATGCTGGAGTGAGAACTGGAGCGTCATCAGTCCACAAGAACAACAAAACCAAAAACAAGGCTCAGGTGAGTCACTACAGCACGTTTTGATCAACCTTACCTGCTTTGCTGAGTTTAGTTCCTTCCCAGTTGTTGTACAGCTCTTTCAAGCGGTTTTCGACGAGTGAGTCTGTATTAGAAATACGATAGGTTAGTTGGTGGTTGAAAAAAACATAAATCTCACGCACCCCACGCGTCATTACGTCTAGCTCGATAACTAGCTCGCAGCTGTAACGTTAAATGACGAGGTGCATTGATAAATCAAACAAACTGTCACCAACAAGCAACGAAAGTTATCCTGGCCAGCCAGCAGTAAACTAACCCATGCACATTACAAACATATTGAGAATGCATCAGACAAATGAATACAGAGCATTTGTAAACATGAGTTTGACCGATTTGTTATGAATTTGGTAACTAGCTTAATATTTGGTTGTTATCTTTCAGCTTTGACAGATGCATGGGGGACACGGCTGGCTAACTCAATCTCAGTTCAACAGCACTGTTCGCACGTGCCATTTTTATACAAATGGATGACAACATTGACGTGCACTTACTGTCAGAATAGTGTAATTTTGCTGCTCTGATAAAAGTTGACCAAGGTTTGCACAGGAACGTATCCGGATTTGGTAGCTGGCGATCCAATGTCGCCATTGCACTTCCTTCTTGTTGCTTGCTTTTTTCCTCTCCTTCGCAGTAAACTAAACGAGACGAGCGGCGCACCTGACGTCATTTTCGGTATGTTCCGTCTTCGCTCGGCCTCTGGCGGCAAGGAGTTGAAAGGTTGCAAAGGGGTGTGTGCGCCTCTGAAGTTCAAACGTTTGTTTTTCTGATACTAAATGACACGTGTGTTGTTTTTCTCAAATTGCATTTCACCCATTGTTTATTTGTTTAAATATATTCCAATGTCTTACATATTAAATATGTTTTAGTTAATGTTTCAGTAACAGTAGAAGATTTTAGGCTGGCAATAGCCAAAGTAATGTACAGCACACTTGACCAATATATGAGCAATATTACAGTATAATATAGTACAACAACATGTGCAGTCGTTATGAAGCAGCAATATCCTAGTCAGTCAATTTTATTTTATTTTACCTTTATTTAACTAGGCAAGTCAGTTAAGAACAAATTCTTATTTACAATGACGGCCTACACGGGCCAAACCCGGACGACGCTGGGCCAATTGTGCGCCGCCCTATGTACTACAGACAAGAATATTCGACACTTTTGTACTACACAAACAAAATACCCTTTGCTGCCCATCCACATTATTATATCAAATGTCACTTTTGCTGATCACAAATTTGCCATAGAAATCATATAAAAATTGGTACAAGAGCTCTTCAGCTCCATGGCACAACAACAAAATATGACCCAGCATTGACCTCTTGTGGTTGGAATTGGAAATAGGTCTCCACTCAATGATGGACTGACAGTAGCCTACTACACACTGCCCATTGGTATGGTGATGTCAATGTTTGTGAAAATATCCATACAGTCAGTACCCATACAACATTCAGCAAGTGATTATTGGAGAAATGTATGGAGCAATGTGTGGATGAGTGGTCAAACCTGTGTTATATCTACAGACTGTGTTATAACATTAGTAATAGATCAGTGATATTAGGCTGGTGTGGAACGGGAACCAAAGCCAATAGGGCTCCATGCCTTCTGCATATGTCACTGTGGCATACCACAGACCATATGACTGAGCATGTAACAGTGGTTCTCTAGCTGCAGGACACCACTGGGAGGAAGACTGGGCCATGTTCCAATAGGCTACTATAATATTGCATCATTTCATCCTCCCCTTCCGTGAAGTAATTGTTGCTCTCAAAGACAGTCTGGTAGGTCTAAGCAACAATCACATAGATTTCAATTATCCAGTCATGTCAGATGAGTACTTTAAGGAAGGGAGGAATGATGCATTAAGGATGTCAGTGATCAGATCAGACACACTGGAGCAGCTTCACCAGATAATGTCCTGTTTGTTCTCCAGACAAACAGTAAACAGTGAGGTCACAGGACAGACCTTGAAACAAAAGCTGTATTATGTCTTCAGGAGTCTTTGGGTCAGAAATCTCCCGCAACCTCCCCAGTATGGCTTGTAAATGAAATAAATATTACCAGAGAGAGAGAGAGATCATTCTGCTTTTATATGAAAAAAAGGAAACAGACTGTGAAATTCATTGTTTTTTATTCAAAAGAAAGAAGACGTTCATAATTTGCATGTTGTGGAAAGGACAGCTCTGTCTCTCTCCACAACGGGGCAGATACATACAAATCCTCCATAAAGCTAAAGTTGGTCTGATGATTACAAGAGGAAGACAGAAGCATAACCAGTATATCAGACATTACAAACACACATACACGCACTCAACGTTGGCCTTCCATACACAAGCACTTCAAGTTCCACTTGTATTATATCAAAGGTAATAACAGAAAATATATCAGAAATGCAAAGGTAATGACAGGAAATAATAATTGAAAACATTATTTAAGCAATCATTTAAAAAAACAAGAGATTTCAAAACATAAAGCCAGCACATGCACAGATAGTGCACAATTTCTTAGTGGCTGTGGTTCAACAAATAACATAATACAAAGTACAAAAAACATGGAGCACTAAAGAACATAATTTAAAAAATCGGTCTTCGCAACAGAAGATGAGATTGAAAAATACAAGGTCAAGATTGGAAAGTTCTACTTAATTTCAAGTGAAACAAATGTAAAAATTGTTTTAAAAAAAGACAAATAAAGGGAAAGCATAAGGCCAGCGGTACGTTCAGAGATCCTTGTGTAAATGGTGTGAAATGGCTAGTTAGTTAGCGGTGCGCGCTAGTAGCGTTTCAATTGGTGACGTCACTTGCTCTGAGACCTTGAAGTAGTTGTTTCCCTTGCTCTGCAAGGATCGCGGCTTTTGTGGAGCATTAGGTAATGATGCTTCGTGGGAGGCAGTTGTTGATGTGTTCAGAGGATCTCTGGTTCGAGCCCAGGTTGGGGCAAGGAGAGGGACGGAAGCAAGACTGCTACACTTGGCAAAAAGAGGCAAGTGAGGACAGTTCATGATTCCTTCTAGGCCATGAGGTGAAAGGACGCATTGTTTAAGAATCTGAACTATCCCAGGTTAGGGTTTGGTAGAAATGCCCAGCACAAAGATAGTTGCAGGTCAAAGTGCACAAATGCTGTCAATGAGTCTGTACCACAGCTTAGGAGAACGTACCAGGGGTTCGTGGGGTTTACTGGTAAGAGAAGGCACCGGTTTAGAGGTTAGAGAAGGCACGAGGAGAGAAAGCATTGGCATGCTAAGGCACAGAAAGGCATGGCCCAATATTGGGACAGGTATTGAAGGCACAGATATATTCGACAAAGCATAGATATTGATCATTAAGGCACAGTATAGATATGGCCCATTTCCACCCAGACAATCAGCAGGCAAGATGAAGCTGCCTATTACCTTAAATCTTATAGTGTATCTATCCAATCCTCTCAGAGCTACAGGAGTACTTTGGGTGTGTAAGGGGTTATTTTGGGCATTGGAAGAGGAGTAGAGTATTAGATAGCAGCAGGGACTTGTTGTCCACGCCCGGCCCCAGCCCCCTGCTGGGCAGTGTACTTCTGAGAGTGCCAGCGGGTCTCCTTGTACACAAACCAGGTGTTGCCCGCCCACACGATCAGATTCAGGTACCCAAACACCTAGAGGAGAGAGGCAGAGATTGCTTTAGTCAGAGTGAGACCATGTGATCAAACAGAAGTGAGCATGGCAAACACAGTATTTCTGTTGGATGTGCAGAAAAACTAAAGGAAAACGTTACATTTGATCTATTTTTAATCTATGTAATTATCATATAATTCAAGTGAATGTGAACTTGATACATTATGATTAACAAGAATCATCTATAAGAAGATAAAAGAACGGTTGAGTTACTCACCACAGAGACATTGAGGGTGCGCATGTTGGCGAAGTCAGTGACCTCGCAGGCCACGTCGCTCTCCTTGCAGAGTGCCAGTGTGGAGGTGATGCCCACTGTCCCGGTGGCATCCTTCACGTTCTGCAGCCCCTTGGCCCATGCTGAGGAACACACCAGCCACAGGAAGGCAATCACTGCCGTCAGACCAAAATCCTGGGGGGAGAGAGGGAAGAGGGAACCGAAATCATCATCACTTAGTTTGTCCCTGTCGGAACCACTTTGTTTCAGCAAGGTTTAAAATGGATAAGGAAGTACATTCAATTGTAGCCTGATCCCTGATCTGTTTGTGATGTCTTGCTTGGCGTGACAATGACCAGAGGAGTTATCAAGACAGAATAAACAGATGTAGGACCACACCAAATGAATTGTTCACATCCTACTGGAAGATATGCATGAATAACTCAAGACATTGGCTTAAAACGTGTAGGCCTATTTATTTATAGCGTTTTTTTGGACAGGGACGATGTACAACAAAACATACGTCTCAGATCACTGAGAAATAATGTGTTGCACCAGATTTCATTTATCGCTCATTTCCATCTGCAGTCCCCAGGCAGGTGAACATATTAAAATGTAAAACATTATATACAAACAGGCAACATACATACATCAGACATAAAATAACAGAGGTCAGGACATAGACACATTTTATTTATGTAAACGGGAGACTTCTGCTATTCAAAACTGATTTGCGGTATATATTCAGGAACAAATTACCATGTGGTATTAACAACATCAAGGACAAGCGTTTTCTGATCCACAAGGAAAAATGGGCAGCTGATATTTGGTTTAAACCTAAACTTAGAACCAGGGGTTGGTACCGGTTCAGGGAACAGAACAGAAAACTGTAAAATAATGACATTTTTTGAGGAACAGAACCAGAACCGAGAACGAAAGTGATCTAATACTGTTCCGGAACAGAACCATTATTTTAAAAGCATGGGAACCGGTTAATAACGTTCTGGGCATTTCTTTTTGTCCCACAAAAAAACACAACAAAGTGCCTATGCAAAGCCCTCACTCTGTCACTCAGAAATTCAGTGTCTGCCTGCCTGCCAGCTGGAAATCTTTGCCAGTGTGTGTGTAGGCTACCTGCCCCTCCCTTCCCTCCAAAGCATAGTCTACTGTAGCTACTGAAGTTACACACGTGATTCAGAAATTAGGGAGAGAGAGATTTTTAATTAGAGAAGAATGGATTAACTTTTTCAAGGATACACGTTTCAAATTGGATTAATTAACAAAAAAAAGGTAAGACGTGTTTTTGATTTAATTCTGGTGCCGCTCTGCGCACACAAGCTTGTTAGCTAGTTAGCTCTGGTCTAGCTCTCAAACACGCTAGGCGGCATTATAATGGAACTGATAGTCATGCATTTTTATTTATTTTTTTGGGTCATTTAGCAGACGCTACAGTGAGTGAGTGCATACATTTTTCATACTGGCCCCCCGTGGGAATCGAACCCACAACCCTGGCGTTGCAAACGCCATGCTCTACCAACTGAGCTACACGGGGCCCAAGGGCTAGCTCTGGTCCAACGTTAGTTAAGCCAACTCTCTGAAGTTCAAAGACATTCATAGTTCCTTCATAGATGCCACTCCTCCTAGGTAGAATTCTGTGGGCCTAATTCAGATAAAGCATGTCATAACAACAAGATGCCCAGCGCTTTATGCCCAGCGCTCTCCTCACCTGTAAAATTTCAGTCGCATCTCGCACCCTACACTACACTTGTCTGTCCAATGCATGTACATACTGCAGCTTGCCTGCTCCATAGCAAGCTGCTCTATCCATTGGTGAAATAATTTAATGTCGAGCTAAATATATACAGTATACAAAAAATGATTTCAGAGGTTTAAAAAGGAACAGAAAGGAACGATTTAAACCTTTACTTTTTGGGGGGTTCAAACCGGTTCAGAACTTTATTTTGCTGGTCGGAACAGTGGAACGGAACAAAATAAATAATGGTTCTGTTCAGAACGAAACGATTGGAAAATAATTTTGGTTCCAACCCCTGCTTAGAACGTAAACTCTCATCAAAGAGAACTACACCCCTGAACCATATGTCCGCCTGAACCTAACAAAAAGCCAAAGGTCCGTTTGTGCACACGTCAGATCCGGCACCCTCCCTCTGGCTATAGAGACAGGTAGATTTAACAGATTGCCTGAAGAAAATAGAATTTGCCTAATGTGTGATCTTGGGGAAATCGAAAACAAAATCCATTTAGTGTTTTATTGCCCTCTGTATAATGATCTCAGACGTTCTTTGATGATCTGAGACATTCTTTTTTGTAAAATTTTTGGTGATAACCCTGAAGTATTTTGGTTACGGGACAAGCAGAGGTTTGAATTTTGTTTCAGACAGGGTGTGTTTGAGATTGCTCAGTTTGTTCACAATGCCTAGAGGAGAAGGGGAAATGTACTGTTTGTGTAGTGTGGCTAGATGGTAGCTGTACTTAAAATCAAATCAAATGTTATTTGTCACATGCGCCGAATACAACAGGTGTAGACCTTACAGTGAAATGCTTACTTACAAGCCCTTAACCAACAATGCAGTTTTAAGAAAAATAAGTGTTAAGTAAAAAATAGATAAGTATGTTAAATAAATACAAAATTAAAGAGCAGCAGTAAAATAACAGTAGCGAGGCTATATACAGGGGGTACCGGTACAGAGTCAATGTGCGGGGGCACAGGTTAGTCGAGGTAATTGAGGTAATATGTACATGTAGGTAGAGTTAATTATGAGTATAATTTGTCAAATGTTATTTTGTTTTGAGCACAAGGAAAATGGTACTGTGTTTAGTAGTGTCTTATAAGCCCATGTGGGCTGGGCACCGGTAGGTGTATGACATTTAAATAAATCATATAAATCAAAATCAAATATTAATTATTATTAATTACATATTAATTTCAAGTCACATATGAGGATCTCAATCTAGGTTTTGTCCTTTTACTTTCCCAGTACTCACAAACATGGGGCCGAAGTCGGAGTCCTTGTACACGTGCATGTAGCCCAGGTAGACGAGCAACGCCACCATAGAGTACAGGAAGCAGATGATGGCCACGCCCACAAAGAACTGGGCCGAGGAGGCGGAGTCTCCCACCAGGTGGGTGACGGGCACAGAGTGGTTACACAGAGTGGTGTTGCCCTCCACTAGAGCAACCAGGTTTAACCTGGGGACACAACACAGCTTTACACTTCAGTGTAAATCTATACTTAACATAGCAGAGTTTTCCAGAGTGTTTCAGTAAGAGATCAGTGTCACACTGTAAATATACTGAACAAAAATATAAACGCAACATGCAACAATTTCTAAGATTTTACTGAGTTACAGTTCATAAGGAAATAAGTCAATTGAAATAAATTCATTAGGCCCCAATCTATGGATTTCACATGACTGAGAATACAGTCACAGATACCTTTAACAAAAGGTAGGGGCTTGGATCAGAAAACCAGACAGTATCTGGTGTGACCACAATTTGCCTCATGCAGTGCTACACATCTCCTTCGCAGACTGTTGATTGTGGCCTGTGGAATGTTGTCCCACTCCTCTCAATGGCTGTGCGAAGTTAATGGATATTGGTGGAAACTGGAACACGCTGTTGTACACGTCAATCCAGAGCATCCCAAACATGCTCAATAGGTGACATGTCTGGTGAGTATGCAGGCCATGGAAAAACTGGGACATTTTCAGTTTCCAAGAATTGTGTACAGATGCTTACGACATGGTGCCCTGCATTATCATGCTGAAACATGAGGTGATGGTGGCGGATGAATGGCACGACAATGGGCCTCAGGATCTTGTCACGGTATCTCTGTGCATTAAAATTGCCATTGATAAAAGGCAATTGTGTTCGTTATCCATAGCTTATGCCTGCCCATACAATAACCCCATCGCCACCATGGGGCACTCCGTTCACAACGTTGACATCAGCAAACCGCTCGCCCACACAACGGCATACACGTGGTCTGCGGTTGTGAGGCCGGTTGGACGTACTGCCAAATTCTGTAAAACGATGTTGGAGGCGGCTAATGGTAGAGAAATTAACATTCAATTCTCTGGCAACAACTCTGGTGGACATTCCTGCAGTCAGTATGCCAATTGCACGCTCCCTCAAAACTTGAAACATATGTGGCATTGTGTTGTGTGACAAAACTTCACATTTTAGAGTGGCCTTTTATTGTCCTTAGCACAAGGTGCACCTGTGTAATGATCATGCTGTTTAAATAGCTTATTGATATGCCAAACCTGTCAGGTGGATGGATTGTCTTGGCAAAGGAGAAATGCTCACTAACAGGGATGTAAACAAATTTGTGCACAAACTTTGAGAGAAATAAGCTTTTTGTGCATTGAAAATTTCTGGGATCTTTTATTTCAGCTCATGAAACATGGGACCAACTTATACCCTGGGGATATAGAATGACAATAACAAGAGGATAGATGGAGACTATATATTGTCAACATTTCAGCTGCAAATCTTCCTGGTTGACAATTAAAAAGTATCCATTGTGTCATCTAGTTTAACCTGATACATCTTCACTGTACAGGTTACTTCCTGTTTGTGTGTCATACTACACCTGGAATAAACCCCAGTCATTACACTGCACAAGAAAACACTCATCCAGTTTAATTTAGGAAATAATCAGTTGAGGTCATGGGGTCAAGTTGTTTCCTCCACCATGAACATTCTCCTACAGATGGTATCTATACAACAACTTCCTTCACAGTTCCAGCAGGATATCTGATAACACATCAAGGCATTTCAAATATTTCAAAAGGGGTCTTATTTGCAGTTGGGTCTGATAGTTGTAGGGGTATCAACCACAGTAACACACAGAGAGAGGACTGACAGACACCCACCTGAAGGGATAGCTAAAAGTAGCATTCAGCGTCTCGTTCCTTCCTTCGCTGCAGAAGAGTGACACGATATTCTTGCCAGAATACCCCCCACAGCTCCCAAATGCAAAGATGGCTGTCAGCTGTTTAAAACAGAGAGAGAGAGAGATTGAGAGAGATATATCATGTAAACAGTTTTACCTGAGCAGGGAGAAGGGGGAAACATTGCTTACATTGGACATACTGTAATATACTGTAGGTAGACCAGCTATGGGGGGCTGTTTTGATTAATGGAATGAAATAATTGAAGAGCATGCATTCAGCATCACACCCAACAGTAAGCCTGCCAAGAACAAGAAGGATCTAACGGTCTACATAAAGATCCGTTTTGATCCTCTTTTCATTCTCTCTGCTGCAAGCTATGTTGTTCTCTGTTGATGCTCTCTCTCTCTCTCTAGATGTAGGCTAGAGGGATTTAGAGGGTTAATAATACATACACACACATCCAGAGGGTTGAGCCCAATAGTCCTCAACTGCACCTTCAGAATGATTGAGTTCCAAGTTGCCCCTAAGCCCAGATCTAGGATAAGCTTGACCTTTTATGAATCCAAATTGTAACTAATAGGACAAGAAACACATGACTGGCCTTAGATCAGTGTCTAGGGGGAACTTACAAATAATTAATGGCCGTGCCTCCATTTTGGTTCCGGAGAAGGCCCTTCTTTCTCTCCCTTCTCCAGATGTTCTCATTTCACAGTGTGTCAACTTCCTGTTGACTGACTACCTCATTGTAGCAACTTGTGCCATCCCACAACAATTAACATCTAGTGAGCACTGCAAATGCACAGACAGAGACAACAGCCTGCTATGTAAAAGTATATGGTCAGATGACTAGGGTGTTGCTGCCTGTCTGGCCTGCAGCCTGAATCTTGAAGGATTTGCACAGTGAGAGAGAGAACAGCTGAATTGTTAACCTAATTTTCTCCTGCATAGCTACACAGGATTCCTTTGACCGAGTTATGCAGACACTACATGTGAGAAGACAGATTTTCGGGATGTCTCATAGCTCGGCCACCTCCCACTGCAGATGGGGACCGCCGACATCGGCGGATGCAGTGGATTGAGACGCAGCCCAGATATCTCTAGTTTAAATGGACTGATTTTGATGGGGAGTTTTTATTATGTTACTTAGATTGAGTCAATAGGGTGCGTCAATATACTCTTATGGATTTTTAAGTTCTGCAAAACCTGTCAGATTGATTGGGTGCAAATAAAATAACATTTTCTTCTAGGTGTCAGATTATGTCAGGAGCACAGTTTCCTGACCCAAAAACTGCAAGTTACCTTCAAGATAATGATTGTATATGCTGGGTAATATTTAAGTGAATTATTACTGAGAGACTAATTAATGTATAACACCTTGTCTTTCATTTGAAGGGCATGCACAGGGTTTTGTACAGGGACATTTCAAAACCATGCCAGTACAAACTGATCCAGCCCCTAGCCCCCTACTCTAGCAGACGTTGCATGAAATGGAGAGTTGAATGAATGTCATACTGTAGGCTATCATTATTTTGTCATTGCAGAATCAGGAGGAAAGAGACTGACAAAATAAAACAAAACTGTGACACATTAGTTTATGAATAACTGATGAAAGCTTGTATGGTTTGCGCCAACATGCAATATGATTGAAAAGCAAAAAAAGTGTAATATACAGTACATGTATTTTCTCTTTTATTTTCTCAGGCCACAGCCCCGAACTAGAGTGATAAATCCCTCGGCTATTAGAACTGTTGAGTTGCAGACTTTCTCCAGTAGGATTCCTGACAGTGTAGCCTACTTACCCATTCTACAAATTTGATTAATCCCAAGCGGTTCCTTGAGAGGCGCCAAGTTCAGTCGAAATCCTGTCATCATCTCCCCCGACTCCCCACCTATCTAAATATTATCTGAATGAAGTTTAAGTATATGTTGCTAGAAAGTAACCAAACAAGTTTCAATAAATTTGACAGAATGACGTGGTACTGCTCGCAATGGCTTTGTGCTCTCCGTTTTGGTGATGCCTGTCCCTCCTACGCAAATAACGGAGGCTACTGTCGAAAAAAACGATGGAAAACGGTCAGAATGTGCCTTTACAGATGAGCTTATACTCTCTCGGTAGATAGTTGCAATTTGAAGCAACTAGGATTAGGTCTACTTAACAAATCCTAAATTGGCTAAACAACTGATAGACTAATGATGGAAAGTAACGGTTCTCTCAACTGCGCGTCTCGAATTTCTTATCCCAAAGACTGCAGATTACTGTAAAAAAGGTCTGTCTTGTAGTCCCAATAAACTGCTGAACCTTCGGTCTCTGTTTGGAAATCGGTCTCTTGTTGCAAGTTTCTGCTGCTCTAGTCATATGACTTGAAAGAAAATCACCAAACCGAGAATTCTCTAAATTCCTTCACAGAATATAGGGCATTGAGCGGTTCAGAAGAAGCAGGTAGAGTAGTCTATATGTCAATAGCGGTGAAGTCTGACCTCAATTGTATTGTACAGTATGTACAGTACTACTCAGAGAAAAATATTGGTGCAGATGACTATCTGACTTTACCAATGACAAACATATTTGAATGAATATATGATGTCTATGGAACTCAATCATGCGGGGCACATTGGAGGAACCCCGCCAATAAACAGAGAACAGAACACAATAAATTTTGTTTTTTATCCAAAGATTCACACATAAAATAATTATTCAACATGTGATATCAAAATTATTGTAGGAGGGTTTGGCTGGGGGGCTTTACTTGGCTCATCGTGCTCTAGTGACTCCTTGTGGCGGGCAGGGCGCCTGCAGGCTGGCTTTGGTCGACACATTGGTTAAGTGGGCAGGTGTTAAGAAGTGCGGTTTGGCGGGTCATGTTTCAGAGGACGCATGACTCTACCAAGCCCGCTGGGGAGTTGCAGCGATGAGACAAGATCGCAATTGGATATCATGTAAAAGGGGGTAAAATATTATTGCCTTGATAACAGCTTTTTACACTCTTGGCATTCTCTCAACCAGCTTCATGAGGAATGCTTTTCCAACAGTCTTGAAGGAGTTCCCACATATGCTGAGCACTTGTTGGCTGCTTTTCCTTCACTCTGCGGTACAACTCATCCCAAACCATCTCAATTGGGTTGAGGTCGGGTGATTGTGGAGGCCAGGTCATCTGATGCAGCACTCCATCACTCTCCTTCTTGGTAAAATATCCTTACACAGCCTGGAGGTGTGTTTTGGGTCATTGTCCTGTTGAAAAACAAATTATAGTCCCACTAAGGCCAAACCAGAGGGAATGGCGTATCACTGCAGAATGCTGTGGTAGCCATGCTGGTTAAGTGTATCTTGAATTCTAAATAAATCAGTCACCAGCAAAGCACCACCACACCATCACACCTCATCCTCCATGCTTCACGGTGGGAACCACTCATCCGTTCACCTACTCTGCGTCTCATTAAGACACGGCGGTTGGAACCAAAAATCAAATTTGGACTCATCAGACCAAAGGACAGATTTCCACCGGTCTAATGTCCATTGCTCGTGTTTCTTGGCCCAAGCAAGTCTCTTCTTCTTACTGGTGTCCTTTAGTAGTGGTTTCTTTGCAGCAATTCGACCATGAAGGCATGATTCACGCAGTCTCCTCTGAACAGTTGATGTTGAGATGTGTCTGTTACTTGAATCTGAGGTGCAGTCAACTTTAATGAACTTATAATAATAATAATATAATATGCCATTTAGCAGACGCTTTTATCCAAAGCGACTTACAGTCATGCGTGCATACATTTTTGTGTATGGGTGGTCCCGGGGATCGAACCCACTACCTTGGCGTTACAAGCGCCGTGCTCTACCAGCTGAGCTACAGAGGGCCACACTTATCCTCTGCAGCAGAGGTAACTCTGGGTCTTCCTTTCCTGTGGCGGTCCTCATGAGAGCCAGTTTCATCATAGCGCTTGATGTTTTTTGCAACTGCACTTGAAGAAACATTCAAAGTTATTGACATTTTCCAGATTGACTGACCTTCATGTCTTAAAGTAATGATGGACTGTCGTTTCTGTTTGCTTATTTGAGCAGTTCTTGCCATAATTTGGACTTGGTCTTTTACCAAATAGGGCCATCTTCTGTATACCACCCCTACCTTGTCACAAAACAACTGATTGGCTCAAACGCATTAAGGAAATAAATTCCATAAATTAACTTTTAACAAGGCACACCTGTTAATTGAAATGCATTCCAGGTGACTACCTCATGAAGCTGGTTGAGAGAATGCCAAGAGTGTGCAAAGCTGTCATCAAGGCAAAGGGTGGCTACTTTGAAGAATCTCAAATATAGAATATATTTTGACTTGTTTAACACTTTTTTGGTTACTACATGATTCCATATGTGTTGTTTCATAGTTTTGATTTCTTCACTATTATTCTACAATGTAGAAAATAGTGAAAATAAAGAAAAACTCTGGAATGAGTAGGTGTGTCCAAACTTTTGGCTGGTACTGTATATTAAATCAAACATTTCAATTTGACAGGATGGTGTTTTTAATATGTAGACATTGCAACAGTAATGTAGTTTAAAATATCAGATAACTTCAGGTTTTGGGAAACAATTTGGTACAACCAACATATAACAAAACAAAAATTGAATTCGCAAGTATTACATTTCAATACAGCATTCACACAAGACTACAGCAGGATTGCCAAATTCCGGTAATCACGAAATCCTGGTTGGAGGATCCAGATTCCCAGCGTATTCCCTCCTGATTCCCGGAAAACCTGGGAATTTTGGTAAAGTTACCAGAATTTTGCAACACTACTCTACACACAAACAAACATTTGCTAAAAGCTGACATAACAACACCTGTCATACAACAAACAAGCAGTGTGGAGGATTCTGTATTGGTAGAAAATGGGAATTAGACAAAAATAATAATAATATCGCCATCTCTCCCTACCCTGCCCTCCTGCAGTATAATTAAGTTGTTATATACACGTGAGAAGACAGTTTGGCCAAGTCCTTTTAAATATGAAGATTTACTGCAAATATTCTGGCAATATTTACCTTTGTCATAAAAAATTATGATTTCTGAGGTAAGAACCAACCAAGACGGTATCAAAATAGTCAAATCAAGCTCTACGGAAATGTTCCCCATAATTCAATAACAGTGACAAATGCCTTCTTGTTCTCTAAATCAAAGAAAAATATATGTGTAACAAATATATTTGTACTTTTACACAAATAAAGAGGTGCACACAAATAGAGAGATTTAACTGTGTGTGAGTCCAAAATGGCACCCTATTCCCTATACTTTACTGGTCAAAAGAAGTGAACTATAAAAGGTATAGGGTACCATTGCAGACGTGCAGTTCTGTAGACAGTATTTTAGCAACATGATTAGTTGGCTTCTAAATGGCGACTTGCCCACGTGTGGGTAGTGTCTTGTAAAGAACCAGGGAAAAACGTATTTAAATAAGGCCAACAACTTAAAGGTAGAGTGTGTGTTCCCCTGATCAGCAAATTCATTTGCATAAAGGAATACGACGTTCCTTTAAAGGAAGACACTGTCAGCACGCACACACGCACAAACAACATCCACACTCAGGAACATTAAACATAGACCTCTCAGTTTTAGAACCACACAAAGTTCGGGAACTTTCATGAACACAGTATCTCCTTTCCTGTGATCAATTTATAGCGACACTTGGTCATTTAAACACTAACATAACCGCAGTTTAAATGATTTATATACCACGATATCATTCCATCCATCACTAAAAGACAATGCTAAGTAGATTATGAATGACTTTAAAACAGCTCTGTACACACAACACAGGGTAGAATCAGTGTGAATATGTTCGTTTACATCCCTTTCTATCTCTCGTTCGCTCTCATTTATCCTCACTCATCTCCCTCTCTCTTTATTACTTACTTGTTTCACTCACTCACTCACTCCTCTCGCTCACCCTCCCTCACGCGTCTCATTCACTACTCTCTCTATCCCTTGGCCTTCACTCGGGTGTGGGTTTGGACGTGTGGTGTGTGTGGGTCTACTCTCCTCTCCAGTGGAGGACAGTGCTTCTGGGAGGGTGGGTGGGGGTTGAGGGAAAGGGGGGGGGGGGGCGTCATTAGCAGTGTGCCGCCTCCGGTGGGGTGATGGAGGTCAGGGGTTCTGGAGTCAGGGGAGCGGCCCCTCAGTGGAGGAGCTCCTTGAGGTCACTGTCCGTTATCTTGGCATTGTCTCTGACGTCATCGAAAGTGTACGTCTTGACAATTTTCCCATTCTGAAACACTGTGTGTAACAGGTCCTGGAGGGAGACGGAGAAGTGAGGGAGGGAGCGAGAGAGAGAGCGAGAGAGGGAAAAAAACAAAAATGAATGTCAGTGAAGTGTCTAATTGACTAACCTCAATAAAAAGGTCACATTTGACTAACCACAATAACTAAAACAACATTAAATTTACAAAGGCTATTGGAATGCATTGACGTGGGAGTAAGGTATGATATGTGAACTCAACTTACCACACCATACTCCTCCAGGTCTCCCTTGCCCTCCTCGAGAGTGACAAAGTCCCCGCTCGCTGTCCGGTGCAGAGACAGACGACCTTTCTTTGACCTTTTGTTAGGGTCCGCCACTGGGTCCTTGAACACGTTCACCTGACACCAAATATTAAACAGTTACACTTCTCCTTCCAGTGAAGGTATGCATAGATGTGTGTCTGTGTTAAGAGTCCTGCACGGGACAGTTTTTTGGAGATGCACCTTCCCTACGCCAGCCAGGTCAATTCCGAGCTCCACCCGATATCAGGACAGATTTTTCTCCGCAACCCGACCGCCAAATAATATAAATGTATTTAATAGTTTTTATGACTCCAGAGAAGTATAGGCTATTAGGCTATTACCCTTTCCTGTATGAATTGATTTGTCTGCATGTCTATTCAACATTTGGATAAAAGGAAACCATGCCATTATTTTCACAATGCGATGCGGCACATTGTCAACTCAAATTGCTTAGAAAAAAATACTATTCTCAATTACCCAATGAAAGCCTATAGCTGACATACATTAAATATTGTTTCAATAATCGAATAGTTTAATTGAAAGTTATATAAACAATTCCCAAAATCGAATATGCTATAGGCTGCAAAAATAGCATCCATTTATTTAGCAGGGTATACTCAAACTTTTACCACCCGCACAGGTTTAAAATGTATATGGCCTGGGTATGTTCTAAATGAACAAAAGCCTGAATTAATGTAATAATTAACTGATAATTAACTGAATTGTTTTCATCCAACAAATGTAAACACCTGGAGTTTGCTAAACAGCATTGGCACTTGAATTGTAACCGGTGTTTGGTCAGATGACATGAAAATAGAGCTCTTTGGCCATGCACACCATTGGTGGGTTTGCTGTCGAAATGAGAATGCATGAGCAGAAAAGAACCCCATTGTAAAATATGGTGGTGGATCTCTAATGTTATAGGGCTATTTTGCTTCCACTGGTCCTGGGGCCCTTGTTAAGGTCAACGGCATCAGGAACTTTACCCAGTACCAGGATATTTTAGCCAAAAACCTGGTTGCCTCTGCCAGGAGGCTGAAACTCGGCCACAAGTGGATCTTCCAGCAAGACAATAATCCCAAGCACACACCAAAACCCTCAAATAAATTGTTAATTTCCCACAAAATCAACATTTTGCAATGGCCATCTCAGTCTCCGGACTTGAAACCCATTGAAAACCTGTGGTTTGAATTGAAAAGGGCAGTCCATAAGCACAGACGAAGGATATCAAGGATCTGGAAGGATTCTGTATAGAGGAATGGTCTAAGATCCCTCCCAATGTGTTCTCAGTGCCGTTATTCTCGCAAGGTGAGGTATTGAAAACAGGGTGCCAATAATTTTGACCCCTACCTTTTTGAGAAAAAAAGTATTACTTGTTAAACAAAATCTCTTTCTCTGAGCAATTGTATTAGCATAAAATAATTTCCCCATTTTTTTTAGCATACAATATAGCTCAGTATTTGAATTAATTTATACAATAATTTCTGCTCATCCTTATCAAGAGTGTCAATAATTTAAGACCCCACTGTAATACAGTATACAGTATGTATGTGTGTGTGATGGTGTGTGTGTGACGGTGTGTGTGCATGCGTGTAATGTTCTGCTCACCCCCAGGCCGTTGGTGACCACGTAGCTGCATTTGAAGGAGCAGTTGAGCAGATCCCTGGTCAGTTTCTGCAACAGAGCCCCTCCAGAGCCAAAGGCGATGTTCTCAATGCTCCACCTGTGCTGCTTCATCCCCTCCACGATCTACACACACAGATACATGCACTGTTAAAACTGACGTGTGTGTGTGTGTGTGTGTGTGTGTCTGTGTATATGTACCTCTTGCAGGGTGTTGATGTCCACTCCATCCCCCTGTATAACTCTGATATAGGGTGGCAGAACCTTGTAGCCTTTGGAGTTCTCCGTAGGGATAAACTTCTTCCCCAGGATCTCCAGCACCTGAGAGGAGGAACCACAAAGATTTTGAAAAAGAATATTAAACATCTGTACGGGAGGAACATACAGAACCGACTGGGAGGGCTTCCATAGGGCTCAATCCCAACTACAGAAGCCCGGTCATAGCTCAAAATATCACCCAAATCATGCACCCTCTGTAGCTCAGTTGGTAGAGCGTGGCGCTTGCAACGCTAAGATCGTGGGTTCAATTCCTGGGACCACCTGTACATAAAATGTATGAGTGCATGACTATAAAAGCGTCTGCTAATGGCATATATTATTATTATTGTTATTATTATTATTATTATTATTATTCTACACTTACAGTGAGGGAAAAAAGTACTTGATCCCCTGCTGATTTTGTACGTTTGCCCACTGACAAAGAAATGATCAGTCTATAATTTTAATGGTCCAGAAACATCCAGAAAAACGCATGTCAAAAATGTTATAAATTGATTTGTATTTTAATAAGGGAAATAAGTATTTGACCCCCTCTCAATCAGATTGTAGACCTACACAAGGCTGGAATGGGCTACAAGACCATCGCCAAGCAGCTTGGTGAGAAGGTGACAACAGTTGGTGCGATTATTCGAAAATGGAAGAAACACAAAAGAACTGTCAATCTCCCTCTGCCTGGGGCTCCATGCAAGATCTCACCTCGTGGAGTTGCAATGATCATGAGAACGGTGAGGAATCAGCCCAGAACTACACGGGAGGATCTTGTCAATGATCTCAAGGCAGCTGGGACCATAGTCACCAAGAAAACAATTGGTAACACACTACGCCGTGAAGGACTGAAATCCTGCAGCGCCCGCAAGGTCCCCCTGCTCAAGAAAGCACATATACAGGGCCGTCTGAAGTTTGCCAATGAACATCTGAATGATTCAGAGGAGAACTGGGTGAAAGTGTTGTGGTCAGCTGAGACCAAAATGGAGCTCTTTGGCATCAACTCAACTCACCGTGTTTGGAGGAGGAGGAATGCTGCCTATGACCCCAAGAACACCATCCCCACCGTCAAACATGGAGGTGGAAACATTATGCTTTGGGGGTGTTTTTCTGCTAAGCAGACAGGACAACTTCACCGTATCAAAGGGACGATGGACTGGGCCATGTACCGTCAAATCTTGGGTGAGAACCTCCTTCCCTCTGCCAGGGCATTGAACATGGGTCGTGGATGGGTATTCCAGCATGACAATGACCCAAAACACACGGCCAAGGCAACAAATTAGTGGCTCAAGAATAAGCACATTAAGGTCCTGGAGTGGCCTAGCCAGTCTCCAGACCTTAATCCCATAGAAAATCTGTGGAGGAAGCTGAAGGTTTGAGTTGCCAAACGTCAGCCTCGAAACCTTAATGACTTGGAGAAGATCTGCAAAGAGGAGTGGGACAAAATCCCTCCTGAGATGTGTGCAAACCTGGTGGCCAACTACAAGAAACGTCTGACCTCTGTGATTGCCAACAAGGGTTTTTCCACCAAGTACTAAGTCATGTTTTGCAGAGGGGTCAAATACTTATTTCCCTCATTAAAATGCAAATCAATTTATAACATTTCTGACATGCGTCTTTCTGGATTTTTTTGTTGTTATTCTGCCTCTCACTGTTCAAATAAACCTGCCATTAAAATCATAGACTGATAATGTCTTTGTCAGTGGGCAAACGTACAAAATCAGCAGGGGATCAAATACTTTTTTCCCCTCACTGTATATCAAATGGCAGATTAACATGGACGTGGAAGTTGTGTGCATCTTTCTCAAATTGGGATCTTGCCAATAATATTCAGGATTGCGTTAGTACTTTCTCAGAGGACCTGATTGGGACCTACCTTCAGTACGCTATCTACAGGGTTCCCTAAGTCAGGCGGACGACAAGGGGTTTAGGGGGGTTGAGTTAGGGTTTAGTTAGGGTCAAGTTAGGCCTAGTGTTACCTTCAGTACGGTATCCAGAGGGTTCCCTGAGTCGGGGCGGACCACCAGTGGGGCGTCAGCGCTGCGGGACTCAATGAGGCTCCTCAGGTCTTCTCCCCAGATCTTCTCACAGGCGTTGTAGATGTCATAGCTGTCACTGACGATAGACACGGGCACATTGGGAAACTGCCTCACGATGTGCTCAAAGGCATCTCGCTCGTGGTCCTTCCCCCACGCTGTGATGGTGCTGGAGAGAAGGAGGGAGAATAGAAAGTTATCAGATTTACTAAAGACAACAAAACAAATCTCTCTCCCTATGAACTCATTCACATAGCGCTGCACTACCACCACTATCCTTATTAATGCATTGCAGAGACTGAACTTCCAGAAGCTCATGTACCCTGGACGACGCTGGGCCAATTAAGCAACGCCCCATGGGTCTCCCGGACGCGGCCGGCTACGACAGAGCCTGGTTTCGAACAAGGATCTCTAGTGGCACAGCTAGCACTGCGATGCAGTGCCTTAGACCACTGCGCCACTCTGGAGAGTATCATATGGAGAGGAATGTGACTGTGTCTCTGTGAAATCTCTGGATGATGAAACTAAACAGACCGTCATGATTACTTAACCACAGTGAACAGTCCAGGCCAGGGCCGCTGGAGCCGGACTCCCAGAAACCATCGGGGCAAATGAATGGTGCAATGGAGCAGCAGTAAGTGGCCTTGTGGCATGGAACAGTGGTACACCCCACCCAACTAGAGATGTACTGTACATCTCCTGATCGTGTGTGTGTGTGTGTGTGTGTGGTGTGAATACACTTATCAATAGCCTATACAAGCAGAGCAGTTGATCTTTGGATATCAAAGCCATCATCTCCTGCTTGCTTTCTGGGGCTAAGAAGCCCCATACAAATGTAATTTGATTGATTCTGGACCAAGTAAGAGATGTTAGTGTGTTAGCTGTGTAGTCAGTGTGTGTCTAGACTGTATTACCTGTGCTCTGCAGCAGGCACAGAGAAGCCAGGCACAGGGTCCTTGGTGCCGTAGTACTTCTTAATCACGCCGATGCCAGCCACTGTGTCTGTGCCCTTAAAGTTCACCAGGTGGGCTGAGGCTCCGATACCTGCCGTCTAAAATGTGGAAGAGAGAGAGATGGTGAGTCAAATGTCACACACACCTATTTAACCCCCCCCCACACACACACACACACACAAACACACCTATTTAACCCCCCCCCCCCCACACACACACACACACACACAGTTCCTCTACCTCTTGTGAGGAGACTCCCCTGTAGCCGAAGTCGTGCAGCTTGTACTCCAGCTTGTCCAGGTTGCCAGAGGTCTCCAGCAGGTACTTGGCCAGAATCTTCTTCTGCTCCCTGGAGTTGGTCGCCACGGTGATGGGGTACCAGACCTGGACAAGGATGGTCTGGAGGGGAGGAGGAAGAGGGGATAAGGGGAGGGGGTTAGTAGATGGCCATACTAGAATGTCTGGAGCTTTCGAAGCACAACTTTCCTGTGCTTTCGAAGCGTCTCCCTCTCCCTCATTCCTGTCTCCCTCCATCCATTTTCCCTCCCTCTCCTTCTCTCTTCCCTTCATCCTCCCCCTCTCTAATCCCTCCCGATCCCCTCCTCCCGCTCTCTCCTCCATCTTCCTTGAACCGTAGTGTGCCTGTCCATGTGCCTGCCCTGGACCCGAAAGATCCCTCTGACCCCACCACAGCCCCATCCCTCCAGTCACCCCATCACAGTGTAGTGAGCTGGAACATGAACCCAAAACCAACCCTCTTGACAGACCCTTTATCCTGCTATGTGGAAGGGGAAGTGGGCTGTTCGGGAGGCTCAGGGGCTAGACCCACATTCCCTGGGAAAGGGACAGGGAGAGGACATCCGCATGTCAACACAGGGTTCGAAGGGGCGATTCCTCGCACGGCAAGCCCAGGACAGAGTTACTTAGCTGTGGCCCGCTGGCAGCTAGAGAAGCCTGGTTCTTTGTCTCAGTCCAGTCATCGTTGAACGGGCGAGTCAATATTATCACGCCGTGTCTAGTCATATTTCTCCCTCTAGGAACTGTGTCGTGTGTGTGTACGTGTGTGTGTGTGTGTACGTGAGTGTGTGTGTACGTGTGTGTGTACAGGATCAGTCTACAGGGTCAGAAACACCATGTTAAGGTTATACATGCAGGGTTACCTGATCTCTCACACACAACAAGATGTTGCTGGCCACAGCTCCATCAACTACACATGAATATGTGAAATTATCATAATAATCTAGAAACAAATGAATAATCTTTAAGGAACTGAAGGCATATAGGCCTGCTATATCACTGGTTGTATATAGATGCATGCAGTGATGCTGATGTTGTGGTGATCTACAGCAGTAATGCCAGGTGGAGACTGAGGAGGGTGCCGTAGAGCACCGTAGTGTGGATAGGGCTAACAAAGTCACATGCTTCCAGAGCCAAAAAAATAATATACTGTATAATATAGTGGTCATCAACCTTTGAGTCAAAAAGCAAGCCGAGCTCTACCGCTCAGAAAAAGAAAAACAAACATGACTTAAAAAATGTTAGTCTATGCAACATTTACTAGCGAGGCACAGCTGAGAATTAATTGAAATAATTTTCTTTTTTATTTTACTGATGGTACCTGCATCTGATGGTCAGTCTCAGCGGCGGGAGGGAGCAGCAGAGGATCCACCTCTCACAGTCTCTGCTCCCTCCCTCCGGTGAGACTGACCAGAGAGAGGAGGGGACAGTTGGCGAAACTCGAGTCGCACCGCATTATTTCTGCCTCACGCACAAATTCATGTTGTTCCTATGACCAGAGTATGTGAAATATTCCTTGATATTAAAATAGACACGATGAGCTGCTAATAATAAAAATGCAGGGCTATTGATATACTTGGCTACTCATTCATTGCAGCTGCAGTGCTGGTTGTAGCGCGAGTGGAAGTAGGGAGAAGCGCGTTTTATGTTGAATAAAAACAGTGTCGACACTGCTGAATAAAAACTTTAAAATGAACTCACTCATAAAAACAGCATCTCTTTGCTGTATTCTTTGAGTCTCTCTCTTTGGTCATGGTTTTAAAAGTTATCAAATCTCATGTAGGCTAGTATCAAACTTTTCTGTGGGGTCGTGGAAGCTGTAGGCACAGTGATTTGAGCTATCCAATTGACCAGCACAGTAGGCGCACTTGATTTAGCTCTCCCTTCAGACAAATTAAATTGTTCAAAATGGGAACACTTACCCGCCGCGCAGGGCTTCTGAATCAAGTGCACCTACCGCCAACAGCGCAAGACGCAAAAAAACTAAACATAAAGAACACAAGGCTAAATCGTTGGCTTTTCAACAGAAATGTTTGGTGATCGACTAGGAATGCCTTGAAGATCGACCGGTTGGTGACCACTGTTAATATGATCATGTGATGGTGTCAGACCAGCAAGGCTCCGGTCTGCTCTTCAGTGGAACTATTCTGCACGTTCACGGGGATCGGCCTGAGAAAGATTCACTGATCTTGATCGCAAAATAAGTAGTTACCCGGGAGGCAAGATGATTTGTAGATCAGTGATTCTGCACAGTGTGACTACTGAGAGGTGGAGACGGGGCCTAGCTCACCCTGTCAGACAGCTAAACGTCAGGCATCGCGGTCATTGTGCGTGTACTGTAGACAAAATGACCTTGTCCTCTCACAGTTCATACGTTACTCTGTCCTGTTTAAGACGCATAAGAAACACTGTCATTAATATAGGGTGCCATTCAAATGGCACCCTATTCTCAGGTTTCTGGTCAAAGAAGTGCACTATATAGGGAATAGGCTGCCATTTGTGATGCAGCACCCATAGAAACCATCCTAGTCAGAGAAGCTAGCTGGTAACACTCCAGGCTAGACAGACAGAGAGACAGGATACATGAGGAGGTTGTCTACAGATAGAGACTGATGGCTCTCATCATAAGTTCATTAAAAAGCGTCACGGTTGTGTGGTGTGCTCTAGGGGCAGGCCCTTGGTCAGTGAGGAGTGAAGTTAAATATTAAATGTATCTTTGATCAGGCACAGTCTCCGACAGCCTCACTGACTCTAAGGAGGTATTTGGAACAGACAGGAAGGACCCAATCCAGTCACATTGATGGAGAGACCTAACCTACCTCTAACCATATAAATCCACTCCATTCCAAAATGGCTGCCGCTCCCCCCCCTCTGACACTCACCTCCACCCAGTTAGTGAGCCAGTAGCATTCTGGGTCGGTGCTCTCCACGGTGAATAGGACGTTACCCCGTGGGATCACACTTCCCTCTGGCACCGCCTTGATCTCTATGGGTAGGTGTCCGTCATACTTCTGCAATATACACACACAACCGTTACAGCAGCCATTGCAATTAACATACAACATACAACATTCACCCTAAAGCCCACGGTCTGATCCATTTTCTTTATCATATTAGTAAAATAAAAGTATGTTTTTAAGTATCTTAAAATTCTATATGGAAAAATATGTTTTTGCAATAGGACACTAATCAAATTAAAGTGACCCTGATCAGCATTAGTACCCAGTGAGCAAAATTGATTTCCACCAAAAATACGTATTTTCAACGTCTGGTACTCTAGGTAGTGATGTCAGAGTTCAGAGAAACATCTAAAGTGATCTCTATGGCCTCTCCCTCAGTCCTCTCGCTGTGAAGATCTGATCTGAAACCTGTTTGTGTGTGTTTTTACTATCCTTGTGGGGACCAGAAGTCCTCACAAGGATAGTAAAACAAAGAAAATTCAGACAAAAAAAAAAAAACACACACGGAAAAAGGCTACTTTAGGCTAGGTTAGGGTTACAATTAGGGTATTGGGACAGTGACACATTTTTTGTTGTTTTGGTTCTGTACTCCAGTACTTTGGATTTGAAATGATACAATGAATTACAGCACTTTTTGTACACAGTCCCCACCCCCCCCAATTGTATTAAAGTAGTCAAAAGTTTAGTATTTGGTCCCATATTCCTAGCATGCAATGACTATATCAAGCTTGTGACTCTACCAACCTGTTGGATGCATTTGCTGTTTGTTTTGGTTGTGTTTCAGATAATTTTGTGCCCAATAGAAATGAATGGCAAATAATGTATTGTGAGAGGTTAGCATGTCTTGGGGGTATGATATTTGTGCGTCTGTAACCTCATCATTATTGACGATTCATTCAGGACTACCTGTAATCATGGTAGCATCCACAATAATTTAGAAATGTTTAAAAACATATTGTTTTCTTATTTACAATAAAGGTGACTCCAAAATGACACAATACATTATTTACCTTTCATTTCTATTGGGCACAAAATTATCTGAAACACAACCAAAACAAACAGCAAATGCATCCAACGAGGTTGTAGTCGCAAGCTTGATGTAATCATTGCGTGCTAGGAATATGGGACCAAATACTAAACTTTTGACTACTTTAATACACATAAGTGAATTTGTCCCAATACTTTTGGTCCCCTAAAATGGGGGGACTATGAACAAAAAGTGCTGCAATTTCTACACGGTTCACCCGATATGAATGAAAATACCCTCAAATTAAAGCTGAGTTCTATAGTACTACAGTTTAACCTCAGTCATTGAATCATTTCAAATCCAAAGTGCTAGAGTACAGAGGCAAAACTCTCCCAATACCTTTGGAGCTCACTGTAGTAAAACAAACGTGTACGTGTACCTCCAGTATGTAGTTCCAGCCCTTCTCGTTGAAGACGTCATCCTGGAAGTGTTCCCTGTACACCTCCTTTGCTTCCTGGATCTTCTCTGGAGTCACCACCTTCCCTGGAGGGGGAAGGGAGAGAGGGAGGGAGGGAGATGGAGAAAGAAAAAAAAGAAAGAGGTTAAATGGTTGAAGCATCAGTGAACAAGTGGAGTGTATCGGATAGAGAGAGATATGAAAGTTTATGAGAGCAAAAGAGTGAGAGAAGGGAGATGAGAGAGAAGCATTGGAATCCCAAAGTCCATCCGTGTGCTATTAAATTAGGAGCTTCTCTCTCCCTCTTACAGAGTGGCTTTGTCCTGCTGCAGGACATGCTACAGGCTAGCGACACACACAATGTTTACATTTCTTGCATTACCCATCTCATATGTATATACTGTATTCTATACTATCTATTGCATCAGCCTATGCCACTCTGATAATGACATTGCCCAGCCATATATTTATATGTTCTTATTCCATTCCTTTACTTAGATTTGTGTGTATTAGGTTTTTGTTGTGGAACTGTTAGATATTACTTACTAGATATTGCTGCACTGTCGGAACTAGAAGCACAAGCATTTCGCTACACTCGCAATAACATCTGCTAACCACGTGTATGTGACCAATACATTTTATTTTATTTTACTTTACTTTACTTTACACGCACGTAAAAACACATACACACACCTACAACTACACACAACCACACACACACCAACGTGTGGTTGATATGACCCCCTGTTGCAATAAAGTAACAAGGCTGGTATTTTTAAAAAGGTTATTTGAGTAGAAATAAAAAGTTAAAGTTAAGAAAATGTTATTCTAAGACTACTTCTTGCAAGTAGAACTCTGTATCATTGTAGTGAATCAATGCTAGTAGCTGCTAGTGCAGCTTCCCTTTGTGTTGCTGGGGCTCAAAGAGCAGATGTTCCTTTGTTTCCAGTCCACGCTAGTCCTGAAGCTCTCTACAGCACCTCGCTCTGCCTTGCCGTGAAATCACTTTGAGTTCCATTCTCTAATGCTGTGTGGAAGAATAAACACAGATCGTGGATCAGCTTAACCTTCTACAAACCCTAACCTTAGGGCAGGCACCATTAGGGCATGGAGTGAGAAACTGAGCTTAGATCAGTGTCTAGGCCAAGGCTGCCCCAGGTGGGACATCCAGCTAAGCCTCAACAGGCTCTCAGCTCCCTTTATAATAACTGACGGCCAGAGGAGTTCTAGTCTAGGCCCTGTTCAAATACAGTGAAAATAAAAGGCGTCCTGTTTCATTACTTCCTACTGTGGAGTAATCACTGACCGGACATGACTGGGTAGTGAAATCCTAACCACTGATGTTAGATCAATCAAAACTTCCAAGTGAGGCAGAAAGGAAGGATTCCTTTTTAAAGTATTGGAACGTGATCCTGGGGAGAATCTCAATTACATTTCCTTGATTCCTCGCGTCCTCTCTCCACGCCTCCTTCTCAAAACCAATCTTATTAAAGTAATCAAAAGTTTAGTATTTGGTCCCATATTCCTAGCACACAATGATTACATCAAGCTTGCGACTATACAACCTTCTTGGATGCATTTGCTGTTTACTTTGGTTGTGTTTCAGATTATTTTGTGCCCAATAGAAATGAATGGTACATAATGTATTGTGTCATTTTGGAGCCACTTTTATTGTAAATGACACAATACATTATTTACAGTGAGGGAAAAAAGTATTTGATCCCCTGCTGATTTTGTACGTTTGCCCACTGACAAAGAAATGATCAGTCTATAATATTAATGGTAGGTTGGAATCTGATTGATTGATTGCTTCTGTGGACAAGTGTCTTTTATACAGGTAACAAGCTGAGATTAGGAGCACTCCCTTTAAGAGTGTGCTCCTAATCCCAGCTCGTTACCTGTATAATAGACACCTGGGAGCCAGAAATCATTCTGATTGAGAGGGGGTCAAATACTTATTTCCCTCATTAAAATGCAAATCAATTTATAACATTTTTGACATGCGTTTTTCTGGATTTTTTTGTTGTTATTCTGTCTCTCACTGTTCAAATAAACCTACCAGTAAAATTATAGACTGATCATTTCTTTGTCAGTGGGCAAACGTACAAAATCAGCAGGGGATCAAATACTTTTTTCCCCTCACTGTACCATTAATTTTTATTGGGCACAAAATTTTCTGAAACACAACCAAAACAAACAGCAAATGCATCCAACAAGTTTGTAGAGTCACAAGCTTGATGTAATCATTGCGTGCTAATATGGGACCAAATAATAAACTTTTGACTACTTGAATATACATACAGTGGGGAAAAAAGTATTTAGTCAGCCACCAATTGTGCAAGTTCTCCCACTTAAAAAGATGAGAGAGGCCTGTAATTTTCATCATAGGTACACGTCAACTATGACAGACAAAATGAGGAAAAAAATTCCAGAAAATCACATTGTAGGATTTTTAATGAATTTATTTGCAAATTATGGTGGAAAATAACTATTTGGTCAATAACAAAAGTTTCTCAATACTTTGTTATATACCCTTTGTTGGCAATGACACAGGTCAAACGTTTTATGTAAGTCTTCACAAGGTTTTCACACACTGTTGCTGGTATTTTGGCCCATTCCTCCATGCAGATCTCCTCTAGAGCAGTGATGTTTTGGGGCTGTCGCTGGGCAACACGGACTTTCAACTCCCTCCAAAGATTTTCTATGGGGTTGCGATCTGGAGACTGGCTAGGTCACTCCAGGACCTTGAAATGCTTCTTACGAAGCCACTCCTTCGTTGCCCGGGCGGTGTGTTTGGGATCATTGTCATGCTGAAAGACCCAGCCACGTTTCATCTTCAATGCCCTTGCTGATGGATGGAGGTTTTCACTCAAAATCTCACGATACATGGCCCCATTCATTCTTTCCTTTACACGGATCAGTCGTCCTGGTCCCTTTGCAGAAAAACAGCCCCAAAGCATGATGTTTCCACCCCTATGCTTCACAGTAGGTATGGTGTTCTTTGGATGCAACTCAGCATTCTTTGTCCTCCAAACACGACGAGTTGAGTTTTTACCAAAAAGTTCTATTTTGGTTTCATCTGACCATATGACATTCTCCCAATCCTCTTCTGGATCATCCAAATGCACTCTAGCAAACTTCAGATGGGCCTGGACATGTACTGGCTTAAGCAGGGGGACACGTCTGGTACTGCAGGATTTGAGTCCCTGGCGTCGTAGTGTGTTACTGACGGTAGGCTTTGTTACTTTGGTCCCAGCTCTCTGCAGGTCATTCACTAGGTCCCCCCGTGTGGTTCTGGGATTTTTGCTCACCGTTCTTTTGATCATTTTGACCCCACGGGGTGAGATCTTGCGTGGAGCCCCAGATCAAGGGAGATTATCAGTGGTCTTGTATGTCTTCCATTTCCTAATAATTGCTCCCACAGTTGATTTCTTCAAACCAAGCTGCTTACCTATTGCAGATTCAGTCTTCCCAGCCTGGTGCAGGTCTACAATTTTGTTTCTGGTGTCCTTTGACAGCTCTTTGGTCTTGGCCATAGTGGAGTTTGGAGTGTGACTGTTTGAGGTTGTGGACAGGTGTCTTTTATACTGATAACAAGTTCAAACAGGTGCCATTAATACAGGTAACGAGTGGAGGACAGAGGAGCCTCTTAAAGAAGAAGTTACAGGTCTGTGAGAGCCAGAAATCTTGCTTGTTTGTAGGTGACCAAATACTTATTTTCCACCATAATTTGCAAATAAATTCATTAAAAATCCTACAATGTGATTTTCTGGATTTTTTTTCCTCAATTTGTCTGTCATAGTTGACGTGTACCTATGATGAAAATTACAAGCCTCTCATCTTTTCAAGTGGGAGAACTTGCACAATTGATGGCTGACTAAATACTTTTTTTCCCCACTGTAAGTGAATTTGTCCCAATACTTAATGGTCGCCTAAAATGGTATGAAAACAACAACAAATGCATCACTGTCTCAATACTTTTAGAGCTCATTGTATCCTTATGGGGACCAAACAATTGATTCCCATTCAAAACCCTATTTTCCCTAACCCTTATCTTAACCTTAACCCCAAACCCCTACACCTAACCCTAATTGTAACCCTAACCATGCCAAAAATAGCCTTTTTCCGTGTGTTTTTGTCAGAATTTTCCTTGTTTTACTATCCTTGTGAAGAGTTCTGGTCCTCACAAGGATAGTAAAACCACACACACACTTCAGGTCAGATCTTCACAGCAAGAGGACTGATCAATCATAACTTCCAAGTGAGGCAGAAAGGAAGGATTCCTTTTCAAAGTATTGGAATGTGATCCTGGGGAGAATCTCAATTGCATTTCCTTGATTCCTAGAGTCCTCTCTTCTCACCTCTTTCTCAAAACCCATTGGATGAAAAGGTCAGAATGGACAGACCTCTGAAGTTCTCATCCAATGGGTTTTGAGAATGAGGCGTAGAGATAGGATGTGAGGAATCAAGGAAATGCAATTGAGATTATCCCCTGCTCAGTCTAGACACTACTGAGCATTACATGCAGCCAGTCCATGCTTTAGAATTAATCTGAGCACCTGTTTAATTATATGCTAGCCTTGATCACATGACAGTGATTATTCTGCTGGCAGAGACAGGAAGGATCACTCAGTTCATTTCAACTCTGCAGACTAGTAGCAAGGCCTAGTGGTAGAGTATGTTAACTCAAAGAAGAGCTATTTATATAGGCTTGGATGTCTTATTTTGCATTATGAGGACATCAATACAATCCTTACCTTTTAAGTATTTGTTGGTGATGTACTGCAGGCCGTAGAAGACCGTTGTCTCATACTTGACTTTTCTGTTCTTGGTCGGGTCAGCCCTCTTCTCGCGGCACTCGAAGTAGGAGTACACTTTACTGGTGTTGGGAGGGTACTGCTTGTAGTGTGTCACCTGGAGCAAAGACAATATGGTGGAGACAACATTGATAAAATATATCATAACTTCAGGCTATAAAATGACAGCTAAAGAGATTGAACAGTACTTTGGCGACTAGTACTTATTTTTTAAACCTCCCGCTTTGGGCTGAATGTGTCAATATGTGACATTTTCCCCCAAGTGCGCCAGCCTAGTAATTCAAGTTTCAGCCAATGAGCTTCAGCTAAGAAAAGGCCTGCCCAGCGTTATCCAATGAGGTTGCAGGGCGGGCCCAACGGCTCAGTGGACAAGGCAGAGAGAGAGAGCCATGACGTGGTGCACATACAGTTTCTGCACATCTGTGACGTAGTACGCATTTTTCGGGGACCACTTTCGGATCATGAGCGCTACTTTCAAAACTACTGGCTGAAATTATACAAAAGTTCAACAGTACATCTTTAATAACAGTTTAAATAGCCTAACTACAGGATACATCACAGTTCCCGATTGTATAGTTAGTTGCCCTCAGGTATCCTTCCAGAGAAGTGATATAGATATGACATTCTCTTGCCAGAGTTTTACAATAATTTTCAGAACCGAAGATTGCTGGTCGCAGCGTCACAGGCATTTCATATGCAACAACAGGAAGATGTTGTGTCACAGGTTTGCACAGAGAAAACAATTGGCTGTCGTAATTTTTTCCTCAGTAACACCACAGAGACGTAAGAAAGGTTACACTGCTATTTGTTTCTTCAGAAACACTCCAAAATGTGTACCTGCACTGAGTGAAAGTTCTCACTCACTCTCAGCTGCTAGATATCAGCCTGCTGACCCTGATAAGACATGTCCAGGCCTGTCCCTCTGTCTGTCCATCTGTACTACACAGGACAGATAGACACGAGACAGATACAGGGATGATTGTTCCCATCCGCTTTCCAATTACAGACCACCTCCTCCCAAAGCCCTCTTCAAAGAGTTGTCATCTGACAATTTCCTAACGTGATTTTCACTAGTCACGTCGTTGTCATCTGCTGACCGTTTCTGTTGCACACCCACACAGAGGTGTCTATGGTTCTAGGCCTACTGAGCCACTAAGAATTCAACTAGACTTCATTGAAGTGATGGATTGATATGATGTATTCATGATCAAATCAACTCCTCTCAGAGTTAGGCTGGAGGAAGTATCAACAAAAATCATTATCTCAAATGACCCACTATTGGTCAAAGGTTGGCTCTGGTGAAATGTAGTGCATTCGTGTCATTTGGAGGGCTACCAAGTGCTTTCTGCTACGTAACGTGACCATGTCAGTTTATGCCTTTCATACTGTCAAACAGGGCCACTGCTGTGACTGGAGAGACAGAGGTCCCTCTCTGGGGCTTTGGGATGACAGTGATTGTGACAACAGCTCCCCTCCCTCTCCTCACACAGCTGTTTACGGTGGCGTCCCAGAGGGCTGCAGGGCTACGCTACACCCCCCCCCCCCCCAGCTCACTCTCTCTAGGTGCAGCTGGGACACCCAGGTATGTGCAGAGAAGTGGAACAGAAGGAGAGGATGGGTACATTGGGGGCAGTTAAAAAGAGAGTGGGACAAGAGACAGGCTGTGCAGCATATGGAACAGTAAATAACGCAAACACAGAGTAATGAGCAAATCTGCCACCAATGCTTTTATTGATTAGCCACGACTACTATGTACATATAATTACACTGGCCTCTCTACAGCGGTATATCTGACCGTGTCATTGCCTCTGGGCACTCCCACATACAGTGAGGGAAAAAAAGTATTTGATCCCCTGCTGATTTTGTATGTTTGCCCACTGACAAAGAAATGATCAGTCTATCATTTTAATGGTAGGTTTATTTGAACAGTGAGAGACAGAATAACAACAACAAAATCCAGAGAAAACACATGTCAGAAATGTTATAAATTGATTTGCATTTTAATGAGGGAAATAAGTATTTGACCCCCTCTCAATCAGAAAGATTTCTGGCTCCCAGGTGTCTTTTATACAGGTAACGAGCTGAGATTAGGAGCACACTCTTAAAGGGAGTGCTCCTAATCTCAGCTTGTTACCTGTATAAAAGACACCTGTCCACAGAAGCAATCAATCAATCAGATTCCAAACTCTCCACCATGGCCAAGACCAAAGAGCTCTCCAAGGATGTCAGGGACAAGATTGTAGACCTACACAAGGCTGGAACGGGCTACAAGACCATCGCCAAGCAGCTTGGTGAGAAGGTGACAACAGTTGGTGCGATTATTCGCAAATGGAAGAAACACAAAAGAACTGTCAATCTCCCTCGTCCTGGGGCTCCATGCAAGATCTCACCTCACGGAGTTGCAATGATCATGAGAACGGTGAGGAATCAGCCCAGAACTACACGGGAGGATCTTGTCAATGATCTCAAGGGAGCTGGGACCATAGTCACCAAGAAAACAATTGGTAACACACTACGCCGTGAAGGACTGAAATCCTGCCGCAAGGCCCCCCTGCTCAAGAAAGCACATATACAGACCCGTCTGAAGTTTGCCAATGAACATCTGAATGATTCAGAGGAGAACTGGGTGAAAGTGTTGTGGTCAGATGAGACCAAAATCGAGCTCTTTGGCATCAACTCAACTCGCCGTGTTTGGAGGAGGTGGAATGCTGCCTATGACCCCAAGAACACCATCCCCACCGTCAAACATGGAGGTGGAAACATTATGCTTTGGGGGTATTTTTCTGCTAAGGGGACAGGACAACTTCACAGCATCAAAGGGACGATGGACGGGGCCATGTACCGTCAAATCTTGGGTGAGAACCTCCTCCCCTCAGCCAGGGCATTGAAAATGGGTCGTGGATGGGTATTCCAGCATGACAATGACCCAAAACACAAGGCAACAAAGGAGTGGCTCAAGAGGAAGCACATTAAGGTCCTGGAGTGGCCCCTGAGTGTCACTGGCTGCTGGATGGATGGAGCCAGACAGCTCAGTCTGAATGCACACACACAAGGTTTCCATTATGTCTGTAGGTGTACACATACACATGACAACAATAATCAACAGAATATTTAATTCTAAATTCTGAATTTAGGGACTAAACAGGAGAGAGAAAGACAAAATAAAATATTTTCAAGAAGCACAATGGACCAAGATTAAAGCTAATGTTTGGAGCCGTTTGACTCCATTCTGTTCTTGTTCACACATCTCTATTTGTTTTGTATTTTACCAGACCAGGGGTTGTGAAACAACAGTTTGCATAAGCTTTGCATGGCAAAGACAGAACAGTCTGAGAATCCAATATTCCTCCATGGTTTTAGAACAGCTGTTAGGGACTTTAGGGCCTACTTTATTACCCTCCATCATGTTATGGTGTATCAGTCACAGTAGCCTGTGCCCTGCCTTTAGTTTCCCAGCCTCTCTCTCTATCCTAACAGGCCCTCTAGTTCCAGATGCTGACCAGTCACTGTATTGCATTGAGCCCAACTGACAGATGTTTTTTGTGCCACTCTACACACACACACAACAGTCCAGAGAACAGCATCATCACAGAACTGACCAGGAGGGAGAATGATTGACAGTTGACACTGGCTCATCAAATATAATAGGATTAATGTGCTTTGTGCAACCTTTATTATTGTCCCTCTGATAAAGAGGAAACAACATATCAGTTCCACTATGTTTATATAATAGTGTTGTGCCACAATGGTCTAAAATAAGACTGCAATAGTGTGTTGTGACCTGTAAGTGAGAGATTCAGCTGATATGACAGCTTGGATGACAGGACAGGGACAAGGGGCCACAAATAAATAAATACATTTCTCGTAGTATTGTAATTGACAAAAGCAGTCTGTCATAACTATACAATTTCTGCTTGCAAGGTCTATCAATTATATATATCAGCAGGCTGCTGATTTTACGTCAAATAAAATAAAATATAAAAACCAATCAAAAACAGCCCAAATTATACACCATTCATCTCTCATTTGATGTGCACTGAATGCACTCACTCCACCTCCGTCTTCGACAATATCGTCAAAAAAGGATCGCACAAAGACCTGGATCGTATCCAAAAGCTTACCAAAGTTTCGCTTTTGTTTCAGGATCTGCCATTATAGAAAAAAACAGTAGGGAAATGGATAGTAGCACAAGACACAGGCCTGTTAGTTACGTCTCTTGCAGAAGTTAGCCTTCCCTCGGGTTGGTAGCAAAATCACCCGCTCCATTCTTTGCTTGTTTGCTAGCGCTAGCTACCGCCTCTTCAATTAGCTGCTATAGCGTTCCCATTCACAACACATAGCCTATATATCCTCTACTCATTCGTTAGCTGCCTGCCTAGCAAGCGTAGCTAGCTGCGCAAAGGTGAGCATCTGCGTAGATTCGCCGGGGGGCATTCCGTCAGTCATCCGGGATGAAAATAAGCAAAAGGATCCTTTCAGAATGTGGTACTCCCTTTCCTACCTGCCCCTCTCTCCTCCCCATTTGGCCTAGCGATCTGACACAGAAAGCGACCAAGGCATGATGGCCTTGGAGGATGCAACCACCTTGGCTGATATAATTCCATTCACTGAACCTACGCAGACAGTCGCACTAATATACCGGCGTCGCCCACTCACCTTATAAGAATCAGTAGCTAACAATATGTTGAAATGAGGGTCTCTGTGCTCCATCTTCCCCTTGGTTTCAGTAAGTCGCGGTTGTCAGTATTATTGCTCCGTGCCGGGGACTCACAACCTTATCTCCGTCGCTGGGGAAGAGACAATGAAGAGACCGAGGGGGGCGGGCATAACGCGGGCGTAAGGAGGCGGGCCTTGCGTCACACAAGCGGAGGGGTAGACGATGACGTTATGTAGGGGGCAAGGCCACAAAGCAGGTTTATCATTTGCCCAAATTCTTAATCGTAAAGACTGATCTAGGATCAGCGGCCTATACCATACCCTTGAACTGAAAAATATTGCACAAAAATGATTGGAATTATCAAATACTGTAACTGAAAAGATCGTTTTCTGCAGAATGAAAATGTAAATGATTGCATATAAACATGTATAGATGAAAATATGAGACCGCTGTAAAATGAATTATTTGTGAAATGAATTATTTCCCAGGAGCCACCATTATTGTTGTAACATCTCTGAAATCAGAGACGGAAGAGAAGCCAGATATCCCACTATTCTTTACGGTCTATGCATCCCACTCCCTCATTTTTATCTGTTTCAATGGAGGTCTATGGACTTGTTCGACATTGCAGCCGCCTTTCCTGGAATCATTGAAACATAGGTTAAATGAAAACCACCATAACCAGAAGAGAGCGCTATTGTTCAACAAACCCAAACCTCACTGACAGCAGTTGTAACCAATGACGTATATAAACTCTGGATTGCTGATTCTATGTTTTTATTTTATTGGCAAGTGAGAGGCTTTGAAGCCACCGTTCGGCCATATTGCCCCTCCCCAGTACGTGCAATCCTCCATAGGAATAAATGGAATTCTACATTGTATTAAAGTATTTTTTGTTGTTGTAGTGGGGACAGTAACATTAATAATCTAAAAAATATATACTTTAGGGAAAATGTTTTTATATACACTATATATATATATATACAGTGGGGGAAAAAAAGTATATAGTCAGCCACCAATTGTGCAAGTTCTCCCACTTAATAAGATGAGAGAGGCCTGTAATTTTCATCATAGGTACAGGTCAACTATGACAGACAAATTGAGATTTTTTTTCTCCAGAAAATCACATTGTAGGATTTTTAATGAATTTATTTGCAAATTATGGTGGAAAATAAGTATTTGGTCACCTACAAACAAGCAAGATTTCTGGCTCTCACAGACCTGTAACTTCTTCTTTAAGAGGCTCCTCTGTCCTCCACTCGTTACCTGTATTAATGGCACCTGTTTGAACTTGTTATCAGTATAAAAGACACCTGTCCACAACCTCAAACAGTCACACTCCAAACTCCACTATGGCCAAGACCAAAGAGCTGTCAAAGGACACCAGAAACAAAATTGTAGACCTGCACCAGGCTGGGAAGACTAAATCTGCAATAGGTAAGCAGCTTGGTTTGAAGAAATCAACTGTGGGAGCAATTATTAGGAAATGGAAGACATACAAGACCACTGATAATCTCCCTCGATCTGGGGCTCCACGCAAGATCTCACCCCGTGGGGTCAAAATGATCACAATAACGGTGAGCAAAAATCCCAGAACCACACGGGGGGACCTAGTGAATGACCTGCAGAGAGCTGGGACCAAAGTAACAAAGCCTACCATCAGTAACACACTACGCCGCCAGGGACTCAAATCATGCAGTGCCAGACGTTTCCCCCTGCTTAAGCCAGTACATGTCCAGGCCCGTCTGAAGTTTGCTAGAGTGCATTTGGATGATCCAGAAGAGGATTGGGAGAATGTCATATGGTCAGATGAAACCAAAATAGAACTTTTTGGTAAAAACTAAACTCGTCGTGTTTGGAGGACAAAGAATGCTGAGTTGCATCCAAAGAACACCATACCTACTGTGAAGCATGGGGGTGGAAACATCATGCTTTGGGGCTGTTTTTCTGCAAAGGGACCAGGACGACTGATCCGTGTAAAGGAAAGAATGAATGGGGCCATGTATCGTGTGATTTTGAGTGAAAACCTCCTTCCATCAGCAAGGGCATTGAAGATGAAACGTTGCTGGGTCTTTCAGCATGACAATGATCCCAAACACACCGCCCGGGCAATGAAGTAGTGGCTTCGTAAGAAGCATTTCAAGGTCCTGGAGTGGCCTAGCCAGTCTCCAGATCTCAACCCCATAGAAAATCTTTGGAGGGAGTTGAAAGTCCGTGTTGCCCAGCGACAGCCCCAAAACATCACTGCTCTAGAGGAGATCTGCATGGAGGAATGGGCCAAAATACCAGCAACAGTGTGTGAAAACCTTGTGAAGACTTACAGAAAACGTTTGACCAGTGTCATTGCCAACAAAGGGTATATAACAAAGTATTGAGAAACTTTTGTTATTGACCAAATACTTATTTTCCACCATAATTTGCAAATAAATTCATTAAAAATCCTACAATGTGATTTTCTGGATTTATTTTCCTCATTTTGTCTGTCATAGTTGACGTGTACCTATGATGAAAATTACAGGCCTCTCTCATCTTTTTAAGTGGGAGAACTTGCACAATTGGTGGCTGACTAAATACTTTTTTTCCCCACTGTATATATATACAAAAGTTTGTGGACACCCCTTCAAATTAGTGGATTCGGCTATTTCAGCCACACCCGTTGCTGACAGGTGTATAAAATCGAGCACACAGCCAATCTCCATAGACAAACATTGGCCTTACTGAAGAGCTCAGTGACTTTCAACGTGGCACCGTCACAGGATGCTATCTTTCCAACAAGTCAGTTCGTCAAATTTCTGTCCTGCTAGAGCTGCCCCGGTCAACTGTAAGTGCTGTTATTGTGAAGTGGAAACATCTAGGAGCAACAACGGCTTAGCTGCAAAGTGGTAGGGCACACAAGCTCACAGAACGGGACCACTGAGTGCTGAAGTGCGTAAAAATCGTCTGTCCTCGGTTGCAACACTCACTACCGAGTTCCAAAATTGCCTCTGGAAGCAACGTCAGCACAAGAACTGTTCGTCGGAGCTTCATGAAATGGGATTCCATGGCCGAGCAGCCGCACACAAGTCTAAGATCACCATGCGCAATTCCAAGCGTTGGCTGGAGTGGTGTAAAGCTCGCCGCCATTGGACTCTGGAGCAGTGGAAACACGTTCTCTGAAGTGATGAATCACGCTTCACCATCTGGCAGTCCGATGGATGAATCTGGGTTTGGTAGATGCCAGGAGAACGCTACCTGCCCGAATGCATATGGATGAGGAATAATGGTCTGGGGCTGTTTTTCATGGTTCGGGCTAGGCTCCTTAGTTCCAGTGAAGGGAAATCTTAATGCTACAGCATACAATTACATTATTGATAGGTGAAGGCCCTTTACTGTTTCAGCATGACAATGCCCCCGTGCACAAAGCGAGGTCTATACAGAAATGTTATGTCGAGATTGGTGTGGACTTGACTGGCCTGCACAGAGCCTTGACCTCAACCACATCGAACAACTTTGGGATGAATTGGAACATCGCCCAACATCAGTGCCCAACCGCACTAATGCTCTTGTGGCTGAATGGAAGCAAGTCCCTGCAGCAATGTTCCAACATCTAGTGGAAAGCCTTCCCAGAAGAGTGGAGGCTGTTATAGCAGCAAAGGGGGGACCAACTCCATATTAATGGCCATGATTTTGGAATGAGATGTTCGACGAGCAGTTGTCCACATACTTTTGGTCATGTAGTGTATTATTATTATTTATTTTTTAATTTTAGCTCACATAATATGCTGTAATTTAAACGTATGCATTAAGGTGTCTGTAATAGAATAAACGTGGCAGAGACGAATGTAGACATTTAAATGCATTTATATTGTCACGATCGTCATATGGAACAGACCAAGGCGCAGCGTGATGAACAAACATACTTTAATTAGTTAAAGTTTAAACACAATACAAAACAAGAAACGACTCGTGACGTCCAACGGTATCAATGACCGAACACGGAACAAAAACCCACAAACACAAAGGGAAAAACAGACAGTTTAAATATGGCTCCCAATCAGAGACAACCAGCCAACAGCTGACACTCGTTGCCTCTGATTGGGAGTCACTCAGGCAAACATAGAAATCAACAAACTAGAACCCCCAACATAGAAATAAACACATAGAATAAACACACCCTGGCTCAACAAATAGAGTCCCAGAGCCAGGGTGTGACAGTACCCCCCCCTAAAGGCGCGGACTGCGACCGCGCCTCAACTAAACAAAACAGGGGAGGGCTGGGCGGGCATACCTCCTCGGCGGCGGTTCTGGCTCCGGCCTTGACCACCACCCTCCAATACACCCCCCATAGCGCCCCTGGTCCAGTCTGGCCCCGCCGGCTGGAGCCGAACTGGACTTAGCAGGAGCGGTTAGCTTCAGCTCCATCGTGGAGCAGTTGACCGGTACCTTACCAGGCACCGGTGACCCAGGCACGGGTTGTGCTGGACTGACGACGCGCACCCCTGGCTTGGTGCGTGGAGGAGGAACGGGCCTTACCAGGCTGACGACGCGCACCCCTGGCTTGGTGCGTGGAGGAGGGATGGGCCTTACCAGGCTGACGACTCGCACCCCTGGCTTGGTGCGTGGAGGAGGGACGGGCCTTACCAGGCTGACGACTCGCACCCCTGGCTTGGTGCGAGTGGCAGGAACAGGCCGGGCCGGGCTGGCGACGCGCACCGTAGACTTGGTGCGAGTGGCAGGAACAGGCCGGGCCGGGCTGGCGACGCGCACCGTATACTTGGTGCGAGTGGCAGGAACAGGCCGGGCCGGGCTGGCGACGCGCACCGTATACTTGGTGCGTGGAGCAGAGACTGGCCGGACTGGGCTGGCGACGCACACCGTAGGCTTGGTGCGTGGAGCAGGGACAGGCCGGACCGGGCTGGCGACGCACACCGTAGGCTTGGTGCGTGGAGCAGGGACTGGCCGGACTGGGCTGGCGACGCACACTGTAGGCTTGGTGCGTGGAGCAGGGACAGGCCGAACCGGGCTGTGGAGACGGATAGGAGCCCTGGAGTGAAGAGCGGCCACAACCCGTCCTGGCTGAATGCCTACCCTCACACACTCTGTGTGAGGCATCCGCACAGGACGTACAGGGCGGTGTATCCGTAACCTGGTGGCCTCCAGAATCCGCCCCTTTTTTGCCTCCGTCAGCCCCGTCGTCCATGCCGTGTGCCCCCCCCTAAAAAATGTCTGGGGTTGCCTCTCGACCGCCCGACGACGACCCTGATCACGCCGTTGCTCCTCTCTACGGCGCGCCTCAACCGTCTCTTCTCCCGGCGCTTCCTCCCATGTCCAGCCCAAGAGCTGCCCCTGGACACGCTGCTTGGTCGTTGCATGGTGGGTTTTTCTGTCACGATCGTCTAAGGAGGAGGACCAAGGCGCAGCGTGATGAACAAACATACTTTAATTAGTTAAAGTTTAAACACAATACAAAACAAGAAACGACTCGTGACGTCCAACGGTATCAATGACCGAACACGGAACAAAAACCCACAAACACAAAGGGAAAAACAGACAGTTTAAATATGGCTCCCAATCAGAGACAACCAGCCAACAGCTGACACTCGTTGCCTCTGATTGGGAGTCACTCAGGCAAACATAGAAATCAACAAACTAGAACCCACAACATAGAAATAAACACATAGAATAAACACACCCTGGCTCAACAAATAGAGTCCCAGAGCCAGGGTGTGACATATATAGCTTCCAAAATATGTTTTACAATGGTGAGGGAGTGCCAAGATGGCGGTGCGGACGCTTCAACACAGTGCCCCTATCAGTTATTTAGTGTAGGCTATATATACATATACAGTGTATGTGTATATATATATATTTATATATATACACACACTATCAGTCAAAAGTTTGGACACACCTACTCATTCAAGGGTTTTCTTAATTTTTACTATTTTCTACATTGTAGAATAATAGTGAAGACATCAAAACTATGAAATAACACATATGGATTCATGTAGTAACCAAAAAAGTGTTAAACAAATCAAAATATATTTTATATTTGAGATTCTTCAAATAGCCACCCTTTGCCTTGATTACAGCGTTGCACACTCTTTGCATTCTCTCAAACAGCTTCACCTGGAATGCTTTTCCAACAGTCTTGAAGGAGTTCCCACATATGCTGAGCACTTGTTGGCTGCTTTTCCTTCACTCTGCCGTCCGACTCATCCCAAACCATCTCAATTGGGTTGAGGTCAGGGGATTGTGGAGGCCAGGTCATCTGATGCAGCACTCCATCACTCTCCTTCTTGGTAAAATAGCCCTTACACAGCCTGGAGGTGTGTTGGGTCATTGTCCTGTTGAAAAAGAAATGATAGTCCCACTAAGCCCAAACCAGATGGGATGGTATATTGCTGCAGAATGCTGTGGTAGCCATGCTGGTTAAGTGTGCCTTGAATTAGACAGTGTCACCAGCAAAGCACCCCCACACCATCACACCTCCTCCATGCTTTACGGTGGGAACTACACATGTGGAGATCATCCGTTCACCCACACCGCGTCTCACAAAGACACGGCGGTTGGAACCAAAAATCTCCAATTTGGACTCCAGACCAAAGGACACATTTCCACCTGTCTAATGTCCATTGCTCATGTTTCTTGGCCCAAGCAAGTCTCTTCTTCTTATTGGTGTCCTTTAGTAGTGATTTATTTTCAGCAATTCGACCATGAAGGCCTGATTCACACAGTTCCGTCTGAATAAACTTTTTCTGTATTGACTGACCTTCATGTCTTAAAGTAATGATGTAATGTCATTTCTCTTTGCTTATTTAATGTGCATACTTGGTATTTTACCAAATAGGGCTATCTTCTGTATCCCCCCCACCTACCTTGTCACAACGCAACTGATTGGCTCAAACACATTAAGAAGAAAATAAATTCCACAAATTAACTTTTAAGAAGGCACACCTGTTAATTTAAATGCATTCCAGGTGACTACCTCATGGAGCTGGTTGAGAGAATGCCAAGAGTGTGCAAAGCTGTCATCAAGGCAAAGGGTGGCTATTTGAAGAATCTCAAATATAAAATATATTTTGATTTGTTTAACACTTCTTTGGTTACTACATGATTCCATATGGGTTATTTCATAGTTTTGATGTCTTCATTATTATTATACAATGTAAAAGATAGTAAAAATAAAGAAAAACCCTTGAATGAGTAGGTGTGTCCTAACCTTTGACTGGTAGTGTGTGTGTATATATATATATATATATATATATATATATATATATATATATATATATATATATATATATATATATATATATATATATATATATATATATATATAAATCATTGGTTGTAAGTGATGGGCTTCAATAAGAACATTCATCATGCAAAAACTGTATAGCTTAGAATCTTTGCTAGATTTATATAATAGTAGGAAATAATACCATGCCGGAGAAGGACCCATTTTTCTTTCTTTTTTCTTTCTCTTCTCAAGAGAAAAGTTTTTAGTGAATATGACAATGGAATATGAATATAAATGCATCAATCTAGGCATGGATACAATAACAAACTTATCCCAGTATACAACAGTGACGCTACAAAAATCAGTAATAGTAATAGTTATGATTATGCAATTAAAGTGCATAAACTTAATGGCATTATTAGGCTGTGGGTTTATGTAGTCCAGTTCCCTCAAAACTACAGTTATGGCGCCTCTGAGCGGCCAATAAGAGCACAACATGTAGACTTCCGTGGGACTCGGCTTCACACATCACGGGGAGGGGTGAATGGACATTCCGACAGAAAGTTTTAGTACCACTTCTTCGGACTCAACATGAACTAAGGAGAAACTGGGACCATTGTACAATTATTTACAAATGCCTGATGACATACCGTGTCATATTTCTGCTGGCGTTAGTGTATTTAGGTCTACTCAGCGGTAAGTTTTCTACATATGGTTTTCTCTGGCTTTCATAGACTTTCCCTGGCGCCTGTAATCGGCAATACCGTTACTTTCTGTTTTTGAAACCTAACGGCTCTGGATTTGCTCATAGAAACTATCTGTTATCTTATTTATTTATTTTTTTATAATGGATTATTTTATTATATACTGTAGGTTTGTTTTTGTGGGCAGGTGTCATGATGATTCAAGTTGTCATTTAATCATTTTTTGAAATATGTTCTGAAATGACTAAAGTGTAATTTACAATGTTGCCTAATTCTGGTTACTCAATTTTAATGCAACATTTCTCTTCTTTTGATGTGTTGATACTAATGACTGTATGGGGTTGATACATTGTTACCGCTGACAGTGCTTATCCTTGCTTCCTGCTTTGCAACTTCCTATGCAGAGAAGTTGATCTGAAAGAAGAAGTTGAATAAGCTTCATACGCACCATCATTACATTTAAAAAAAATATTATGAGCATAACATATCATTATAGAGTATCTTATTATAGGCTAAGTTTACAAACATGAGATAATTATACATGCTACATTTAACATCCCTTATACATCCATATATTCTAATCTAAACAAATCTATTCCATTCTTCCTTAATAATAGATAACTCGTGTTATGGAACAGCAAGTGAGTGATGAAGAAGAACCTCAACCTGTAGTCCTTAGAGAAGAGAACCGGAGGAGGAGAAGAAAGATGAAAGCCTTTACCTCCACCTCCTCCGTGGCCATGGACCAGATAGCCGTCGAGTTCATCCTCCCCACCACCACTAAGAGTAGCCACAGCCCTGACACCTTGCTCCTGGAGGTGGCTGGGAACTGGACGGTGGAGCAGGTGAAAGCCCAGGTGTGGCTGAGGGCAGTAGCCACCAAACCTGTGCCCTGAGTTCTATCAGAAGTACTCCCCTGATCACTGTATCCTGCTCTACCAGAAGAAGGGCAACTGGTGTGAGATCTATGACAAGCACCAGGTGTTTCAGACCCTGGACTGCATCCGCTACTGGAAAGGTAGAAGCTTTTAGTCCTAAATCTGTCTTTTATATCGTTGAATTTTTGTATATATTTTATTGTGAGTTGTATTGAGATGTTTTAATAAAGTTGTATTTGATTCGAAAGCTCTGAAGAAAGATGTGGGGAAGATCCACCTGACGTGCAGGCCTCAGCCCTCTGAGGAGTCCACACAGTACCAGAGGTACCTCAACTACCTGATTGGCTACGACGTCACCGACGTCAGCAACGTGCACGATGACGAGCTGGAGTTCACCCGGAGGAAGCTCCTCACACCCCGCAAGATCGAGCTGTCCGACCGGGACCCCCAAACTCTACTCAATGGACCCTTGGATCACATCCAAGCCCCTCCCGGAGTACCTGCTCACCAAGGTATGTAACCCCTAACCTGGCTGCTCCAGGGGTGCAGCTATGCGGGCGACCCTGTGCTGCTTGCCTCCTCCCAGCCTGTTCTGTGTTGGGTGATACAGTATAGCTGGGTACTATGACAGCAAAAAATAGCCAATTTCCATTGTCTCTGTATCATGGATCAATAAAGATTAAATAATGTTTGATTCTAGGTGACCAACAGCCACATCCTGCTGGTCATTCACAGGAACAAGGCCAGCCAGACCATCAAGGTGTCCATCGACGACACGCCCGTCCAGGTGCTCCAGACCTTCTTTACGAAGATCTCCAATAAGAGGGCTCTGCTGGGAGTTCCTGAGGATGTGTGTGAGGCAGACTACGTCCTGAGGGTGTGTGGCAGGGAAGAGTATATCTATGGGAACCACCCGGTCAGGGACTTCCACTGGGTCCGACAGTGCCTGAAGAACGGGGAGGAGATCCATCTGGTTCTGGAGTCGGCTCCTAATCCGGATCAAGACCTGGTCCAGAGAGAGGACTGGGCACAGGTGGATGACTGTACTGGAGTGGCAGGTAGGCTAGCATCAATATTCCCATAGTAATCATATCAGAATATTTCACCAATAGATTACAATTTACAATAAGCGCTTTTCATAAAGTAAACAAACTCCCCAAGCCCATAGAGTTGTGCCACAATAACCAATATTATAGCACATTGATTTGACTGTGGAAAGTATTGCTTTGATGATTAAGATTATTCCTATTACTCTGTTCCAACAGGCACCCATGAGCAGCTGACGATCGACGAGAAAGACCATGAGCGGGTCTTCACCATCTCTCTGTGGGACTGTCACAGGAAGTTCAGAGTTAAAGTCCTGGGCATAGACATCCCGGCCCTGCCGAGGAACCCAGAGCTGATCGTGTTTGTGGAGGCCAGTATCTTCCATGGCCAGCAGCTCCTGGCTCAGGAGAGAACCTCCTCCAAGGCTTTCACTGAGGAGGTGCTGTGGAACACCTGGCTGGAGTTTAACATACGTATCAGAGATCTGCCCAAGGGGGCTCGCCTCAGCCTACAGGTAAACTGGTGAACTGTATAATGGGATTTGTTTAGCCTGGCAGCCATATCTATATTTGCTTTAGCCAACTTCTTTGTTGTGAACATGCTATTATTTCTGGGATTTTTTTGTAGAATACCAGTCTATTATTTGGGAATATAATATGAATCACAACTTAATTAAATTAATTGCAATTTAACTCTATTCTATTTTCTCCTCTCCCCAGGTGTCCTGTGGGAAGGCCCAGACCCAGATCTCTAAGGGCACCTCCTCCTACCAGGACAATGGAGGATCCCCAGTTGGAGGTGGCAGCGGCAGCCATGATGGTAATAAGACTAAGAGTCGTCTGCTGTACTACGTCAACCTGCTGCTGGTGGACCACCGCTCGCTGCTGCGCCAGGGAGAGTTCATCCTCCACATGTGGAAGATGCCTGAGAAGACCGAGGACAACAGCAGTGTCAACGCAGACAAGCTGACCTCGGCCACCAACCCAGACAAGGCCTCCTCCATGGCCGTAGCCATCCTGCTGGACAAGTACTGCTACCCAGTGGCCCTGCCCAAGAGCAGGGAGGGCAAGGAGGCTGGGGGGGAGGGTCGGGAGGACCGAGGGAGGGGAGAGGGGGCAAAGGGAGATGCCTAACCACCTGAGGAAGCAGTTTGAGGCAATTGTTGAGACCGATCCACTGCACCCTCTCAGCCAAGAAGACAAAGAGCTGTTGTGGCACTTCAGAGAGGAGTGTATGCGTCACCCCAGGTAGGACTGACTGGCATGGTCATGTAATACAAATTACTGAATAACTTTGAGTAATCTGAGTTTATAACACAGAAGCACTTGTTTCAACCCAATGCCATCTTTCTGTAAGAGTATCACTGAGATCCTTCTGTGAATATGATTCATTGCGATTTTGGGGAGTTTTATTGAAATGTTGTAAAACTCCCTACTGTCTCCTCCCAGGGCGTACCCCAAGCTGCTGGGCTCTGTACGGTGGGGTAGACAGGAGGCTGTGCTGGCCACCCATAGGCTGTTGGAGAGGAGCTCTGTGTGGGACCGTAGTGTGCTGGATGTGGGCCTGGCCATGCAGCTGTTAGACTGCCACTACTCTGATGCTCACGTCCGCTCCATGGCAGTACGCAAGCTGGAGACCCTGGGGGACGACGACGTCCTGAGATACCTGCTGCAGCTGGTCCAGGTGAGTTAGTCAGACTTGTTGGAACCAACATTTGTCTGATAAATGTCTGATGTGTTTCAGTCTTGGTTCTGTCAAGATTCGGTCTGTGCCATAGAGGAACCGAGTTTCGTTACCCAGCCCTTGTCATGCAAGTTGATGTTTATTGTCATGAGTCTTGTCCTGGAGGCAGAACAGAGCGATTTCCCCTTAAATAGGCCAGCTGCAAAGTCAAAATTGGCTATATTGTAAAAATTAAGGTTAGGTTTACGCATTAAGGTTAGCAGTTTGGTTAAGGTTAGGGTTAAAATCAGATTGTATTACCGGTACTTTGTGGCTGTGCTAGCTAGGGACCACTCTAGGGCAGAGCTACCTCCAGAACAAGATTCATGACGAGAAAGACTAACCTGCCCTAGTCATAGGTGGTTGGTCTACCTGTCTCTGAGTGTAGAAGCACACATAAAAACAAAGTAGTTGTTTACATTGACTAGAAAAAACACAATAACAACCTTTACAGACAACACTTCCCTTTTACCTGGTGTTTTCCCTGTGGGTAGTTTTGCATGTGACATTCGTCAGTGTATAGTTAAATAAACTGTCACTACTGTCAACAATGAGGCCTTGGTTAAACATGCAAAACAGTATGTCTCCTTCTGTCGTTGACAGAGGTACAGCCTTAGTATGAAAAAATCCCCAAACTGGAAGATAGTTTAGAATGTTGCATTACAGTTTATTGAAACATTTAGCTTGTATTTATGTTGAGAAAAATGCATATGGGTGCTCTGCTGTGTTTTTCAGGCTGTGAAGTTTGAGCCGTACCATGACAGTGCCCTGGCCAGGTTCCTGCTGAAGAGAGCTCTCAGGAGTAAGAGGATAGGTCATTTCCTGTTCTGGTTCCTGAGGAGTGAGATAGCCCAGTCCATGCACTACCAGCAGAGGTACGCTGTGCTGCTGGAAGCCTATCTCCGAGGCTGTGGAGAGGACATGCTGCAGGACTTCAGACGCCAGGTGGGTGATCGTATAGCCTCGACCCCAGCCGTAAACAAGAGTATGGTGTGATGGGACACAGTAGGAGTGGGTGAGGAGAGTTCATCCTCCTTATAATGTGACTGTAGGGCTTTGACTATTGGAAATATACAGTCGTGATTCATCAGAGAAAATGACTACCCCAGTCCTCAGCAGTCCAATCCCTGTACCTTTTTCAGAATATCAGTCTGTCCCTGATGTTTTTCCTGGAGAGAAGTGGCTTCCTTGCTGCCCTTCTTGACACCAGGCCACCCTCCAAAAGTATTCGCCTCACTGTGCGTGCAGATGCACTCACACCTGCCTGCTGCCATTCCTGAGCAAGCTCTGCACTGGTGGTGCCCCGATCCCGCAGCTGAATCAACTTTAGTAGACGGTCCTGGTGCTTGCTGGACTTTCTTGGGCGCCCTGAAGCCTTCTTCACAACAATTGAACCTCTCTCCTTGAAGTTCTTGATGATCCGATAAATGGTTGATTTAGGTGCAATCTTACTAGCAGCAATATCCTTGCCAGTGAAGCCCTTTTTGTGCAAAGCAATGATGACGGCACGTGTTTCCTTGCAGGTAACCATGGTTAACAGAGGAAGAACAATGATTTCAAGCACCACCCTCCTTTTAAAGCTTCCAGTCTGTTATTCTAATTCAATCAGCATGACAGAGTGATCTCCAGCCTTGTCCTCGTCAACACTCTCACCTGTGTTAATGAGAGAATCACTGACATGATGTCAGCTGGTCCTTTTGTGGCAGGGCTGAAATGCAGTGGAAACGTTTTTGGGGGATTAAGTTCATTTTCATGGCAAAGAGGGACTTTGCAATTAATTGCAATTCATCTGATCACTCGTCATAACATTCTGGAGTATATGCAAATTGCCATCATAAAAACTGAGGCAGCAGACTGAAAATTAATATTTGTGTCATTCTCAAAACTTTTGACCACGACTGTATATATAAATCCCAGGACAACTAGAGGTTGCTAAAGTGTCAGATAACGAGGATATGAATAAAGAATAATCCAATTAATTATCATCAACAGGTGGAGATGACAGAAGCCCTGCAGAAAGTCACCAGGGAGATCAAGGCCATGTCTGCTGAGAAATATGATGTTTCTGCACAAGGTGAGCCTGTCACCTCAAGTCAACGTACCTAGTATAAGAGATCAAGATGAATTCATATATACATGAATATGTAATGAATCCTGGTGGTATGTTCAGTTGTGTTCCAGCTGCGTCAGAAGCTGGAGGTCCTGCAGACGTCTGGGCTGCCAGAGAGCTTCAGAGTGCCCTATGACCCGGGTCTACGGGCTGGTGCTCTGGTGGTGAGTGGAATAATACCTATCCATCTCTATTCTACCGCCTCTTATTTTCCTCCATGTCTCCTCTCACCTGTCTCCATCCCTTTCTTTACCATCATTTCCTGTATCCTCCTCATTCTTACTCCTCCATTCTCTCCTGTGTTTGACTGTAAACATGGGTTCCTCTCTTCAGATAGAGCAGTGTAAGGTGATGGCCTCTAAGAAGAAACCGTTGTGGCTGCAGTTTAAGAGGGCTGACCCCACTACCCTGTCCAGTGACACCATCGGGGTCATCTTTAAGGATGGGGATGACCTCAGGCAGGACATGCTCATTCTACAGGTGTGTGGGCTTGCCTTCTCAATGGGTTAGGCAAACTGTCCGCCATGTTGGCACCAAATGTTCCATGACAACGACATTCTCCTCCTTTAGATTCTGCTGATCATGGAGTCCATATGGGAGGAAGAGTCTTTGGACCTGTCCTTATTGCCCTATGGCTGTATCTCTACTGGGAATAAAATAGGTATGTCAACTGACTTTACACTGTCATGATGCTTTAATAATAATATATTATAACATATATAATATATATATAATATATACTGTATAAATAATAATATACAGTTGAAGTCGGAAATGTACATACACTTAGGTTGGAGTCATTAAAACTTGTTTTTCAACCACTCCACAAATTTCTTGTTAACAAACTATAGTTTTGGCATGTCGGTTAGGACATATACTTTGTGCATGACACAACAATTGTTTACAGACAGATTATTTCACTTATAATTCACTGTATCACAATTCCAGTGGGTCAGAAGTTTACATACACTAAGTTGACTGTGCCTTTAAACAGCTTGGAAAGTTCCAGAAAATGATGTAATGGCTTTAGAAGCTTCTGATAGGCTAATTGACATCATTTGAGTCAATTGGAGGTGCACCTGTGGATGTATTTCAAGGCCTACCTTCAAACTCAGTGCCTCTTTGCTTGACATCATGGGAAAATCAAAAGAAATCAGCCAAGACCTCAGAAAAAAAATGGTAGACCTCCACAAGTCTGGTTCATCATTGGGAGCAATTTCCAAATGCCTGAAGGTACCACGTTCATCTGTACAAACAATAGTATAAACACCATGGGACCACGCAGCCGTCATACCGCTCAGGAAGGAGACGCATTCTGTGTCCTAAAGATGAACGTACTTTGGTTCGAAAAGTGCAAATCAATCCCAGAACAACAGCAATGGACCTTGTGAAGATGCTGGAGGAAACAGGTACAAAAGTATCTATATCCACAGTAAAACGAGTCCTATATCGACATAACCTGAAAGGCCGCTCAGCAAGGAAGAAGCCACTGCTCCAAAACCGCCATAAAAAAGCCAGACTACGGTTTGCAACTGCACATGGGGACAAAGATCGTGCTTTTTGGAGAAATGTCCTCTGGTCTGATGAAACAAAAATAGAACTGTTTGGCCATAATGACCATCGATATGTTTGGAGGAAAAAGGGGACTGCTTGCAAGCCGAAGAACGCCATCCCAACCGTGAAGCACGGGGGCGGCAGCATCATGCTGTGGGGGTGCTTTGCTGCAGGAGGGACTGGTGCACTTCACATAATATATGGCATCATGAGGACGGAAAATGATGTGGATATATTGAAGCAACATCTCAAGACATCAGTCAGGAAGTTAAAGCTTGGTCGCAAATGGGTCTTCCAAATGGACAATGACCCCAAGCATACTTCAAAAGTTGTGGCAAAATGGCTTAAGGACAACAAAGTCAAGGTATTGGAGTGGCCATCACAAAGGCCTGATCTCAATCCTATAGAAAATGTGTGGGCAGAACTGAAAAAGCGTGTGCGAGCAAGGACGCCTACAAACCTGACTCAGTTACACCAGCTCTGTCAGGAGGAATGAGCCAAAATTCACCCAACTTATTGTGGGAAGCTTGTGGAAGGCTACCCGAAACGTTTGACCCAAGTTAAACAATTTAAAGGCAATGCTACCAAATACTAATTGAGTGTATATAAACTTCTGACCCACTGGGAATGTGATGAAAGAAATAAAAGCTGAAATAAATCATTCTCTCTACTATTATTCTGACATTTCACATTCTTAAAATAAAGTGGTGATCCTAACTGACCTACAGTGAGGGAAAAAAGTATTTGATCCCCTGCTGATTCTGTACGTTTGCCCACTGACAAAGACATGATCAGTCTATAATTGTAATGGTAGGTTTATTTGAACAGTGAGAGACAGAATAACAACAAAAAAATCCAGACAAACGCATGTCAAAAATGTTATAAATTGATTTGCATTTTAATGAGGGAAATAAGTATTTGACCCCTCTGCAAAACATGCAAAACATGACAAAACATGACACACCACCACCACCATGCTTGACCTTTGGTATGATGTTCTTACTGTGGAATGCAGTAAGAACTGACTCAAGTTTGCCAAACAGCACCAGGATGATCATCAAGACTCTTGGAAGAACATTATATGGACAGATGAATCAAAAGTATAACTTTTTGGACGACATGGTTCCAGTAATGCCTGGCGAAAACCAAACTCTGCATTCCACAGTAAGAACATCATACCAAAGGTCAAGCATGGTGGTGGTGGTGTGATGGTTTGGGGATGCTTTGCTGCCTCAGGACCTGGACGACTTGCCTTAATAGAAGGAACCATGAATTCTGCTCTGTATATGAGAATTCTACAGGAGAATGTCAGACTATCCGTCTGTGAGCTGAAGCTGAAGCGCAGCTGGGTCATGCAGCAAGACAATAATCCAAGACATACAATCAAGTCTACATGACAATTGCTAAAAAGCAACAAATTGGAAGTTTTGGAATGGCCTAGTCAAAGTCCAGACCTAATCCCAATTGAGATGTGGCAGGACTTGAAACGAGCAGTTCATGCTTGAAAGCCCACACGTCACTGAGTTAAAGCAGTTCTGCATGGAAGAGTGGGCCAAAATTCCTCCACAGTGACATGAGAGACTGATCAACAACTACAGGAAGCATTTGGTTGGAGTCATTGCAGCTAAAGGTGGCACAACCAGTTATTGAGTGTAAGGGGGAAATTACTTTTTCACACAGGGGAATTGGGTGTTGCATAACTTTGTTTATGAAATAAATATGTAATTGTTGTGTTATTTGTTCACTTATGTTCCCTTTATCTAATATTAGGTTTTGGTTGAAGATCTGATAACATTCAGTATCACAAATATGCAAAAGTAGAGAAAATTAGAAAGGGGGCAAATACTTTTTCATAGCACTGTATGCAATTTTTATTAAACAAGCATTGTTCTCTATTCTCTTATTTTATTCTCTTTCTCTCTCTCTCTCTCTTTCTCTTCTCTCTCTTCTCTCTCTCTGTAGGGATGATTGAGATAGTGAAGGATGCCACCACTATTGCCAACATCCAGCAGAGCGTTGTGGGAAGCACAGGAGCATTCAAGGACGAGATCCTCAACCAGTGGCTGCGGGACAAGTGTGTGAGCGAGGAAAAGGTAGCTAGCTATAGTTACTCCTACGGTGCTGCAAATGTCTCTCAGCAGTAGAGGATATAACAGCTCCGCAAAGGGGGAAGGAAACAGCCCTGCTGCATTTCCTGTTACCCAGGGCTTTGTCTGCAGCACTATTCATGTAGACTCAGACTATGTAGGCTGAAGCACCTCCACATTTTCAGCTCTGCTATGTCTATTTTTGAATTGGCCTTTTAGAAATATCCCCATGCAGCAGAGTCACCATAGCTTTAGGATGAAGGTATACCACAGAAGATACCACAGCAATAGCAGATAAATGGAGAAAGATGAAACACAGTTTGAGTCAATGTGTTTGATCTAATGTTGTCTGTGGAAATAATCGAGCAGAGCTGGTTGTATGAAATGGAAGCTCACAAATGCTTTTCATTTCCTACACTTTGTCTCTATCACTTCCCCTCTCTCTGTCTCTCTGTCTCTGTCTCTGTCTCTGTCTCTCTTTCTGTCTGTCTCTGTCTCTCTCTGTCTCTGTCTCTCTCTGTCTCTCTCTCTCTCTCTCTCTCTCTCTCTGTCTCTGTCTGTCTCTGTCTCTGTCTCTGTCTCTCTGTCTCTCTCCCCCCTGTAGTTCCAGCAGGCGGTGGAGAGGTTTTTGTTCTCCTGTGGAGGGTACTGTGTGGCCACCTACGTCCTGGGGGTAGGAGACAGACACAACGACAACATCATGATCACTGAATCTGGTACCAGAGCTCATCCTCATCTCCCTATAGCACAAGCATGATACAGTACTTGACTTTAAGTGGTTGCCAAAACATTAGGAATACAATCCACAATATTCTAAATATGTGGGTGAACCCATAGAACGTTATTTGCTGTTCATCTGAATGTAGTAATTTGTTTCTGATGTATTGGATGGTTTATCTATAACATGCTTTTTTCCACTTGATATGTCTGCCCACAGGTAACCTGTTCCACATAGATTTTGGCCACATACTGGGGAACTATAAGAGTTTCCTAGGTATCAGTAAGGAGAGGGTTCCCTTCGTCCTCACCCCAGACTTCCTCTATGTCATGGGCACATCAGGGAAGAAGAGCAGCTCACACTTCCAGAAGTTCCAGGTACTCAAACTAACATGTTGTCTAACCAGTAAAGATACATACACACACACATTTAACTACAGTATTGATCTCCTCTAGGGTACTAACACACCTATAACTACCCCCTCTCTCCCAGGATGTGTGTGTGCGGGCCTACCTGGCTCTGAGGCATCACACCAACCTCCTCGTCATCCTGTTCTCCATGATGCTGATGACGGGCATGCCTCAGCTCACCAGCAAAGAAGACATCGAGTACATCCGTGAGGCGCTGACTGTGGGCCGGCCGCAGGAGGAGGCAGAGCGCCACCTGCTGGACCAGATAGAGATTTGCAGGGACAAGGGCTGGACCGTTCAGTTCAATTGGTTTCTACACTTGGTGCTGGGCATCAAGCAGGGGGTGGAGAAACGCTCGGCTTAGGGGTCTCCCCTTATGGTGCTAATGGCTTAGTGGGCTGACAACACCAGAGTGATGGGTTTGAATCCCATATGGGCCACATATGTGATAATTGTAAACCACTTTTGGTAAGATTACTATGTCGATTGGACTCCCAAATAAGGAGAGAGGGAGCTATAGTCACGGATTAAAGTCTGGTTCTAAAGGTTTGTCAACCCTTCCTCAATGATGTTCCGATGCATTACCCATTGACTGTATCATGGACTGTATACAGTACCAGTCTTATTTTTGCACTTTCAAGATCAAAGCCTGATCTTACCATATGTTTATGAGTTATACATAAATATTGACTCCTGTTCGCTTCCTAATGCACTGAATCCGATTGTATCATCTGTTAATATAACATCAGACTTGCATGATTGATGGTGGTAAGGAATACCATAATAAACCTGATCATAGAGGAATATAGTTATATATTACCTCCCATCGCTAGAGGGCGACATGCAGATTTTAAACTGAGTGACACCAAACTCATCAGAGGAAGAGGTCTGTTGGAAACCAAAGGAAGCTTTTCCACAGTACGGTAAGTTCACATAAACAATCAGAATTTCGGTGTTTTATCGTGGATGTAGTCAGTATAGTTTTACCATAAAGTGACCTTTCATTCATCAAGATAGCTAGCTACTTCAATTCATATGAAATGTGTGCAGCACCACCCCATGTCGCCCGCGACGCGTTTATGCGCGAGCCCAGTGCAATCCAATTATTGCCATTCAAGCCAGTGAATCCCAGCAAACCCAATTTGAGCCAACCCAATTGTGTCTGTGTCCTGGTCAGGTAGCCTCTCTCCATCTCTCAGGTCTTGGGGATGGGGATGCGGTTGCAGCCTCAGTGTCTGCAGCTGGACTCCGTACTGCAGACAGTGAGTGTCCTGGAGGCAGTGATCCGGAGAAGCTTTGGTCCTGATGGAGGACAGGTGCTGTTCACACGGGACACAGGACAAACGCTGCTGACACGCCACGGAACACGAATCCTGTCAGCCCTGCGGGTGGAACACCCGCTGGCCAGGTAACACAAACTAGAGTATGTGAGCGGAGTTAAGAGGTCGGAAATCTCGCTCGTCGCTCATGGAGCTTGCTTGCGCACAGCTCTGGTGCTCCACGTCCAGTTAAAACCCGCTCGGCGCTCACAGGAAAATAACTGCAGCTCCAAATTCGCTCCATTCATTAAAATCACAATTTAACCAACACCCATCTATTTTTTTTGACTACCTAGACCTACCATTTGGTTTTGAAGTATTGAAACCAAACCATATAATTTGAATGAAATGTACTTTAATAAACATGAAACGGTGACTGTAAGAAGTGCTCATCATTTCAAATAGGCTACATGTCATATTAAACAGCATATAAACACTCTAAATAGGGCAGCAGCCAGACATGGAGCCTAAGAAGAAATTAAAATGAATTATTTAGGCTATATAAAAATTATTTCAAGGCTATAGCCTAAAAAGAAATACATTGTGAAGCATTTGCGAGTGCAACACACTAGGCAGGTAGGGAGTCAGGGACATGAAGCTTTCAGCATTTAAACAACAGTAGCTAAAGCAAGGGGCTATAGCAGCACACAAGTAGACTACAAATGCATGCTGGGATAGGCATGCCCTGAGCTCGTGAAGTGAGCGCTGCTGGAGTGCTATTGGAGCGAAATTGGAGCGGGCGAGAAGGCCGATGCTCCAGCCTTTGGGAATCTCGCTCTGCACTCCAGTCCACTTGGGCACGCTCCAGCTCTGCTCCGCTCACATACTCTGACACAAACATACACACATACATACATATACACCAGGCTGCTGAGGGGAGGACGGCTCATAATAATGGCTGAAACTGAGCAAATGGAATGGCATCAAACACTTGGAAACCATATGTTTGATGTATTTGATACCATTCCACTGATTCTGCTCCAGGCATTACCACGAGCTCGTCCTTCCCAATTAAGGTCCCACCAACCTCCTGTGATATATACACACACGTTCATGCTTACAGTAGTTTGTGAAATCTCAATATCTGTGCGTGTGTAGGATGGTGGTGGAGTGTGTGCGGAGACACAGCTCGGTGACAGGAGACGGCTCCAAGACCTTCGTCCTGCTGCTCGCCTCATTGCTACGGGAGATACAGAAACACACCCGAAAAGCCCCCTGGGAAGGCGCAGGTGCCAAGCGTTTGGCTGAAGCTCTGCTAGTCTTTGGATTGGACGAGCTCAGTGATGTCATCACTGTTGGAGTGGCTCCACATGGCTCATCCCTTTCAGACACACACAACCCAGGACAAACAGACACACACACTCTGTGCCGCCTACTCAGTGCTTTCCTTCACACCCGGATCAGCCCTACTCATGCTGAAATCATCAGCCAACTGACCTGTGAGCTGCTCTCCCATTGGAGCTGCAATGGCGACTTCGTTAACGAACACTTCCCTGCTCTGCACACAGCAGTATCAGGCTTCCCTATTGGCTGTTCCCGTCTGCTGGAGGGCCAGGTCATACATGCAGATTTCTCTACACCCCTCCCACTCCGCGACCATGGACCAATCAGGGCCCTAGTGGTGACGGAACCCCTGGAACCCAGCCTACTGATTGGTGGAACTGTGCTGGAGCTGGGTGGGGCTAATAGAGGGATAGAAAGTGTGTGTGTGAGGTCAGGGCGGGGGTTAGAGAGTGTGTGTGTCATCCTACAGCATCTAGGAGTGTCTCTGCTCCTCTCATCAGTCAGACAGTCGGAGGCCGTCCTGGCTGCAGCGGGGAGGTATGGGGTGTGTGTGTTAGAGTGTGTGTGTGAAGACGACCTCACCTTCTTCTCTCTGCTCAGCGGAGCCCAGCCTGTCTCAGACTGGGCCGTGATTGGACAGGAACATGTTGCTACGGTTACCTTCTGCCGGCCGCTGGTGCTGGGAGCTCACAGGTATGGTAACAGGATAGTTACACGCACACACACACACTCACACACACACACTATTCTAATTATGTGGTTTTCTCTCTCCCAGATATGTCAATGTGGGGTTTCCTAAGCCAGAGGACAGGGGCAGACCCCACAGTCTGGTTGTGTGTGGACTGACAGAGGGCCAGACGGAACAGAGTGTGTGTGCTGTACGAGATGCTCTACACATGCTGCATACTACCTGGGGGACCACACACAGGACTAGAGCTACAGACAGAACCGTTTACACAGACACAGACACACACACAGACACAGACCCAGACGTGATGGAGCCTTGTCGTGTCATTTCCATGGGCGGGACCTTTGAGTTCCTGTTACACCACACCCTCCTACAGCACACACACGCAAACAAAGACATTCACACTCCATCACACTTGGACACCCCTGCCGTCTCGGGGATGCTAGCGGAGGCTCTACTGATTGTGCCCAGACAGATCTACTCCCACAGTCCTCGGCGCTACCTGGAGGCTCACGCACACACTCTCAGCTGCATACGTAAACATGGTAACTCTCCGGACCCGCCGGAGACGAGTGCTGTTCTGGCAGCGGATGGTTCTAATATGGTTCAGGCTGACACTGGGTCAGGGTCTATGTCTGGGTCAGGATCTGGGTCAGGGGTAAAGGAGGTGTCGGTTGGGTCAAGCTCTGGCTCTAGTTCTGGTGTGGAGTCAGTGTCCTGTAAGTATCAACTGATCCTGGCTGTTCTACAGTGTCTCAGGAGTCTACTGTCTGTGGACACTGTACTACACACTAATACCTCACACACCTGTCAGAGAGAAGAGGAGGAGAATGGCGACTGAGAACTCATACTTGAATTCCTTAGTGTTTTTGTTTCATGGTTCATCCAAATGTTTTGTTTTAACTTCTTGAAAAAGTAATCTATTTGTGTAGTATGTCTATGTATATGAATTTGAATGTTAATAAATCAGATTTTTATTTGATGAAATAGAGGAGTATGGTTATATTACATTGTTACAGCGACTGAACAGACTATGTCCTTCATCGCCTCTCCTTTGCTCCACTGTAGAGGAGAAAACACAATGCCCAACCCACCCTTTTTCTATGTTTCTTATTCATTCACTTCTAAGGAGGTCAGTTGCTGTATTTAGGTATCAATTTAACATTGAATCTCCTTGTGAAATAAAGATTCACAGTGTAGGCCTACATAGGACAATTTTTATGCAAAAAGGCAAGTATTATGCTAGACTGTCAATATGCATTAATAAATATTGGGAATAATGTACTAATGTGAATTTTGAGAATGTTAAAATCACAAGAGTTTCTAAACATTGTGTACTGTTTGGTAAAATGATGCTCTCATGAGATTGAGTGGTGACTGATCTGCTCACTGTTCTATTTCTATGATTCTGCGTGCGGAATCTCTAGATGGGTGGTTGTCATGGATACCTGCGTCACATGCGTGGGTTTCCTGAAGCCAGCAGCAAAATGATGCTAGCTAGGTAGCAAGCATTTTTACAGGCATTTTCATTCAGTTGACATCAAAAGGCGGTAGCTAAGTTAGCAAGCTATAACTAGCTACAGATGAACAGAAATTGAGAATGGATATAACGTTAACAACATTTGTAGCAAAACGCTGTGTTTGTGGAATAATTTTTCAAATCAGCGGTCAACCCTTACAAGCCTGAGCTAGAATATAATTTTTTATATTCAGAAAATAGCCACCGGTATTTTTATTTGCCTGACTCTTCAAAGACTGATTAGAAATGAGTATTGAAATCCCAGACGGACTGACAGAGCTGTTGCAAAGCTTTACAGTGGAAGTGTTGAGGAATCAGCCAGGAGACCTTCTGGACTTTGCCTTGCAGTATTTCATCCAACTGAAGGAGAATCAGACAGAAGCCGCCTTTGACAATGCCCGACATTCGGCTAACGGTAGACCTGGTGGTGGTGGCAATGTTAGCAGTGGAAGGGCGGTCAATTTTGCCGAGGAGGCAATGCAAATTGATTCAGAAAATGAAGAAGATGATGATGAGGAGGAATTCGTAGGTAGCTAACCTCACCGTTCTGCTAGAAAAGTCAGTACTGCCTTTGGTGCTGCTAACCTTGATAGCTAGCTAACGACGTTAGCGTAGCAGCCACTGAGACAGTCAAGCTCACTAACGTTATGCTACTAGCTAGTTAGCCAAGCTAACTAACGTTATCTACTGACCATTTGAACAATTAATCTCTCGTGGACAGAGGGAAGTGACAACTTTCGCGAGAATTTTACTTCTGAGTAACAGAGATTATCTGACCATTAATGGGAAAAGGAGGCAGATGCCAGGCTAAGAAAAGGCAAATGAACTCCCATCTCAAAGGGAAATAGCTATCTACTGGTAGCTAGCTACCATCCCAAAACCTTGAGTAACCCCCATTGTTTACCTTGGCCAGTGGAGTGGAAATCATTTTCTGAAAGTGTCTGGTTAGCCACTGTGGCTATCCTGAACTGTGTGAGCATCAGTAACTAGCTAGATTAATTGCCATGTTAGTTAGCTAGCTGAAAACAATCAACAGTGATTATAGGTTAAGCCTGTTAAACCAGAACCTTGTTACATTGTTATATCATAGTAAATACACCTCATCTTCATTTAACTTTTTTTTAATTAGCTCCAGTGATCAACAGATTCTTGAGAAGATCTTCAGGTAAGAAGGTTTGATATTCTAGGTACGTCATCTAGTAATATTGTAGCTAACGAACTCTGGTTTGGTTGTCCTTTGTATTTTGCATCCGTAAAAATACCCACTTTTCCAGTGCTTTCTACAGACAGTGACAGGAAATGACTTCAGAAGTGTGCCTTTGATGGGAATCATGATATCCTCTCTGTTGCTGGGACTATTGATCCAGTCAGAGCAGCAATTGCTGTTGTCATCACTATCACATTTGTTAATAGTACTGCAGGATCACACAACTCTCTGTCAGCTAGCCAGAGGGTTTTCAATGCACACAATACTCAAGTATCAGGAGCAGTCTAGAGTTCAGCTTGTTCACCTATAGAGACATTACAGGCTTAAACAATGCTGGGTGAAATTGATTACACTGCAGATTATGTGACCACCTGGGTTTGGTGTGGTTGGAATCACTCTTAGAATCCTGAGTGAAATCTGAATGAGGCACTCAAGTGTAATGTGATGACTCTTGTTCCTCTCCACAGTGTGTGCTGAAGCATTTAACCCTGAGGAGGAGGAGGACAAAGAGCCCAGGGTAAGATCACTTATCCTTCATCACTTAGGGGTTGACCTCTAACCTTTAACCTCTAGTTAGCTAATGATGTACCTCTAGTTAGCTAATGATGTGATGACACTAGGCCACTGCAAACCATTTGTTGATCACAACTGGTTTAGGTTGAACGTTTGTGTATTTATCAGGAACTAAAGAACATTTCAGCATAAGAAGTCAGATGCTGAGTAAAACAGGGTGGGAAGGAGATTAGATGACTGTCTGCACTCTGTACCTGAACCTGATACAGTAGCTATAATAATACATGCTAATTATGGCTGTGCTCTGCTCTCGTCCAGATCACCCATCCTAAAACCGACGAGCAGAGGCACAGACTACAGGAGGCCTGCAAAGACATTCTGCTGTTCAAAAACCTAGACCCGGTAAAGTGAAGTGGGGTGGAAAGACTGTACAGTGGGGAAAAAAAGTATTTAGTCAGCCACCAATTGTGCAAGTTCTCCCACTTAAAAAGATGAGAGAGGCCTGTAATTTTCATCATAGGTACACGTCAACTATGACAGACAAAATGAGAAAATCACATTGTAGGATTTTTAATGAATTTATTAGCAAATTATGGTGGAAAATAAGTATTTGGTCAGTAACAAAAGTTTCTCAATACTTTGTTATATACCCTTTGTTGGCAATGACACAGGTCAAATGTTTTCTGTAAGTCTTCACAAGGTTTTCACACACTGTTGCTGGTATTTTGGCCCATTCCTCCATGCAGATCTCCTCTAGAGCAGTGATGTTTTGGGGCTGTCGCTGGGCAACACGGACTTTCAACTCCCTCCAAAGATTTTCTATGGGGTTGAGATCTGGAGACTGGCTAGGCCACTCCAGGACCTTGAAATGCTTCTTACGAAGCCACTCCTTCGTTGCCCGAGCGGTGTGTTTGGGATCATTGTCATGCTGAAAGACCCAGCCACGTTTCATCTTCAATGCCCTTGCTGATGGAAGGAGGTTTTCACTCAAAATCTCACGATACATGGCCCCATTCATTCTTTCCTTTACACGGATCAGTCGTCCTGGTCCCTTTGCAGAAAAACAGCCCCAAAGCATGATGTTTCCACCCCCATGCTTCACAGTAGGTATGGTGTTCTTTGGATGCAACTCAGCATTCTTTGTCCTCCAAACACGACGAGTTGAGTTTTTACCAAAAAGTTCTATTTTGGTTTCATCTGACCATATGACATTCTCCCAATCCTCTTCTGGATCATCCAAATGCACTCTAGCAAACTTCATATGTGCCTGGACATGTACAGTGGGGGAAAAAAAGTATTTAGTCAGCCACCAATTGTGCAAGTTCTCCCACTTAAAAAGATGAGAGAGGCCTGTAATTTTCATCATAGGTACATGTCAACTATGACAGACAAAATGAGAAAAAAAAATCCAGAAAATCACATTGTAGGATTTTTTATGAATTTATTTGCAAATTATGGTGGAAAATAAGTATTTGGTCAATAACAAAAGTTTCTCAATACTTTGTTATATACCCTTTGTTGGCAATGACACAGGTCAAACGTTTTCTGTAAGTCTTCACAAGGTTTTCACACACTGTTGCTGGTATTTTGGCCCATTCCTCCATGCAGATCTCCTCTAGAGCAGTGATGTTTTGGGGCTGTCGCTGGGCAACACGGACTTTCAACTCCCTCCAAAGATTTTCTATGGGGTTGAGATCTGGAGACTGGCAAGGCCACTCCAGGACCTTGAAATGCTTCTTACGAAGCCACTCCTTCGTTGCCCGAGCGGTGTGTTTGGGATCATTGTCATGCTGAAAGACCCAGCCACGTTTCATCTTCAATGCCCTTGCTGATGGAAGGAGGTTTTCACTCAAAAGCTCACGATACATGGCCCCATTCATTCTTTCCTTTACACGGATCAGTCGTCCTGGTCCCTTTGCAGAAAAACAGCCCCAAAGCATGATGTTTCCACCCCCATGCTTCACAGTAGGTATGGTGTTCTTTGGATGCAACTCAGCATTCTTTGTCCTCCAAACACGACGAGTTGAGTTTTTACCAAAAGGTTCTATTTTGGTTTCATCTGACCATATGACATTCTCCCAATCCTCTTCTGGATCATCCAAATGACTCTAGCAAACTTCAGACGGGCCTGGACATGTACTGGCTTAAGCAGGGGGACACGTCTGGCACTGCAGGATTTGAGTCCCTGGCGGCGTAGTGTGTTACTGATGGTAGGCTTTGTTACTTTGGTCCCAGCTCTCTGCAGGTCATTCACTAGGTCCCCCTGTGTGGTTCTGGGATTTTTGCTCACCGTTCTTGTGATCATTTTGACCCCACGGGGTGAGATCTTGCGTGGAGCCCCAGATCGAGGGAGATTATCAGTGGTCTTGTATGTCTTCCATTTCCTAATAATTGCTCCCACAGTTGATTTCTTCAAACCAAGCTGCTTACCTATTGCAGATTCAGTCTTCCCAGCCTGGTGCAGGTCTACAATTTTGTTTCTGGTGTCCTTTGACAGCTCTTTGGTCTTGGCCATAGTGGAGTTTGGAGTGTGACTGTTTGAGGTTGTGGACAGGTGTCTTTTATACTGATAACAAGTTCAAACAGGTGCCATTAATACAGGTAACGAGTGGAGGACAGAGGAGCCTCTTAAAGAAGAAGTTACAGGTCTGTGAGAGCCAGAAATCTTGCTTGTTTGTAGGTGACCAAATACTTATTTTCCACCATAATTTGCAAATAAATTCATTAAAAATCCTACAATGTGATTTTCTGGATTTTTTTTCTCTCAATTTGTATGTCATAGTTGACGTGTACCTATGATGAAAATTACAGGCCTCTCTCATCTTTTTAAGTGGGAGAACTTGCACAATTGGTGGCTGACTAAATACTTTTTTCCCCCACTGTATATTAAACAAATGCATTGAGGAAAAGTCAACAAATACTATATATGGAGGGATGCTGCTGTGTGCTGTGTCACTGAAATATCGCTTTGTTTGTGTTAACAGGAGCAGATGTCCCAGGTACTGGATGCAATGTTTGAGATGCCAGTGGAGGCTGGCGAACACATTATAGACCAGGATGACGATGGGGACAACTTCTATGTTATCGAAAGGTAGGACAGGTAGACAGTCTATACAGCACTTTTTGAGACCAGGGCCCATATCCACAAAGCATCTCAGAGTAGAAGTGCTGATCTAGGATCAGTTTGGCCTTTTAGATCATAGTGAATATAATTATATGGACAAATCCTTGATTAGCACTCCTACTCTGAGATGCTATACTGGCAATGATGGGTCTGAAATGGCATCCTATTTCCTGTATTATGCGCTACTATTGGCCAGAGTTGGGTGCGATATTAGATTTTCCCATATAATAAATACTTATCCAATTCATTAATTTATCATTATGGTGTTGCCTTCTTTCCCAGAGGGACCTTTGACATCCTGATGAAAGCAGACAGGGTGGAGCGTGTGGTGGGTTCCTATGACAACCAGGGCAGTTTTGGTGAGCTGGCCCTGATGTACAACACCCCCAGGGCTGCCACCATCATCGCCACCTCTGTTGGAGCCCTCTGGTGCATGGTAGGTTTAAGTCTTTAGGGTGAACCAGTGGATTGTACTGTAGCTGAAATGGATGAGAGGATGTGTAGGTAGGCTGTTACATACTGTAGGTTTGAATGGTAGACTATGCCCCCCGGTAGATTGTGGAGTGAATTACAGAAGTGATGCCTAAAGCAAAACATGCCAACATGCCCTGGGTTGTCTGAAGGCATCAGCCGACTCTCTTGAAATCATAATCTTAACCATTACGGGACAAAACGGTAAAACTGACCCTAGATGAGTGTTGAAGCAACATGGTTAACCATGTAATGCAGTGTTTGGTTGAAATGACCCCTACTCACAAGGCAGGCAATACGCTTGACCTCATCTTTACTAGATGCTGTTCTTCTACTAATCTCACTGCAACTCCCCTCCAAGTCTCCGACCACTACTTTGTATCCTTTTCTCTCTCCCTCTCCTCCAACACTACTCACTCTGCCCCTACACAGATGGTAATGCGCCGTCGCAACCTTCGCTCTCTCTCTCCCGCTACTCTCTCCTCTTCCATCCTATCATCTCTTCCCTCTGCTCAATCCTTCTCCCTCCAATCTCCTGATTCTGCCTCCTCAACCCTCCTCTCCTCCCTTTCTGCATCCTTTGACTCTCTATGTCCCCTATCCTCCCGGCCGGCTCGGTCCTCCCCTCCAGCTCCGTGGCTTGATGACTCATTGCGAGCTCACAGAACAGAGCTCCGGGCAGCTGAGCGGAAATGGAAGAAAACTAGACTCCCTGCAGACCTGGCATCTTTTCACTCCCTCCTCTCTACATTTTCTTCATCTGTTTCTGCTGCTAAGGCCACTTTCTACCACTCTAAATTCCAAGCATCCGCCTCTAACCCTAGGAAGCTCTTTGCCACATTCTCCTCCCTGCTGAATCCCCCCCTCCCCCCTCCTCCCTCTCTGTGGATGACTTCGTCAACCATTTTGAAAAGAAGGTTGACGACATCCGATCCTCGTTTGTTAAGTCAAATGACACTGCTGGTCCTGCTCACACTGCCCTACCCTATGCTTTGACTTCTTTCTCGCCTCTCTCTCCAGATAAAATCTTGCGACTTGTGACGGCAGGCCGCCCAACAACCTGCCCGCTTGACCCTATCCCCTCCACTCTTCTCCAGACCATCTCCGGTGACCTTCTCCCTTACCTCACCTCGCTGATCAACTCATCCTTGACCGCTGGCTATGTCCCTTCCGTCTTCAAGAGAGCGAGAGTTGCACCCCTTCTCAAAAAACCAACACTCGATCCCTCTGATGTCAACAACTACAGACCAGTATCCCGTCTTTCTTTTCTCTCCAAAACTATTGAGCGTGCCGTCTTTAGCCAACTCTCTTGCTATCTCTCTCAGAATGACCTTCTTGATCCAAACCAGTCAGGTTTCAAGACTGGTCATTCAACTGAGACTGCTCTTCTCTGTGTCACAGAGGCTCTCCGCACTGCTAAAGCTAACTCTCTCTCCTCTGCTCTTGTCCTTCTAGACCTGTCTGCTGCCTTTGATACTGTGAACCATCAGATCCTCCTCTCCACCCTCTCCGAGCTGGGCATCTCCGGCGCGGCTCACTCTTGGATTGCGTCCTACCTGACCGGTCGCTCCTACCAAGTGGCGTGGCGAGAAGCTGTCTCCGCACCGCGTGCTCTCACCACTGGTGTCCCCCAGGGCTCAGTTCTAGGCCCTCTCCTATTCTCGCTATACACCAAGTCACTTGGCTCTGTCATATCCTCACATGGCCTCTCCTATCATTGCTACGCTGACGACACACAACTAATCTTCTCCTTTCCCCCTTCTGATAAACAGGTGGCGAATCGCATCTCTGCATGTCTGGCAGACATATCAGTATGGGATGACGGATCACCACCTCAAGCTGAACCTCGACAAGACGGAGCTGCTCTTCCTCCCGGGGAAGGACTGCCCGTTCCATGATCTCGCCATCACGGTTGACAACTCCGTTGTGTCCTCCTCCCAGAGTGCGAAGAGCCTTGGCGTGACCCTGGACAACACCCTGTCGTTCTCCGCTAACATCAAGGCGGTGACCCGATCCTGTAGGTTCATGCTCTACAACATTCGGAGAGTACGACCCTGCCTTACACAGGAAGCGGCACAGGTCCTAATCCAGGCACTTGTCATCTCCCGTCTGGATTACTGCAACTCGCTGTTGGCTGGGCTCCCTGCCTGTGCCATTAAACCCCTACAACTCATCCAGAATGCCGCAGCCCGTCTGGTGTTCAACCTTCCCAAGTTCTCTCACGTCACCCCGCTCCTCCGCACACTCCACTGGCTTCCAGTTGAAGCTCGCATCTGCTACAAGACCATGGTGCTTGCCTACGGAGCTGTGAGGGGAACGGCACCTCCGTACCTTCAGGCTCTGATCAGTCCCTACACCCAAACGAGGGCACTGCGTTCATCCACCTCTGGCCTGCTGGCTTCCCTACCTCTGCGGAAGCATAGTTCCCGCTCAGCCCAGTCAAAACTGTTCGCTGCTCTGGCACCCCAATGGTGGAACAAGCTCCCTCACGACGCCAGGAAAGCGGAGTCACTCACCACCTTCCGGAGACATTTGAAACCCCACCTCTTTAAGGAATACCTGGGATAGGATAAAGTAATCCTTCTACCCCCCCCCCCCCCCCTTTACTCCAACCCACCCCCCCCCAAAACATTTTTTTATTTAAAAATAAAATAAAAAATATTTAAAAAATAAAAAATATTTGTAAAGTGGTTATCCCACTGGCTATAAGGTGAATGCACCTATTTGTAAGTCGCTCTGGATAAGAGCGTCTGCTAAATGACGTAAATGTAAATGTAAATGTAAATCTGAGGCCTGTGATGTTGTATGTACTCCAGGACCGACCGACGTTCAGGAGGATCATAGTAAAGAACAACCACAAGAAGAGGAAGATGTACGAGGCTTTCATCGAGTCACTGCCCCTGCTCACATCCCTACAGGTAACTGTGATCTCTATAGGTTGTTAGCAGTAAACCTCTCAGTAAGGTGCAGAACGTTCGATTTGCCTGCTGGGGGGCAAGGAGACCACCAGCTCTGCTAAAACCATTGACAACTGCGTGCCATTTTCAAGGGATTGTCAAATAAATTACCACTATTTGATTGAAAATAATCAGCTGCTGAAGAACAAGTCAGAACTACTAATTTGGGATTATTCCATGCAAAACTGGAACATCTCGGAGAGTGATGCTGACTGAGTGACGCTCTTGATAATGCATTAATAGCACAGTTCTAACACTTTGCGTTCTATAGTATATACAATGCATAATGATATACACCATAAGCACCTATAACTACAGTACAAGCGTGTTTATCTCCATCTGTAGAGTATTATAACAGCTATCACAACTGTTCTCTCTTGTCCTGACAGGTCTCTGAGAGGATGTGTGTGGTGGATGTTCTATCCTCCAAGACCTACACTGATGGAGAACAGATTATAGCTCAGGTAATTCTCTCTCTTATTAGCCCTGTATTTGGAGAAAGTCCATGTAAAATGTTAGAGGTGCTACTCAAATGACTAACTGTTGCTGTTCTTCCAGGGGGCCACAGCTAACTGTTTCTACATAGTAGAATCTGGTCAAGTACGAATAACAATGAATACGAACAAGGTAAGCCTACTCTATGCTTCTTGATGCTCTACCGTTATTGGAACTGTTGATACGTATTCATGCACATGTTTATACATGTCTGGAGTCAGTGTTGACAGGTTAAAATGAGCTGAAAGCACTGTTACCGAGCATGTCAATGGTACAGTTGGTCCTATGGAAACCACTGTATGTCCTGTATTGTCTGACTGTCTTTCCCCCCAGTTGAAAAAGGAGGACGGAGAAGGGGTGGAAGAGGATGTGGAGATTGCCATGTGCACCAGGGGACAATACTTTGGAGAGCTGGCTCTGGTCACCAACAAGCCCCGGGCTGCTTCAGCGTACGCTGTAGGAAACGTCAAGTGTCTAGGTAAGTAGCTAATGACTGCAATCAGTTGGATGAGCACTGCACTCCAGGAATTGTCTCATGCTCAATACTCATGCTCTCTAGTTTAGATTATATCCAATAGCCTTGCTACACGAGCTGCAGCTGATGTGGTTGTCCTTGTGTGTTTGTGTGTGTGTATGTGTGTTTGTGGGTGTGTGTGTGTGTGTGTGCGTCTGCATCTGTTTGTGTCTGTCTGTGTTTTTGTCTATGTTTGCGTCTGTGTGTGTGTCTGCGTGTGTGTTTGTGTGTGTGGTGTTTGTGTGTTCTAGTGATGGACGTGCAGGCGTTTGAGCGCCTGCTGGGCCCCTGCATGGACATCATGAAGAGGAACATCGTCAACTACGACGAGCAGCTGGCCGCGCTGTTCGGAAGTGACACTGACATTCACAACAACGACACCGCGTCATAGAATACACTCGGCATAGACAGCTGAGACTCTCCTGAGGGGCCAAATACCCCTGGTACTGATCTGCTTTATTATCAGTCTGCTTTAACACATATCACCCACTATGTTAATATTACAGCATTAGCAATCATACCATTTTAGATAGATAGAGGTTTGTTCATACTGCAAACTCAGACTTCATATGAGATTAATCCCATTTGTATAGTTTTAGTATTTTGTATGATACATGAACATAGTGGTGTTTGTTAATGACCTTCAGATTCATTCCTGGCCTTATATCCAAATGGTACATATTAAGACACACTTTTATCAGGTTTGTCTAATAGATAAACTACGTTATGGCTTTTGATTCAAAATGCAACATTGGGGTCATCTATTGTTCAGCATTTAACCTTCCCTCACAGAAAAACACTTTAAAAAGATGTTGCTATATTGTTTGTTGCCTATAAATGTTACCACAAGCATATGAATTCATAATGAAATAAGATTACATATGTTGTTTCTTATCTCCCAGATGTATTAGCTACTTTTTAGAGTAACATTTTAGTCTGGACAATTTATGTCATATGAAAACAAAAAAAATTTCCAGCACAACAAAGCAATTTAGAGCTGGTAGTAATATATTTCAGTGTACCTTTAATTTGTAGTTGCCAACTTATTTTTGATTAAATTGAACAATGCATATTGTACTTGAAGTTTGTAATTGTGCTATAATCCTGGGTTAAGCATTTATGATCTAGTTGGTAAAGAGCATTTGTAGCCAATCATTTGTTAAACTACCGTATTATATTTGTTAAATCAAATGGGACATTGACACGACTTGGTGCTCAGTAGCAAAGAAAGGCAGTATTTCCTGACAAATCTATATATAAAGTTGGTCTAAACAGAACCAATGAATGAATGGACTGTGATGCTGACTTCATTTCTTTACTAGTTATTGTGTTATAAGCTGTTAATAAGTTGTCAGAGGTTGTTTCTTTGATAGTGTCTTTTCCCATGTGATTTCTGATGTATCAGTGGGCGTTTTGGAGAGCTGATTTTGAGCTGTTCAACGGTTATGATGGAGCTCTTTGGTCTAAGAGCTTCACTGCCTGTATTGTAATGATTCCCTCAATATTTCCAAACAGGTCAAATAGACATAGGGTGTCTTTGTATGGGAAATATCAGATAGGGAAATTCTCTTAGCATTTATCATATTGCTGCTAGACTTCGGTACATAGTTTCTTTGGTACAGTCCTTTCAAAAGAAACATATTCTTTGTTTTTGTAATTCAACGCACTGCTCTCCTTAATAGCTTAGGACCGTATTTGCCTTTTTGAACCAGAGATTTCATAAGTGTCATAATTTTAACCTGCCAATACATCGTCAGATAGATGTTCAACCTCCAATGCAAGTAAATCTCTAAACCAGTTTTATCAGTCAACTGAAAGGATTTATCTTGCCTACCTCTGCACATAATTACCTATGCCAACAACAGGTATCTGCCATTCCTTGTTTCATGGTGTTAATGTTAGTGTTCTGTGTGTGAAAACAAGAGTTCAATTTGTTTTAATTAATATATTTTTTAAGGGTCCACTCCGGCACTTGCTTTGCAGTTTCCCCTTTTTCTTGTAATGTTGTTTACAATACGCCTAATTTCCTGAGTATTTTCAGTATCTTAACTGTTATTTGAATTTCCATTGCAATAAACTTAGGTTTTGTATAAATAATTGACCATTTGCATCTTTTACTGTTTGAAACCTTTTAAAAAACTCATCTGGTGTGTAAATTACACAGGTAAAAGCAAACAGCAAATGCATGCATGTTTACAAACCTTTATCAAAGACAGTCTGCCTTTATTTTGGACTATGTATTTGTCAGTCCCTGAAATTGTAGTCAAAACTGTTAACAAACCTGAAACAGTATAAAAACTACAATTGCTAGTGGCACAGCTGATTGAAGTCGTCCAATTAGAGCCATCTGAGAAATGAGGGACATTACAGCCAAGAGGAACAGCGCAAACAAATATGTGGGTGTATTTACTTAGTGAATAACCAATTAACAAGAGAGAAGCTATAGATTGAAGTCTGAAGCCACCAATAATGTTTGCGAAAAAGAAAAATATTTTACTCTCGCACTTCTCGCTGATGGCGACTGTTTTGGTGAGTTGTAAAGAAAGTTTATTAGAAGTACAGTAGACAAAGCGTTTTAATTCAATGAAATTAAGATATAAATAACAGAATCTTACAGACACAAAGGAAAAAGGCGAATTTGACATTGCCTCCTTCAGTTTCGAATGACATGTCAGATCGCATACAAATGTCATTGTTGGCGTTTAGTTTTTTTACCAGCTTGAGCAAGAGACGAATGTATAGGTTCTTTCATTCTTTCATTTCATTGTATACAAATATTGACATTTGCTCCTCGTGACATGTTTTACTATTTTCTGCATATTGCAGCACAAGGTCCAATACTTGTCGTCGATTTTTAAACTGTGTTTTCTGTCGAGCTCGACACTTCTGTATTTTGACAAAGCCTTCGCCAAACTAGGTTGCGTTTGCCAAATCAATGGGAACGTATATTACTATGTAAGTATTTCGTTGTAAACCAAATCACTCGGCAGTAATAACGTTTGCTGTCAATGCAGCCGGGTATAACTATTTGTGAGATATTTTAGTGATTTTAAACTTAAGCGAGTGAGTTATCGTCCTTTCACGGTATTGAATGAATGAGCTCACATGCGCATGCGCGATGTCCTGAACATTTATAAACAAGGCCTGCATCACATGACGCTGTTGCGAAATCGAGAGGAAAAAGTTATCTCTCTAATTTTACTCATTATGATGGTACGTTGTTTATACAATTATATTAGTTTTTTTTTTTTTTTTTTAACAAATGGCATAGGCGTAATTTGTTCTGCATAAGAACAATCCCCCCAGGCCCCCACCCCTCCTTTCCTCATCTCACCCCTTCTTTTCCCACTTCAACCCTCCTTTCCAATGTTGTACACCAGGGTACACTGTCCCGCGAAAGTCTCGTAAAATCATCCTGTTGTCCCGCATTTGGGTATTTTAAATGTGCTCACCCTAGTAATACATAACAATTGTATTGTGTTCACATTCAATAACTTTGTTAATAAAACGTTAATGGATTAATGGATGGTGTGTGTGTGTGTTTGTGTCCAGTCAGATGACCTAAAGAAGCATTATAACATGGTGTGGGAAGTTAAGTCCTCTGAGCAGCAGCAGTAGTATGTTGGATATCACAGGGCCAGGGCCAGAGGCAGATAGAGACCAGGGCTTGGACCTGCTCCAGTGTGAAGAACACCTGCCCTCCTTCCCCCGGATGCCCCACCAGTGACAGCCACATGGAATACGGTAATAATAAGCCAATGTCATGTTTATGATGTGATTATAGATGTGTAATGTAGGCTATACTTTATACAGGTAAATATTATGGTAAATCATTATGATACTTTTAAATTATAAAGCACCTTTTATACATCATTTTGCAGCCAAAGCAGAGTGATACAAATACATAATTCATGATTTACTGTGAAACATCATGCTTTTAGATCTCTGTTCATTCTAGCTATTCTATTTATATATTTAACCCCTTAAAGGAACTCTGATCATTCTAGTTATTATATTTCTATAATCTCCCCTTAGATGACCTTCCGGAGCTGCAGGAGGTGGAGGAGGACCAGACAACCCCCGTCATGTTTCAGGTGGGGGTGGGGGTGTCCCATCAGGAACGTGATGGATACACAAACACTCACACGGCCGGGCCCCCGGACACACACTGGCTCACACAGCTAGCTCACATCGCCACGGGCCCCCAGAGTCCTCTGCTACAGGGCTCCACTCAGGTCGTCAGGTAGGGCTGTTACTGTACCGCACACACACACACACACACACACACACACACACACACACACACACACACACACACACAACACACACACACACACACCTGCTCCCCTTTTAATACTTTATAGCTGTTCATTTCTAACTACCACAGGTCAACTCCTGTCCACGTCTTTGGCACCAGTAGTAACCTCCATTCCTACGCCCGGCCTCCCCACACCCAGCCTCCCCTCATTTCCAGCAGCCTGCCTTCTAGAGGCCAACACAGGGAGCGCAGCAGGCTAGTCAGGGTAAGATCTGTTATGCTACACTACATGGACCAGTGCAGCAAACACAGCACTGCTTTTACTAAGAATATCAAGTCAATTTCAAGTCGATCATCTTTCCCCATGTATTAGGAAATATGGAGTTGTTTGAGAATACAAGTGGAAGTTAGCTAGCTAACTAATTGATCCTACTTTGGTGATAATGCCCTCTGGTCTCTCTCCTCTCTACAGGTCAGTAGTGAGTGTGAGTCTGCTGTGTCCTGTCATTCCTCTGTGTCTGATGACGAGGACATGGGCTGGAGCCACTCCTGGCCCCCTACTGCCTGGCACTGCTTCCTCAAAGGTACATATATATACATAATAATATAGGTACGCCACCCATTTCACAAAAATGGATCGCTCCTACAGTGAATCACGTAGCCGTGGCTTGCTCTATAAAGCAGGCAGACAGGCATCGAGGCATTCAGTTACTGTTCAATGGAATGTTAGAATGGGCAAAATGAGTGTGGCATGATCGTCGGTGCCAGGTGTGCCGGATCCAGTATCTCAGAAACGGCTGCCCTCCTGGGCTTTTCACGCACAACAGTGTCTAGGGTTTACAGAGAATGGTGCGACAAACACAAAACATCCAGTCAGCGGCAGCCCTGATGGCGAAAACAGCTCATTGATGAGAGAGGTCGAAGGAGAATGGCAAGAATCGTGCAAGCTAACAGGCGGGCCACAAACAGACAAATAATAGCGCAGTACAACAGTGGTGTGCAGAACCTGTATCTCGGAACACACAACTCGTCGATCCTTGTCACAGATGGGCTATTGCAGCAGACGACCACACCAGGTTCCACTCCTATCAGATAAAAACAAGAGGAAGTGGCTCCAGTGGGCACGTGATCACACTGGACAATTGAGGAGTGGCACGACGACTCCCAGTTCCTGTTGCGTCATGCTGATGGCAGAGTCATGATTTGGCGTAAGCAGCATGAGTCCATGGACCCATCCTACCTGGTGTCAACAGTACAGGCTGGGTTGTGTATTGGTGTGGGGAATGTTTTCGTGGTACACGTTAGGTCCCTTGATACCAATTGAGCAATGAACGTTTCCGACACCTTGTAGAACCCATGCCCCGAAGAATTCAGGCTGTTCTGGAGGCAAAGGGGGGGTCCGACCCGGTACTGGTTGGGTGTACCTAATAAACTGGCCACTGAGTGTATACGTTTATGTGATCATTTCTGGGACCCGAATGCCTGACCTTGTTGTGTAATGATCATTAATCTATTATCTATATATTTCTTCCTGTGTCCTCAGGCACTCGTCTGCAGTTCCATAAGGGTTCTAGTGTGGAGTGGCAGGATGCTGAGGAACTGGTGTCAGACGAACACTCAGACGATGAGTCAGAGGCTATATCCCACCCCCTGAAGGTACATACTCGTTTAGAGGCAATACCACATCCTCCTAGCTCAGTGGACTAATGCATTCCTGAGTAACACAGATTAACTGAAATTCTTTAATATGTTGCCCTATCATCTCCTATCTCCCTGTGAGCCCCTTGTGAGTACAGTTCCCCATCACTAACCCTGTTGTGTCTTGTCCTCAGGGCTATGGTCGTGAGGGCCTGAGGCTGGTGACCCACACAGAGAGCCGGGCGTTCGGCCAGTCCGTCTTCAAGCTGACCTTTGACCCAGGTGCCTGTGGGGAGTGGCTTCTGTCCGCTGAGTGTAAGCTGGACCACCCGTTCTACGTCAGAAACAAAGGTAGGAGGCCTGGGTGTGTGTAATGTGTGTGTAATGTGTGTGATGTGTGTGTAACATATGCATAAGGTGTGTGTGTGTAACGTGTGTTTTTATAACGTGTGTGTGTTCCTGTGGCAGGCTGGTCATCGTTCTACCCCAGTCTGACCGTGGTGCAGTATGGGATCCCGTGCTATGAGTTGATGGTGGGAGACGTGTGTCTGCCTCCTGGACACAGAGATGCCGTCCACACTGACGACTCCCTGGTGTTTGACACATTCAGGAGGTAAAACCCCTGAGCATTAGTTCAATATCGATAGTAGTGTCCATTCTGTAGTTTACAACGCATGTGTGACACACTGGATTTGAACCGTGGCTCAAGACTGTGTTAGCCCCCTGAGCTAAATAATAATATGCCATTTAGCAGACGCTTTTATCCAAAGTGACTTACAGTCATGTGCGCATACATTCTTACGTATGGGTTGTCCCGGGGATCGAACCCACTACCCTGGCGTTACAAGCGCCATGCGCTACCAATTGAGCTACAGAGCTAAAGCCTCTCAGGTCTCAGTGTGTGACTCTTCTTTGTGTTCCTGTGTTTTTCACATCAGTTATGACTTCACTCCCCTGGACTCGTCGGCGGTGTACGTTCTGAGCAGTATGGCCCGGCAGCGTAGGACCTCCCAGTCCTGCGGGGGCGCCGTCAGCCCCGACCAAGACACACACCGCAACAAGCCAAATAAGAGCCAGCTGGACTTGGGAACAGCCGGCGGGGCTTCGCCCACGAAATGCAAGCGGCCAATGAATGCATTCATGCTATTCGCAAAGAAGTTCAGGTTGGAGTACACCCAGATGTACCCTGGGAAGGACAACAGGTGTGTGTGTGTGTGTGCGCGTTTGTGTGTACAAACAAATCCTAAAATTCACTGGACTACTCAATCAAGTAAATATAACACATTATTGTGTGTGTGTGTGTGTGTGTGTGTGTGTGCTACCCTCAGAGCGATCAGTGTGATCCTGGGAGAGAAGTGGAAGAAGATGCGAGGAGAGGAGAGGAGGATGTACACCATGGAGGCCAAGGCTCTGGCTGACGAGCAGAAGAGACTCAACCCTGACTGCTGGAAACGCAAGAGAACCAACTCAGTGAGGAGAGGACACACACACATATCCTATGAAGCCTCTTGCATGGTGTTAATTTCAATATTAGCCCCTAACCTTAACCTTTCCTCTCTCTTTATCTTGTTCTCCCTTACAGGGTTCCCAGGGGAACTAAGAGTCACAGACACACGAGAGGGATGAGGCAGATGACTGGAGAAAAGAGAGGGAGGCGATGGAGGGGAGGACAAACAGAGAAGAGGGGTGTATGGGGGGAGGCAGTACACGCTCAAACCAGCTACCACTCCTGAGCTGAGGAAGATGCGTGCGCACGCGCACACACACACACACACACACACTTTAGAGCCAGCTACGCTTCCTGTGACGTTACTCTACTGTGATTAGGTGTATGCTTGCTTTCTAAACAAATAGAGAATCAAAAAAATTTACATATATACACAGGACCAGTCAAAATTTGGACACACCTACTCATTCAAGGGTTTTTCTTTATTTTTACTATTTTCTACATTGTAGAATAATAGTGAAGACATCGAAACTATGAAATAACACATATGGAATCATGTAGTAACGAAAAAAGTGTTAAACAAATCAAAATATATTTTGGTAGCCACCCTTTGCCTTGATGACAGCTTTGCACACTCTTGGCATTCTCTCAGCCAGCTTCATGCGGAATGCTTTTCCAACAGTCTTGAAGGAGTTCCCGCATATGCTGAGCACTTGTTGGCTTATTTTCCTTCACTCTGCGGTTCAACTCATCCCAAACCATCTCAATTGGGTTGAGGTCGGGTGATTGTGGAGGCCAGGTCATCTGATGCAGCACTCCATCATCCTTCTTGGTCAAATAGCCCTTACACAGCCTGGAGGTGTGTTTTGGGTCATTGTCCTGTTGAAAAACAAATGATAGTCCCACTAAGCGCAAATCAGATGGGATGGCGTATCGCTGCAGAATGCTGTGGTAGCCATGTTGGTTAAGTGTGCCTTGTGTGCAGTGTCACCAGCAAAGCACCCCCACACCATCACACCTCCTCCTCCATGCTTCATGGTGGGAACCACACATGCGGAAAACAACTGTTCACCTACTCTGCATCTCACAAAGACACGGCGGTTGGAACCAAAAATCTCAAATGTGGACTCATCAGACCAAAGGACACATTTCCACCGGTCTAATGTCCATTGCTCGTGTTTCTTGGCCCAATCAAGTCTCTTCTTCTTATTGGTGTCCTTTAGTAGTGGTTTCTTTGCAGCAATTCGACCATGAAGGCCTGATTCACGCAGTCTCCTCTGAACAGTTGATGTTGAGATGTGTCTGTTACTTGAACACTGTAAAGCATTTATTTGGGCTGCAATTTCTGAGGCTGGTAACTCTAATGAACTTATCCTCTGCAGCAGAGGTAACTCTGGGTCTTCCTTTCCTGTGGCGGTCCTCATGAGAGCCAGTTTCATCATAGCGCTTTATGGTTTTTGCGACTGCACTTGAAAAAACTTTCAAAGTTCTTGAAATGTTGAGTTGTTCTTGCTATAATATGGACTTGGTCTTTTACCAAATAGGGCTATATTCTGTACACCACCCCTATCTTGTAACAACACAACTGATTGGCTCAAACGCATTAAGTCGGAAAGAAATTCCACAAATTAACTTTTAAGAAGGCACACCTGTTAATTGAAATGCATTCCAGGTGACTACCTCATGAAGCTGGTTGAGAGAATGCCAAGAGTGTGCAAAGCTGTCATCATGGAAAATTGTGTCTACTTTGAAGAATCTCAAATATAAAATATATTTTGATTTGTTTAATACTTGTTTTGGTTACTACATGATTCCAGATGTGTTATTTTATAGTTTTGATGTCTTCACTATTATTAAAACCCTGGAATGAGTAGGTGTGTCCAAACTTTTGACTGGTACTGTATATATACAGTATATATATATATATATATAATATACTAACTGTGCTTGAATATAATATATATTTTTATTGTCCGACTTGCCTTAATCTTCCAAAGCAAGAATGTATTATTTTTTAATAATTTTGATTCATTTCAGGTCATTTCATACCTTATAGCTTGAAAAACATGAACCCCTGTGGTGCTGTAGAGTAGGAAAAGGGGTGTTAAAAACTAAATGTCTATTTTACAACCAGAGATCAGTCTACGGAATTTAAATATGCTTCCGATTATTCTTATGCCTATATTTGTATAACTCTGTATATTATTCCACAGAAAAAACTATTTTAACTTTGTACATGCAGAGGGGAACGGAGGGAGGGGTGGGTGGGATATGTGCTTAACCATGACTCTTGCCGTATTTCAAATGGACACCTACCCCTTAGGCACTTAAAAGGAAAACTCCACTCAAAAACTATATTTTTCTATTTGTAACATTAGTCCATTGTTGATACCAAAATGTTTGCATGTCAGCAGTCAAGTTGTCAAGATATTGGACTTTCAAGAAGCAAAGTTTCACTTGCCACATCATAGTTTCCTTTAAAGTAGATCTTATCTAGTCCCCTCATATCTACACTAGTGTCTAAGGGGTAGGGTTATTATTATTATTATTATTATTATTATAGGGGTTGGTTTGGAACTGGGCATATCTTACCCAGGTCAAGTGCACTGGGTGTGTGACAAACGAATAGGCCATATAATAATGATGTGTTATATTATAATGATGTTAACATACCTATAGGACGGACATGCATACTCTCACTGCACTTTGGGGATATGTGTTATGCACTATATACACTTTATTTTCTGTATGACGGATCTGTATAATTCAAGTATAGCTATACTTTCTAATGCAAGTATAATTTTCTGACTCAATCTCAGTTTAACTATCAAGATTGTGAAATTGATTTGATTAGTTTATTTATTTATCTTTATCAATTATGTACAGGTATTCCTGCTCTTGTATTTTAGTTTAAATAAAAGCATGGATCTAAACTGTTTTTTGAAAGAGTTTCATTGGGGTAAAGGAAAGATTACTGAGACAATGACAAGAGTTTGTTGTGATAGTAAATGACGAGTTTAAGGTGTAGATAACATCTTTACTCATCCTGTTCAAACCCAAATATACAGTGCTGTTTATAGTAATCTTATGACTACTGAAACTCCATGCCTCATTATAATGTTAAAAAAGACCAAAACATTTCAGAAATATTAAAAGCATTATCGACATTTGAACTAAAAAAACTGACAAAAAAAAACATAGTAATAACGTTTGTAAATGGATAGAAAGCCAACTCCATAGTAAAATATCAAATCTAGAGGTATAAATACATTTGGCCTTTTGATAGTGGTCAATTATTATTATTTACATAATATGAGATAATATTATATAATTCCACCTTTCAAACTGATCATCTCTTATTCTACATGTTTAACACCAGTATTTACACAAGTCATCCACAAGAGCAAGAAGAAACATATAGTAGATATAATGACATGGGAAGGATATTTATCCCTTTTAAGTAATTACATACAATTAAGACATTTCAAAGGGATAGATAGTTAAATCAAATAACTCCAAAACTTTAACAAACTTTAAGCAAGACAGTGGTCACCTTTAAAAAAAGAGTAAAGAACATTTGGCATTAGTCACAAAGACATAGTATCAAAAGAGTTTTAAAGTACAACATGAATTACAAAAGGCACATTACACCAGAACCCTAGCAGCCAGATGCAATGTGTGGTCATACATGACAAACAGTATGTTTTATTCTGATAATTGGATGCATAATGTCATGTATTTTATAGTGAGCTACGCCTATTAATCACAATTCGCTAGTGGCTAGCTCATGCTGCAAACGACTGGTATAAAAAAAAGGCAATCTCTCTCACAGTGTATCTCCCAGAGTATGTGGTGCTCCTTGTAGTCTGTGTGTGTGTGTGAGAGAGGTTACATTAGGGACTCTAGGCTCTCTGCTGCAGTGGTGGCCCCCAGGGGGATAGAACCGTTGGTCTCAGGGGACTGTAGGGCCCTCTGGTCTTCCTGGCTGTCCACCAGACTCAACACGGCCCTGTACATGAACTGGTACTGCTCCTAGGAGTGGAGCAGTGAAAGACAAGAGTCAGTACAGGATGGGCCAGGTGCAGGGTGCGAATTACGGGAGAGCCGGGGGGGGCTCAGCTCCCCTGAATGAGACGTTAGCTCCCCTAAATGCAGCAAAAGTCTCTAAATAATGCACATTTATCCATTCTTCTATTTGTTTAAAATTCAGTGGTAAATATTAAAATAAAAGTTTCCAAATGAAACTAACACCCCCACCGCTCTGTCATGGTTTTAAACCATTTCTTTCTATGTGGCTGAGCTATCCACTTAGTAGTGCTGAATTTCGGCCTGAGCTGAGCTCTTTTACGCATCAATTTTCCTTTGTACTAAGTATTTTTGCCATTTATTTTCCATGTGTCCTTGATCAAAAATAGCCTTTATTCCAATGCATTAGATTTATCCATTGGTTTATCATTGTTTGCTTTTGTCAGTCAGCTGTTTAGAGCGCTCATTGCTTTGTTTTTCAGGTGCGTGTTACGTAGGCATAGTTACACATTTTTTCAGAGATCTCCAAGATCCATGATTTGTACAGGGTTTAAGTTCGATGTTCTAATTCAATTGTTAAATGCTTAATAATGACAAATAACACAGCCATAAATGTTATTAATGTAAGGATAGAAAGGTAGTGTTTGTTTTATTTCACACGATCTGTGAAGACTCCAAGCATTCACTCATGAGTTATGGACAATTGTGAACTAGGGGGTAAAACATGTTTTCACTCAACTATTATATTGATTGTAAGCTACCTGTTCTGCGTATGTTCATGTGTGTAAAACTGCCTTGGCTGAGAGGGTAGGCTACAGCAGTTGTGTAGGCCTAGTGGAGCGTAAACACAAGTTTACCCACCTTTTTCAGAAAAATGCATTGAAAGTATAGGAAGCTGACTTTTTAGGCTACAAAAAAGGTCAATTTGTCAGCAAGACGCATCAATTAATGTAGACCTAATCAATGGCAATCGCTGAATGTCAAACGACGAGAGTATACATGCAGTTTGGATGCAGGAATAATTTTTGAGTGGACAAACATGCACAGGTAACCTACTTTTGAAGTGATTTGTTTGACAATCATATGAAAATATCATGACTGGTTGTGTTCATGCCACATTAAAAGGTAAGTCATTTGTACCATTTAAATGACGTCTTTATTATTAGGCCCACACAAGCTCGTGCACTCAATAGAGACCCCACGAATGTCATGGTATAATTCGCACTCTGGCCAGGTGTGTGTGAGAGCGATTTGTGAGCAGTGTGCGAGTGAGCAAACTGTGTATGGTGTGCAGGTGTGTGTGAGAGCTAACATAGTGAGCTATGTGAGCTGTTTTTGTAAGGTGTGCTTGTTTGTGTGTGTGTGTGTGTGCAACCTGGACTCAGGGGTAGGCGTAACATAGTAAATGTAAATCCGTGATGCTCAAATTAATATGATAAGTTCCGTTTGGTATGGTATGTATTCATTTGTGGATGTCCATAAACCATTTCTTATGATATGTTGCAAATTACAATTCGTGTGATATGTTACGAATTATAATTTGGACAATATGTTATGAATTTGCAATACATATGATATGTTACAATTTGTTGTGGCTAATATTAGCATTAGCGAATTACAATTCGTATGATATGTTATGAATTGCAATTCGTACAATATGTTACGAATTTGCAATGTGCATGATATGTTACGAATTACAATTAGTTGTGGCTAACGTTAGCTAGGTGGCTAATGCTTAACGTTAGCTAGGTGGCTAATGTTAGCTAGGCTAGGGGTTAAGGTTAAGGTTAAGGTTAGGGTTAAGATTAGGGTTAGGAGTTAGGTTAAAGGGTTAAGGTTAGGGTTTGGGGAAGGGTTAACTAACATGCTAAGTAGTTGCAAAGTAGCTAAAAAGTAGAAAGTAGTTGCAAAGTTGCTAAAGTTGTCCGTGATGAGATTTGAAAACGCAACCTGGGTTGCTAGACGTTCGCATTATACAACCACCCATCCACCCTGACCAACTCCTGTCCTTTCGTTTTTGCCTTAAGTAATCTTCTGTCTTATGTAACCATACCAAACGTAACATATCATACTCATTTGAATGTCCCGGATTTACGTTTACTATGTTAGGTCTAGTCTATGAGTACAGCCTGGTGTGAGTATGTGTGTGTCTATGTATGAGCTGTGCTATGTTCCCCGAGTTGCTGTGTTGTGTGTGTAACTGTTGTGTGTGTTGTGTGTACGATGTGTGTGTGTGTGCTGTTCCAGGACATACCATGTCGTTGAAGACACCAGGCCTCATGAGGTTGGTCATGCGTGCCACCTGGTACACGTCCACAGAGCCCTGCTGCTCCAGCTGCTGTGCCAGGGTGGTGAGGGCACAGAACAGCCCCGCCATCGAGCCACCCAGGCTAGCACAGACACAGACAGGGGAAAACAACCAAGTCTTTCTCACAAACACAGATTAAGCCAACTACTTCTGGACCAAAAAGCACTTTATGTGGTGAATCAGTGAAACCAGCTCCCTAAGTGAGTTAACACAGTCTTCAATTAAGATTCCTCGCACCCTAACAGCCCTCAGGTGCCCTCCCAGCCACAGAGAACACAGAGGGAACAGAGAAGACCCAATTAACAGAGGGGAAGAGTAACTCACCGGTCATGTACGACTATGGTTCCTTCTCTTCGTCTGCTGTCCTCTGTGATAATGTTGAGCAACTGGAAGGTGCTGCTGACGGGGTTGTCTGGGTTGGGCCAGCTGGGGGACATGTACTGACGCACCTCCAGGACATAGTTATCCTGGGGGAAGAGGGAGAGAGGAGTGTGGGTGTATGTAGGTGTAGTTCTCATTTGTGTGTGGTCCTCATTTGTGTGTGGTCCTCATTTGTGTGTGTGTGTGTGTCTGGTTTGATCTGTGTGTGGTTTGATCTCTCCCAGCTAGCACATTTGGTTCCTTGGAAGTTGTGGGAACGTATGTTTTTGGTTTCACATTGGTTGTGGGAATGAAGCCATACGCTTCCTGACCGGTAAAATTGAACGTTTTTTAAACATTCTGAGAACAGAAGTGAAAATGTAGCCTGTTATGGGAACGTTTATTTTTAGTTCGCAGCCAGGGAGGTTCTGAGAACATTTTACTCTGGTTCCTTGAACATTTCACTGGGAGGTTTTATTAACGCTCTGAGAACAGAAAATATAGGTTATTTGGAGGTTTTTTAATAACTACCTTAACAATGTTAACTGAATGTTTCAATAAGACTTAATAACACTGCTAGTTTAACTCCAAGCACAGATGGAACACATGGAAATTAATTTCCTTAGGCAGTAGCCCTTACCTGCAGTCAAATGACCAAATTGCCCTCTAGTGGGCTCATGGGTGGAATGTTATTAATATTTTTCATGATTTCATAATTAATAAATATTATTATTTTTTAAATGCTGAAAATCCGGTGTTTCTATGTCAAACTGTTTTGTTATATTTCAGTCTTCTGTGATGTATATAAAGTGGAATATTGGGATGCAAACTCAAAATGTGACTGACATTCTACAGGTGTCTTCTTTTTTTAAGCCCATAACCACATGTGTGAGGTGTATACTTTTGTTTCAAAGTAGATTTGTTTAAGACTACCAAGAAACACTCTGTATAAACCTGATTTAGTTCACTGCAGTAAAAGGTTTTAATCACACAAACACATTTATGTTTTATTGTGACACAGCATCAGTGAGATTTAAACCTGTAATCTTCTGTTCTCAATCCATGGAATTAGTCCACTGTGCCACCAGGATGAAGCTAGCATTCCATATTGTTCATTTTAGTCTATTAAAGCAGACACCATTTCAAAGGAAACAAGCACTCATTAAGATCAGGTGTGGCCAATTAGTGGGCGTGGCCAACACACCTCAACACACTTAACAAGATAAAGGATAGAGAGAGTTTTGTAGATGCTGAGAATGGAATGTTTAAGTTCTCATTCCCAATGTCAATCTAGTTGGAGAACGTTAATAGAGCATTACCAAAATTGAAATGAAATGTAACCATGTTTGAACTTTTAGGAAATGTTCTGTTAAAGTAATGAAATACCAAGAAAATAACGTTTTTTTTTTTGAAGTTCCTTAAATGTGCCAAGAATGTTCCAAAGGCAAGCAACTATCCTGCACCATTCCCAGAAAGTTGTGGGAAGGTTGTATGCAAAATAATCATAGGACAACCATGCTCTCACCAAGATCTAAGAAACATATGGTTTTCAGAATGTTATGTGCTAGCTGGGCTGTGTGTGTGTGTGTGGTTGGATCTGTGTGTATGAGTGTGCGAGCGTGCACGTGTGTGTGGTTGGATCTCTGTGTGTTTGTGTGTGTCCTCACCTGTGTGGCCTCCAGTAAGAAGTCGTGGACCACCAGTTTCTCCTCGTTGGCCAGACAGATGTGGTCCTCTCCAGAGAACGACACTATGAAACCCTCACAGCTGATTGGCTGATCCTTACTGGGCCAGTATACACAAGACTCCTCCCCCTCGCACTGATAGGACACAATGGAAACAGCGTTATAGGTGTGATACTGTTGACCAGTGTGTGTGTGTGTGTGTGTGTGTGTTTGTGTGTGTGTGTGTAGTGCTACCTACCTACCTGTGCTGTGTGTGTGTCAGGCAGGGAGATGATGAGCTGTGAGTTGTGGTCCCAGACCATTCTCCAGAAATCAGAGACAGTGGAGGGGAGAGGAGACTGGGTCAGGATAAACTCCCTGCTCTTGTTGGTAACCCTGGAACACAGCACAGACACAGTCAAAATAAACAACATGAATCTGGAACACACATATGACTTCGCTTCTACATGGTTTGTGAAGCATCTACATTGAGTGTACAAAACATTAGGAACACCTTCCTACTATTGAGTTGCATCCCCTCAGAACAGCCTCAATTCGACGGGGCATGGACTTTACAAGGTGTCAAAGCGTTCCAAAGGGACAGTTGTGTCAAGTTGGCTGAATGTACAGTACCTTGGTTGGTGGACCATTCTTGATACACACGGGAAACTGTTGAGCGTGAAAAACCCAGCAGCGTTGCAGTTCTTGACACACTCAAACCGTTGCGCCTGGAACCTACTACCATACCCCATTCAAAGGCACTTAAATCTTCTGTCTTGCCCATTCACACTCTGAATGGCATACATACACAATCCATGTGTCAATTGTCTCAAGGCTTAAAAATCCTTCGTTAACCTGATCTCCTCCCCTTCATCTACACTGATTGAAGTGGTTTTAACAAGTGACATCAGTAAGGGATCATAGCTTTCACCTGGATTCACCTGGTCAGTCTATGTCATGGAAAGAGAAGTTCCTAATGTTTTGTACACTCAGTGTATGTAGTGTTTATGAAGACCCTGTGAATGCTCTATAAAGCGTTTATAAGGGGCCTTATCAAATGGTCAACCTTACTCTTACCATGATATAGGAAGCGTTGATGTAGTCTGAAGATTCTCCTTCCACTGGACAGGACAGACACACTCTGGATCTCTCCACTGTAACACACACAGAAACACACAATCTATTATTTTCAAGTGGTCCTAAAGTATTTTATTTATTTATTGAAAGATTTCTGGTTTGCTCAGATAAACTATTCCATTTTTGTATTGCTCTGAATCAAAATGTTATTTTGCCCATTTCTCTTCTCTGCTGGAAGATGAGAGAGGCCTGTAATTTTCATCATAGGTACACGTCAACTATGACAGACAAAATGAGAAAAAAAAATCCAGAACATCACATTGTAGGATTTTTAATGAATTTATTTGCAAATTATGGTGGAAAATAAGTATTTGGTCAATAACAAAAGTTTCTCAATACTTTGTTATATACCCTTTGTTGGCAATGACACAGGTCAAACGTTTTCTGTAAGTCTTCACAAGGTTTTCACACACTGTTGCTGGTATTTTGGCCCATTCCTCCATGCAGATCTCCTCTAGAGCAGTGATGTTTTGGGGCTGTCGCTGGGCAACATGGACTTTCAACTCCCTCCAAAGATTTTCTATGGGGTTGAGATCTGGAGACTGGCTAGGCCACTCCAGGACCTTGAAATGCTTCTTACGAAGCCACTCCTTCGTTGCCCGGGCGGTGTGTTTGGGATCATTGTCATGCTGAAAGACCCAGCCACGTTTCATCTTCAATGCCCTTGCTGATGGAAGGAGGTTTTCACTCAAAATCTCACGATACATGGCCCCATTCATTCTTTCCTTTACACGGATCAGTCGTCCTGGTCCCATTGCAGAAAAACAGCCCCAAAGCATGATGTTTCCACCCCCATGCTTCACAGTAGGTATGGTGTTCTTTGGATGCAACTCAGCATTCTTTGTCCTCCAAACACGACAAGTTGAGTTTTTACCAAAAAGTTCTATTTTGGTTTCATCTGACATTCTCCCAATCCTCTTCTGGATCATCCAAATGCACTCTAGCAAACTTCCGACGGGCCTGGACATGTACTGGCTTAAGCAGGGGGACACGTCTGGCACTGCAGGATTTGAGTCCCTGGCGGCGTAGTGTGTTACTGATGGTAGGCTTTGTTACTTTGGTCCCAGCTCTCTGCAGGTCATTCACTAGGTCCCCCCGTGTGGTTCTGGGATTTTTGCTCACCGTTCTTGTGATCATTTTGACCCCACGGGGTGAGATCTTGCATGGAGCCCCAGATCGAGGGAGATTATCAGTGGTCTTGTATGTCTTCCATTTCCTAATAATTGCTCCCACAGTTGATTTCTTCAAACCAAGCTGCTTACCTATTGCAGATTCAGTCTTCCCAGCCTGGTGCAGGTCTACAATTTTGTTTCTGGTGTCCTTTGACAGCTCTTTGGTCTTGGCCATAGTGAAGTTTGGAGTGTGACTGTTTGAGGTTGTGGACAGGTGTCTTTTATACTGATAACAAGTTCAAACAGGTGCCATTAATACAGGTAACGAGTGGAGGACAGAGGAGCCTCTTAAAGAAGAAGTTACAGGTCTGTGAGAGCCAGAAATCTTGCTTGTTTGTAGGTGACCAAATATTTATTTTCCACCATAATTTGCAAATAAATTCATTAAAAATCATACAATGTGATTTTCTGGATTCTTTTCTCTCAATTTGTCTGTCATAGTTGACGTGTACCTATGATGAAAATTACAGGCCTCTCTCATCTTTTTAAGTGGGAGAACTTGCACAATTAGACATAGATGGAGGAGAACCTATTCCTAGTATTGACTGAATATCTGTCTCTTACCAACTATATCCTGTTGTGTGTGTTTGGCTACTTCAACTCACCAGGCATGAGAGAGGAGGTCCTGTTTTTGTCAGCGTTTCCTTCTCTCAGGGCAGCGGCGTAGTCAGCCTGTCTGGCTCTACGCTGACTCACCAGCTATAACACCACAGTAGTAAATGTTACCATAACGCTATCAGATTAACCACAATACCAACACATTACCATCATTCCCGCTCCATGGCTTTCACCAATCAAGTCATGCCAGATCAGTCATTACTTCAAGGAAAGGAGGAAGGTAGAGACAATGTATTCTCAAAGTGTTTGAGCAGGTCCCAAGTCAGGGCCCTGAAAGTAGCGCAGTAGGGTATAGGGTTCCACTTGGGACAAACCCCCATCTCTGTGTGTGTTCTGACCTTGAACTGTCTCTCCATGCGTGTCCTGCCGGAGGGCCCAGTGGTCAGCAGGTCAGAGACGTAGGAGTGGACCAGGTCAGAGGTCACCAAAGTGTCCCTGCTGACGATGGCCTCCACCAGGGCATCATGGATAAACACATACTGCTCCTGAGGACCAGAGCGACATAACACAGAGAGAGACTTCTCACTCACATCACATACAGCAGGGCTGGGGCCGGTTGCATTTCAATCTCTAGCCCCTTCCCCCTAGCTCCTATATTTTCAAAGTTTGCCTATTGGACAGAGCCTTGTTGCTTTCACCTTTCCAATATTTTCAGATCTGTATATATCAAAGCAGGGCATAAAGGCGTCAGGTAGCCTAGCGGTTAAGAGCGTTGGGCCAGTAACCGAAAGGTTGCTGGTTCGAATCCCCAAGCTAACTAGGTGAAAAATCTGCCGGTGTGCCCTTGAGCAAGGTACTTAACCCTAATTCAGCATTTCCCAAACTTGGTCCTGGGTACCCCAACGGGTACACATTTTGGTTTCTGCTCTAGCATACACAGCTGATTCAAATAATCAAAGCTTGATGATGAGTTGGTTATTTGAATCAGCTGTGCAGTGCTAGGGGAAAAACCAAAATGTGCACCCCTTGGGTACCCCAGGACCGAGTTTGGGAAACGCTGCCCTAATTGCTCCTGCAAGTGTGTGTATTACCTCCGTCTGTACCAGGTAGTTCCTCTGTGTTCTGACGTGTTTGAGGAAGCCCAGTATGTTGACTGTTCCCTGCTCCTGGATCTGTTGCAGCATACTGTCCAGCACGATGTAGGTCCCTGTCCTCCCCACACCAGCACTACACACACAGAACATACTTGTGAGAGAGTCCCACACAACACAATGCTTCCCTTTTCAGAAATGAATACTTGGATATTCACCACCTGCACAAAGCCATTGGATGTGCATACTGTTAATCAAACCTTTCTTACGCAATATTTTCGCCTTTCCCCCTGGTTGTTAACCCCCCCCCCCCCCTTCCCACACACACCCAGCCCACCTGCAGTGTACGAGGACGGGGCCCATGTCCTGAGTCCTGGCCTGGGACGAGGCGCGTACGAAGGAGAGGACAGGCAGGGTGTATTCAGGCACGCCCATGTCAGGCCACTGGGTGTAGTGGTACTGGACCACCGTCCTCTCAGCACAGCACCCCCTCTTGGAAGCCTGCAGGTACAACACACAGTAGGCAGGGTCAAAAAGACTAGAAGCTCTGTGCACTGCAGTGCATCTTCTTCAAGGTGTGTGGGTGTGTGTGTGTGTCCAGACCTTTTGTGAGGTGTCTCTGAGGGTAAAGGTCCTCAGGGTATAGTAGGCCAGGGTCTTGGTGTCCTTTAGGGTCACCAGGAAATAACCATACTCCTCCTGGTTCTCCATTGGCCAGTACTGGTCACACTTCCTCTGACATCACAGAGGGAGAGAGCCTCAGTCACACAATGGTCAAAAACAGCATATATAAAAGTCATATAAAAACCTTTCCCAGGTTTACCTCACAAACATAGTTATGTTCCATTTTTCTTTCCTCTTGAACCAATGTTTTATGTTTAAACTGTGTAACAATACACACATTAACACAGTGCCCCAGCCTGCAGTCTATCTGAGTGACTAACTGACCCGTCCCTTCTCCAACAGGTTGGTGATCATGACGATGACTCCAACATTCTCCTGCCACACCATCCTCCAGAAGTCCTCTGTCCCAGACTTCAGGGGCCCCTGGGCCGCAATGTAGGCTCTCGTACGCTCAAAACCCTGACAGGAACACAAACAGACCAATCAGTCTGTATTTCTATACTAATCCCCTTTACATGTTCAGTATCTGATATGGATATTAATGATTAGGAGAGGAGCTACTTACATCAACAAAGTTAGCATTGATGTAGTCTCCACCTTTTGCCTCTTCCAGCAGTTTGACTCTGCTGTGGTCATCTAGAACAACAAAGAGGGTTAATGCATAGTGTGTATGTGTGTGTGTCTGTGTGTGTGTGAGTGAGTGACGTACAGGCCATGATGTTGATATATCGGTTCTTGTTCTTGTTGTCTGGGTGGTTGGAGCTGTCAGTGGTGATGCCCATCTCCACCGTGCACGCCTGCACCTCCTGAAAGAGAAACACACACTGGCACTCAGTCACACAAATTGAACAATTACCTATTTTTATTTTTTTATTTTACCTTTATTTAACTAGGCAAGTCAGTTAAGAACAAATTCTTATTTACAATGACGGCCTACACCGGCCAAACCCGGACGACGCTGTGCCAATTGTGCGCCGCCCTATGGGACTCCCAATCACTGCCGGTTGTGATACAGCCTGGAATCAAACCAGGGGGTCTGTAGTGACGCCTCAAGCACTGAGATGCAGTGCCTTAGACCGCTGCGCCACTCGGGAGCCCGAGTACACACATCTGCACGCACACACACACACTCTGAGCCATTACGAACCAACACACACAACCCGGCCGGAGCCCAACACGCAAGTCCAATTATCAAATAGAAGGTAGCATGCAAGAAGAACACAACAAACAAGAAAACACTAAAATACATGAAAGCAGACAGTACAGCTACTCAGAGATGTGATCCATGCAACAAAGAAAACACTATCAGTCAATTCCAATGATAGGATAAAGAGAAAAGGTCTTCCTGATTCTGAGGTCAAAGGTCAAAGAATCAGGAAGTCCTGATGAATCAGGATAAGATGAGATCACATCTTTGACACTGTGAATATCTAATCTAACACAAAGGGAGTCTTACCTCATAACACTCTGTCACAATCTAATGGGAGGGGGAGGAAGGAGGGGTGGGGGGTGAGAATGGGTGGTGGGAGGGTGGAGGGGAGGAGGGAGGAGTGGGTGAGAATGCAGAAAGCACAGCGATGAGGGGTTGGGAGACACACAGTGACCAGTCAGTGCAGATACACAAACATGAGGAACAGCTCTCTGTGTGTGTATGTGTCTGGAGGTAGTGGGGTCACCTACTGATACACACAGTGTTGCAAACTGTACGCCATGTTGACACCAAACATTCTATTGGAGCGTTGTCTTGGAATGGGTGGTGTGAACATGGCACCCATTAAAATGTCTAAAAGGTTTGCCAAACTCTGTGTGTCTATAGCTATGTTCAGGCTTTACCAGAGTAAGGTTACCTACAGAGACAGTGTAATGTAGTCCCTCACCCTAACATACAGTACACCCTCAACATGCTATCCCACAACCCACAACAGTTACACTGAGATAGGGACATCTAAACACATATTAACATCTACAGACAACAACTAAAATGTTTCTCTAACTATTCTCATTGGCCATTAAACAAACGTTTCTGTTTCAGACAGTGCCACCTTTCAGACAGGATGCCTCACTTACCAGTAGTGTTGAGTTCAGTTATACTCTGAACTAACATACACTTTTATTGATTAGAAAGGAATAATGGCAGCTTTAGTAAGCAGTGAGGGTCACATCCCAACCATGACTACAACACTGTGTCTAAGTGATGTTAATACTGCTGGGGAGCATTAAGAGCAGCACGTATAATACATACAGTAGTATCAGGTTGATGTCTCTCTCACCTCAAACTCCTTGGAGAAGGTGTTGTTCTGGTGGAGTTCTGCCACGTGCTTCACAAACTGCTTCACTGACAGCGCCTCGTGCTCTTCTGGAAACACAGACAGGAGTGAATGGATGAAGGTATGTGTGTGTGTGTGTGTGTGTGTGTGTGTGTGTGTGTGTGTGTGTGTGTGTGAGTGTGAGTGTGTGTGTTACCTGTGGCGAGCAGCAGAGGTGAAGACAGAGCAGAGATGACTTTGGGTGAGGCAGTGTCTTCAGTGTAGAGTTCAACCGTCTGGAAGCAGTTTCTGTTAAACAAACGTTGCAAATTGAAATATAATGAACAGAGCTGACACGACTCCCAATTCTACAGGGCAGACAATCATACCTGCTCTTTACAATACATTTCTATCTGAACACACACTGTAAAACATTTCCTGTAAAATGTACAGTAACTTACTGGCAGCATTTGGCCAGTAAGTTCCTGTAATCTATTTTACAGTACAGCTACTGTAATCCATTTTACAGTAATCAATTGTACAGTACCAAAAATGTGACTGTAATCTAATTACAGTATATTATTGGAATTACCCATGCAGTGACATATTACCCAGTGTTCTTTGCAAGTTTTCATTTTCACATTTACATTTTGGTCATTTAGCGGGCGATCTTGTCCTTAGCAACTTACAGTCAGTGTATTCAACCAAGGTTGATAAAAAAAATCACAATCATAGCAAGTAAAAAGCTTCTCCATTACTTGTAATTACAACAAGCTACCTTATGATATATCTCTGGATAGTGCCAATACAATACTGAGATATTTACAGTAACTTGATGACAGAGCAATGAAACACAGTACAATACAGTAAAACTGACTATTAAACTATGTTTTTTAAACTACAGTATTTTACTGTAATTACAAGGGATTAGAGCAAGCAGGTTGGCTGTAGGCATTTGCATATTAAGGAATACTAGGTGTTTCATATCACTTGCACTTCTAGAGGCCTAATCAAAGGCTTCCAAACTGGCCGTGATTACATGGCAAAACAGATCAAATGGACATGGGTAAATATTCAGCCATTAAAAGGTTTAAGACCCGCTTCTACTCTGATCTATTCCCTATATATACTGAACAAAAATATAAAACGCAACATGTAAAGTGTTGGTCCCATGTTTCATGAGCTGAAATAAAAGATCCCAGACATTTTTCATATGCACAAAAAATGTATTTCTCTCCAACTTTGTGCACAAATTTGTTTACATCCCTGTTAGTGAGCATTTCTCCTTTGCCAAGATAAACCATCCACCTGACAGGTGTGGCATATCAAGAATGGTCATTACACAGGTGCATCTTGTGCTGGGGACAATAAAAGGCCACTCTAAAATGTGAAGTTTTGTCACACAACACAATGCCACAGATGGCTCAAGTTTTGAGGGCGCTGTAATTGCTATGCTGACTGCAGGAATGTCCACCAGAGCTGTTTTAGAGAATTTGGCAGTACTTCCAACCGGCCTCACAACCGCAGACCACGTGTATGGTAGGGGCAGGCATAAGCTATGGACAACGAACACAATTGCATTTCATCGATGGCAATTTCAATGCACAGAGAATGCTGTGACAAGATCCTGAGGCCCATTGTCGTGCCATTCATCCGCCGCCATCACCTCATGTTTCAGCATGATAATGCACGGCCCCATGTCGCAAGGATCTGTACACAATTCTTGGAAGCTGAAAATGTTCCAGTTCTTCCATGGCCTGCATACTCACCAGACATGTCACCCATTGAGCGTGTTTGGGATGCTCTGGATCGACATGTACGACAGCGTATTCCAGTTTCCGCCAATATCCAGTAACTTCGCACAGCCATTGAAGAGGAGTCGGACAACATTCCACAGGCCACAATCAACAGCCTGATCAACTCTATGTGAAGGAGATGTGTCACGCTGCAGGGGGCAAATGGTGGTCACACCAGATATTGACTGGTTTTCTGATCCACGCCCCTACCTTTTTTTAAAGGTATCTGTGACCAACAGATGCATATCTGTATTCCCAGTCATGTGAAATCCATAAATTAGGGCCTAATTCATTTATTTCAATTGACTGATTTCCTTATATGAACTGTAACTCATCTTTGAAAATCTTTGAAATTGTTGCACGTTGCAGTTATATTTTTGTTCAGTATACATTTAATTGTTAGGGAACTACTACCACATATCACTTAAATTGGTACAGGACTCTCACTAATGGGTGAAACAAATATAGCCAATGCACGCCTTAAAATATGTTATTGAGACAGCGATTCTTTCTCCTCACACAATGTTTCACCACAATGCACCATAATTAATACTGTAAAACACATTTACAGTATTTTACTGTGCATTTGATAGGTTTTGAAATTATAGAAAGGTCTTACAGTGTGCTGTAAAACAAATGTACAGTATTTTACTGTGGATTGTACGGTAATCTACTGTATTCAGTTTATACAGTAAGTTACTGATAAATTACAAAACGGCTAACAATGCAGGTGTGCTAATCGTACCTCCAGTAGATGAGGATGCCCACCAGGACCAGTAGACAGATAATGGTGAGGGTTGATACCACAGCCAGAGGGACCACTGTCCTCCTCTCCCTCTCAGCAACACTTCCCACCATTTCTACCCTTGACTCATGGCTGCTGTTACTGATCTCTGGGGGGGAAAAGAATGGGTTGTTATTTACAGACTTGTATGCACACGCACACACCCTGGATTTAAAAACACATACTTTATTAATTTAAATCAGTAGGAAATCTGTTACCACCTCATTGAGTATAAATGCCAAAATCATATTTCCTCTCCTACACAAGGAAATCTCATATCACTCTCTGAATAACACCACCTAACCCGCCACCATGATTGGAGATTCCTAACCCGCCACCATGATGTTACCTTTCCTCAGCTCCTCCACAGCCCTGTTGTCAGGGAGGACAGGGACACGTAGATCTATACCAGGGATATGCAGCTCTATACCAGAGTTACCAGCGCTGGGCAGCTCCACTAGGACCTCTCCATCTCCAGACCCACTAGCCTCACCCAGCACCACAGACCCCTGGGGATTGGCCCCTGCTCTGTCCACCTCGGACACACCACTACCAGTCTCACTCTCAAAGTGGAAGCTAGAGGAAAGACCCTCTAAGTCACCGCTGCTCTCTTCCTGTGTCTCTTCCCTTTGTTGTGTCCAGGGCTGAGGCCAGTGTGAGTGAACGTAGGTCTGTCCCAAGGGAAAGTGTCGCCCCTCTCGGCCAGTCGTGACCTAGGGTGACCCCGTTCCCCGTAGAGGCCAGAGCCTGACCCACTGATGTCCGTCTGTCCAACCTGAGAGGTCACAGTCTGTCTGTCCGACCTGGGGTCCTCTTCAGAGCGGCAGACAGAGGGGGAGAGGGTTGTGTATTTTTTGGAGGGGGTGATAGACGGGTAGAGGGTTGCTGTCTCTTCGGAATGGCTGAGAGAAGGGTGCAAGGGTGGTGTAGCCCCCTTGGGAGGGTGTGAGAGTAGGGTGCAAGGTGCTAGAATCCTCTTCAGAGAGGGAGACAGAGGGGTATGGGGCTGGAAAGTTGAGAGGTTCTGTGGGCTGCTGAACCCAAGTCCCCCTCTGAAAGCTGGTACTGACTGGAACAGAGAGACCTGTCTGGTCAGACTGAGTGTGAAAATAAGCACTAAACTGAATACTTAACAAAGAGACACTACATCAGACCACCAGAGAACGAAGGATAGAAGAGCAGAGACCTGGAGAAGAGGAGCACAACAACCACAGTCTGAGTGCCTATACAGAGCAGCCACCAGAGGGCAGACTGGAGTCACGGAGGAGCAGCCAGCTCACCCACAGCAAGGCAGGTAAAGAGTCCCAGAAGAAGACATAAGATGTGAATCCTTATGATTCAAGGGAAAGAAGACAGACTGGCATAGGAATACCACCACCACTGGATATTGGTAAAAGACATGGATCTCTGATGTACCAGTATGTCCCAGTATGAACCACTGGGCAGCCAAAGGATGAGAGAAAAGTTGAAAAAGGTAGATCACCATAGACAGACACCGAGAGCTGGACTGTTACAGCACATCACCACCATAATCACCACCAGCCAGTAGAGCGCCAGTCCCTTCTCCACTATCATTATTAACACCCACCATCACCATTGTAGGTCTAAGCGTCAATATCACCCTTATCAACAGCACAGCAGTAGAGAGAGGCAGATGAGCAAAGAAGAGAGGTACAGATCACACAACCATCAAACCACCATCACACAACCATCATACAACCATCAAACAACTATCAAACAACCATCATAAAACCATCAAACAACCAGCATACAACCATCAAACAACCAGCATTCAACCATCATTCAACCATCATTCAACCATCAAACAACCACCATAAAACCATCAAACAACCAGCATACAACCATCATACAACCATAATTCAACCATCAAACAACCACCACACAACCAAACAATCTAAGAGTGCACTATACAGTAGCAAGCTTTGACAACAGGAGGAGAGGGAAAGGCATAAAGGTTATGTGTAATTTAGTTTATATGCACACACACAGACATTTACAGCATGCATGTAGGGTTGCAGGGTACATATGTGTTTCTTACCGGTGAATATGGGCTGGGTAGTGTTCTGTACGACCTTGACGAGGCCTGAGGTAGTGGAGGAGCCGTAGGCCGTGGAGAGGGAGTTGCTGGGACTTGAAGTCCTAGATCTGATCCAGGGCACAGAGGGGGTTGAGGTTACAGAAACCAGGGTCTGTTGAATAGGGGTTGCCCTTGTCACTGTGCTACCTCTGTTATCAGACAGCCTGGTGGTCAAAACCAAGCCCCTGTCCTGTCCTTTCATTGTGACTTTAGGTCTGGCAGTAACAGGACTGAGTGTTTTTTTCAGCGTTGTTTTAGATGGCGTAGTTGCGAACTCTAAGGCAGTGGTGTTTACAACGTCCTCGTAGTAAACATCAGTGACCACCATGCCCCCCGCCGGAGGGGTGTACATATCGCCATCTGGGGGTAGCAGGCCGATACCGGAAACGTCAGGTTTCTGGGCAGCGGAACCACGGTTTTGGTTCTGGCTCTGCTGAGGCGACCACGACAACGAGGCCTCCTCTGTGATTCGCCGGCGGACAGGTGGCGGGCTGGTCGTCCGGGAGACGGGAATCAGGAAGCCCGGCTGGTCGGTCACCATGGTGACCCAGATGGCGCTCTTGCCGTTGGAGGCGGCACTGGTGAAGGGGCGGTGCGGAGGGATACGCTGCTTCTTCTTGTCCTTCCTGGTCTGGTCCTTCTTGGTCTTGTCCACTCTGGACTGGTTCACAGGGTTCTGGTCGATCCGGTTCTGGTCATCTCTGGTCCCTGGTGGTACTGGCACAGAGATCACCTGGGAGGCAGCAGTGGTGGAGGGCTGGTCAGGGAAAATCTGCTGGCGATCCTCTCTGGTTCTGCTCTCTTCTACTGGGTTCTGGTCTACTGGGATCTGGTCTACTTGTTCCAATATATCCACTGGTTCCAATATCTCCTCAGGTTCCCTATTGTCTGGATCAGACTCAATCTCTGGAGAAAAGAGAATGGGTGGTTATATATATATTAGACAACTGTTATCATGATGAGCACAACTATTTTGATAATTTCATACTTACTTTCAACGTTCAAGTCCGTTAACTGTTATCATGATGAGCACAACTATTTTGATAACTTTTATACTTACTTCAACGTTCAAGTCCGTTAACCTAAGCACTTTACTCTCTCCTATGAATCTCAGTAGTATAGGCTCACGCTGGACACAGATTCCTGGATTAAAAATCCCTTTTAGAAGCTGGTCTAGTCTCTTGTGACAGGTTTAACGTTAAAATGTTTGGTTGTGGATTATAGCTGGTCTCACCCGGGTCCTCCTGGGGCATGTCCACTATAATCTGGTCACTCCAGCGCCCCGTCAGGCCATTGGTGCAGACAGCTACCACCTGGACCACATAGCTGCTGTTGGACAGGAGACTGGGGATGATGGCCCCCTGAGAGAGGGTGATTGATCAATAATACGTCAGCCAATCACACTCGTCAATAAGTCAGCCAATCACAGCAGTGACAGTCAGTTGCTTGTCTCAGCTTTATTCACTCTATTTAACAAATGAGATTGATTTCTGACTAAAATGCAATGCTATCGATTTGTGTAAGAAGGGACATAAGGTCAGATGAATACTAACCATCACACACACAACAAAAACAATCACAGCTGTATTGATATTGTATATTGTAAACCTTTGGCCAGATGGTTTACAGGTATATTTTGGTTATCACTACGGCAACAGCCTCCAGGAACAGCACAATATTTACATTTTACAGTTATTCAGAAAATAATCATGAGAGAGAGAACACGAGGGAGAGAGAGAGAAAGCAAGAGAGTGAGAGAGAGCGAGAGAAAGAGAGCGAGGGAGAGATGGAGAGAGATGACCCACAGACAGACAAGTAGTCCCTTCCAGCACTGACTGGTATGCAACAGTAGATGGATAAGTAGACAGGTGTATTACCACGTCCTGGTCTCCGTCGGTGCGGTACTCGTGTTTGGGCTGGTTCTGGTCCTGCAGCCGCTGGTAGGTGACAGAGTACCAGTCGATGGTGGTGTCATACACCACACGGGGGCGCTCCCACATCACCATGATAGTAGTGTCATTCTGGGCATCCGCCTGCATGTTCTGAGGTTCGGAGCTGCACACTGGAGAACACAGAAAAATGAGGTTAGATTACGTTAGATTCCAATATAATCTCTGATGATAATCAGATTGGGAATATGTTAATTTTCAACACAGGGAAGACAATGGGAAATTGAGCTTTCCTAAGGAAACATGTAGGTAGACAACGTCTCTCTTAGAGCAACACTGGAAGAAGGTAAATTGTGACATTTTGGGTATAGATATGGAAAGGGGATTGATATCCATGCTTTTTGCATTTTGCATTTCTGAACAGACATATTTCAATAAAAAAAAAGAGAACATTTCAAATAAATTGCTACACTGAAAGAGGGGGAATTACAAAGTCAGGTTTCCTAGCAACCCAGAGAGCTTATTTGGGGTCTTTTTAAAAGGCAGAGTGAGAGAGAGCGAGAGAGAGAGAGGGCTTTTGATGAGCTGCACTCGTAAGACTTTGGGAGTGGGCTCTAAAACATCACTAAATACTGAGAATATGGGAGAATCTCAATTGCATACTCCTCATGTCCTCGCCTCCTTCTCAAAACCCATTGGAGGAGAAGGTCAGAGGGGTGGGACCTCTGGCTTTCTCATCCAATCGGTTTTGAGACGGAGACGAGCAGAGAGGAAAAAAGATGCGAGGAGTCTGCAATTGAGATCTTCCCTATGTGACTGGTTACAAGATCGGGGGCTTTTGACGCTATTTCCTACTTCACGGTATGGCCTGTTAGTGTTACAGTACAGCTCAGTGTGAGTGTGTCTGAATCATGCTAGGGTTTTACAGAGGTCTAGTATGGGAGAAGAGAGGAGCCAGGAGTAGGGTCAGCATCTGGTCGTTAGGGGGGGGGTGCTGAGGGTTAGGGGTCAGGTGTTGGGGTCAGCGGGTAGATAAGGGTCAGGGGTCAGGGGTCAGGCATTAAAGTAAAACAGGTATATACTATAAATGAGAGCATCCTCGGTCCCTGTGTGAGAAAAAGGTGAAGGCCAGAGTTAGAGTTAGGGGTTAATAGTAAGGGTTTAGAGGTCAGGGGTTATAGGTTAGGGGTACGTACTAGGAGTAAGGTCCTCCTTATTTGCCAGTGTAAGGTGAGGGTAAGGATTAGGGGTCTAGGGTTAGAGGTTAGGGTTCAGGGTATAGCCTACAGGTATGAACTGGGGGTGAGGACCTCAACTGTGCCTGTGTAGAAGGAGTGTGAGGGTCAGGGTTCAGGGTTAAGAGTTATGGATACATACTGGGAGTGAGGACCTCCTCTGTTCCAGTATAGGAGGAGAAGACCTGGCCCAAGAACTGCTGCTGCTGCTCCCTGAAGTTGTTCTGCAAGTAGTCCATCAGCATCACATAGCCTGCTTGCTGCATGGTCATCACCTCACAGAACACCTCCAACTGAGAGGGAGGGAGCGAGGGAGTGAGAAGAGAGAGAGAGAGAGAGAGAGAGAGAGAGAGAGAGAGAGAGAGAGAGAGAGAGAGAGAGAGAGAGAGAGAGAGAGAGAGAGAGAGAGAGAGAGAGAGAGAGAGAGAGAGAGAGGAGAGAGAAAGAAAGAAAGAAAGAAAGAAAGAAAGAAAGAAAGAAAGAAAGAAAGAAAGAAAGAAAGAAAGAAAGAAAGAAAGAAAGAAAGAAAGAAACAGAGAGACAGGGAGACAGAGAGATGTGAGAGTTGTGCATTCATTTATGTCTTGCGTGCTTCACCAAAGTAGCACAACAACCTTTAAATGTTTCTGCCACTACCTTACGTCTCCCTTCCTAAAACGTTGAAAAAACACTCTCTGTTCTAAAGTGGATGATGGAGAATAGATGAGGCAGGCAGAAACCCTGTGTGAGTTAACTACAGCAGTCCTGCTCCAGGTTGGTTTAAATTGAGATTTAAAGAGCAGGAAGTGGAGGGGAAATGGGAAGGTCCTCCCCTGTGGAGGGGGAGTTGTCTCTGCAGTGTCTTCCTGCTCCTGCTGCTACTGTAGTGAAATATTGATATTGTGTGTGTGTGTGTCATGGCAGAAAGCAGGGAGAGTGCTGCTCTATTTTCGTGGTGTCTTTGAGAGGCTGAGATCTGTGCCCACTGATTATTTATGCCCACGTCACATCGCGCCTTGCCGCCCACACACACTCCTGTTCTCCTGCTCTTCTCTGTTCCTCATACTTGGGAAGCTGTCTCACTGTATGACATCATCATGACACTGCCTCTCACTGTATAACATCATTAAGTGTGTGTGTGTATTTGTGTGCGTGCCCCCATGTTTATGTGTGTGTGTGACACTCACCTGTGTCTCAGAGATGGGCACGGTGTGTTTGAAGACGATCCACTCCACCGTCTCAGCGCAGGGCGGGGAGGTGAGGGAACCGTTGTATGTGTAGTATTTATCAGTAGAGTTAGGGAGCAGGGCCAGCAGAGAGAAGGGCTCAACATTTCCAGTCTTACCTGAATGATAGAGAGTGATAGAGTGATGTGAGTGATAGATACACCTGCTTTTCAGTAGGTCACTGGGTCTCCTGAATCCTCAGAATATAGAAATAGAAATAATAGAATGTAAAAATAGAGTAAAATAAATAGAGTCTTATAATGAGCAGCTGCATACCAAATCTTCTGACGCTGTTGACGCCTTCTATGATGGTGTTGTAGTGGTCATTGTTGTCTAGGCTGGTCTGTGGAGCAGAAATCATATTGAGCTGACATACTAACATGCTAGCATACTATCTAGTATGCATAGATTCATGCTAAGTAGTATGCAGTGTGGATATTGGTTCAGAGCCCCACCTCAAACAGGACAGCCAGTGCTGCGATCCTCCCTCCATCCTTCACTGCATCGTCTATAGACTGGTACAGGTCTGACTCATAACAGAAGATCTGCATCTGGATCAGAGAAAGAGAGAGCGAGAGTGAGATAGAGAGTGAGAGAGAGAGAAAGAAAGACAGAGAGAGAGAGAGATTGTTATTCATTGTGGGTTTTGTAATGTCGGTGTAAAGTGATGTGTAGTCATACTGTGTACTGTAGGTGCGGTGTGGCATGATGTGATGTGTTATTTGCTATGATTTATTCATTGATTGATTGATGTGCTACCTCCAGGGGGAACTTGAGTCCGTTGAGGCTGTGTTCTGATCCATCTGAGGAGGCGTTGCATCGGCCCCAGTGGAACGTCATCCTCCCCACCCTGAACCTGGTGCTCAGACCACCGCCACTCACATAGTACTCCCCATCCAGGCCTAGCACCACTGGAACACACACACACACACACACACACAAACACAAACACACACACACGCGCACACGCACACCACACACAACCATATTACCCACCCACTAGTCTTGCATGGGCAGCCTTCCAAAGCCTGTCTAGTTCATTCAACTACGTGAGAAGGCTGGGCTTCCGAGGCTTCCCTCCCACCCACCACTGATGTGCTTGGACATAATTTTAATTATGGGTCTATGGCAGAATACATAATGGTACTTACTGTTTCTACATACCACAGCCTAATTTCGAATTACAAATACAGAACATGTTCAGCACATCTACAGTATCAGTCAAAAGTTTGGACACACCTACTCATTCAAGGGTTTTTCTTTATTTACCTCATGAAGCTGGTTGAGATGCCAAGAGTGTGAAAAGCTGTCATCAAAGCTAAGGGTGGCTATTTGAAGAATCTCAAATATAAAATATATTTTGATTTGTTTAACACTTTTTTTGGTTACTACATGATTCCATATGTGTTATTTAATAGTTATGATGTCTTCACTATTATTCTACAATGTAGAAAATAGTAAAAATAAAGAAAAACCCTTGAATGAGTAGGTGTGTCCAAACTTTTCATTGGTACTGTAAATGTTACAATTACAATAAAAACCATAATGTCTTTGAAGCCATGATATCATTTTCCCATATGAAACACATCTACATTCCCCCTGAGAAAAAAACATACCTCCTCCCTCTCCCTGGCCTGATCCCTATCCTCACACAATATAATCATAATAGATGTTTCAAAGAGATTGTCTTATTGTTAAATTGCTTTTCTGTCAGCGTATTGGAACAGAAAGATTAATAATACCCAACAGGCAGCATTTTCATAACACAGCCACAGGGAGACATTTTGGAGAGATGATATCCAAGAGTCATTCAATTTCCTCTGGAAGACAGACCATTATTCTCACCTCTCTCTCTCTGTCTCTTGCTTTCTCCATCTATCTGTCTCTGTCTCTCTCTCAATAAACCCATCACTCATATTGAGTTATATTTCCATAACTATCTCTGTATATGAAGATTAATATGACACTGAAACAATCTGTTCTTACTAATTAATAACCATTAGAAGTTTTGTGCCTTCTGAACACGACCCATGATATTACCCTTTTCACACTATAATGCCAACCCGAACCATGGGTTGGATATTTCATGGCTCAGTAGTATGGAAAGGGTATAAGCAGCATCATGTTGTACAGTACCTGTGTTGCCGTCGTTGTTGATAGTGGTGGTCTCTGGGGTCTTCTTCTCCCAGCCCTCCAGCTGCAGGCCCTGGTACTCCACTCGGACCTGGGTGAACGTCTCATCGATGTCGATGGGTGACTGACGGGCATTGTTACATGCCGGGTATCTCTTACCCCAGATCTTCTGGTTCAACTGGCCTGAGGAGGACAACATAGAGAGGAAGAATCTTTACAATGGATCAGTAATACCAAAGATGGGAATGAGATGGCAAACTGTGATATGGAATTGACTTAACAGCGCAGGCAGCAGGTAGTGTAACTAAACAACTCCCACACAACCCTGCAGGGAGAATGGCTTTAAAGGAAACACTTTATAGAGGTCAGCTACTGCTGAGTATAAACAAGTTTAGCATTTGTTTTCTGCTGCAAAACATAAAAATGTGCCATTTAAATAATCCCTCAATATCCATTGCAATGGCCAATCCTCATAACCCTCAACTGAACTTTAACCCCAACTGCGTTTACAAACAGCACATACAGAATCAGCTCTACAGCATCCCCATCTAGTCCAGCAGATGAGGAGTTAACGGAGCAGATGGCCTGACAGTTGGTCACAAATGACTGGGCAGGTAGCATACAGATTTAGGATCTTAGTTTGATCACCCTGTTGCAGGAGAAATTTTAAACTTGTAGTGCATTTGATGTTTAAAGTTGCACTATGCAGAAATCGCTCTGCCATTTCCTGGTTGCTAAATCTCTAATAGTTTATGTGACAAAATAAGCTAGCATAGTATAGAGAATCATTGTACCGTCTAAACTAACCTCCCGAGTGGCGCAGTGATCTAAGGCACTGCATTGCAGTGCTAACTGTGCCACTAGAGATCCTAGTTCGAATCCAGGCTCTGTTGTAGCCGGCCGCGACCGGGAGACCCATGGGGTGGCGCACAATTGGCCCAGCGTTGTCCAGGGTAGGGGAGGGAATGTAATAATAATGTATGCACTCACTAACTGTAAGTCGCTCTGGATAAGAGTGTCTGCTAAATGACTAAAATGTAAACCGCTGTGAAATATATTTTCCATAACCAAAAATATTGCTGTTTGAAGCTGGTGTACATAACCGAAAGTAAAAGATGCAAAAACTAAACTTAAGAACGGAAAACATAGAAATAGCGTGCCTAGAACAGAATGATAGATTTATAACTCACATTTCTATGTGAATTTGGTCGGGTCGCCCCAAAAAGTTACATAGTGCCACTTTAAAAAGCCTTCTGAAGTTTGTAACTTCCAGTTTGAAATTTCAGACTTGATTTTCCCTTACCATTTTTTGGGGGACAACCGCTACAAAAATGTCCATTAATTATAACTCACATAATAATTCAACATTTCCTGTTGCTGCCAGAATATTTTCCTGCTGTATCAAACTGGCTCAAATTAAGATCCTACATCTGTACATACAGCACATCATATACAGTACAACGCTTACAGTAAGTACATTCATACAGTAAGCCAAATGGCCCATATGTATGCTAGTATACATCCACAATATACTGTACTGTGAGTATTATGATAATCCCTGCTGGGTCTCTGAGATGCCTCAGCAAGGGGAGCATGTTGCTGTAAAGGAGTAATGAGTCGGTTGTTATTGTCTGAGCTCAGAGACATTAGCATGAGAATGGCCAGGCTGAGAGGGGAGGAGGAAATACTTCATTATCACCTCTCCCTCTCCCCAGTGTCATAATAACTACTGTATCTCTCTCTCTCCCTCCACTCACTCGTAATAACCTACTCTATCTGGCTGTGTGTGTGTGTGAACGAGTGTGAGAGAGAGAGAGAGAGAGAGAGAGATAGTGTCTTCCCAGCAGCCTTCTCTCTCTCTCTCTCTCTCTCTCTCTCTCTCTCTCTCTCTCTCTCTCTCTCTCTCTCTCTCTCTCTCTGTCCCCCCTCCCCCCTCCCATAATAACTCTCCTGGCTAATAACCCAGTAGAACGAATACAGAGTCATCAATAGAGGAGGTCAGGCAGCAGCATGTGCTAAAGACAACAGAGTTTATCAGGCATGGCCGACATTCACAGCCATTTATGGGGTCAAATAATTTCCACTCTGAATTTGGCCGTATTGCCATTGTGAGTTTAATGACAGTTTACTGCGTTGGTGACAGACGAGAGTAGCTTCTGGCTGTACCACTTAAATGGTCTGTGTGACAGCAAGGAGTGTGCCTGTCAATTTGGTGTGCAAGTGTTGCGTGTGTGAGTGTGTGTGTGTAGGTTGGTAAAAAGATTGACGCTTTATTTGGTGTGTGTGTGTGTGCATGTCTGCATGTGTGACTGTGTGCCTGAACATGTGTGTGTGTGTGCTTCTCCTATGCTGGCAGCAAAGTGACAGGGGGGGTGTTAGTTGGTTCTGGGGGCCTCATCTGGCATAAATGCCATGACACACCACTGCTGCTACACTCACAAGATGCTACCATGTACCAAGTAGCTGCAGAGGTTTGGAGGAGAATTAAGTGCCAGAAGCAACACGCTTATGTCAGTCTTACCAGGAACACACACAAAGGATCTGTCTCAAATGTCCCTAATTCCCCATTACATTGCAATACTTTTAAACCGAGCCTCAAATGACAGACTATTGACATCCCAGTACACTATGTGGCTCGGGTCAAAAGTAGTGGACTATATGGTGGAGTAGGGTGTCATTTGGGACTTGGCCACACATACAGTATGGTTTAATGGTCTGTCTGACACAGGTCTGACTCACCTGTAACGACTGATCTTTTAGAGATTCAGTCTTTATAGTAGAGGAGGAGAAAAGTGGAGTTCTGATTCTCTGAAAAGGTAGAATGTCCCTGGGGACTAAGACACTCAACTCCTGACTCACACCACACACACACACACACACACCACACACACGCCACACACAAACACACACACAGACAGTCTTGCGCAGCTAACCTTGTGGGGACATACAATTCAGTCCCATTCAAAATACTATTTTCCCTAACCCCTAACCCCAAACCTAACGCTAACCCGTACCCTTACCCTAACCCTAACCTTAACCCTAACCCTAGCTCCTAACCCTAACCCTAAAACTAACCCTATCTCATAACCCTAACCCTAAACCTAATTCTAACCCTAATTCTAACCTTAACCCTAAACCCCCTAGAAATAGCATTTGACATTGTGGGGACCAACAAAATGTCCCCAGTTGGTCAACATTTTCTTGGTTTACTATTCTTGTGTTCTGGTCCCCACAAGTATGGTTAAACACGTCCACACACACACACACACACACAGCCATTACCTCTCTGACTACAGCCCAAGCACACACTCAGCTACCTGTCTGTCCTCTCAATACAGATATCATCACCACTTACCAGCAGTCAGTCACAGTCCTTTAAATGGCTAAAGAAAGAGGATAACCCCCTTGTAATAGGGCTCAGTGGAGCTGCACTAACATTTTGGAGATGCGTGCAACTTGTCAAAATGAATTACAGATCATCACTTAACATATCACTATCAGGCAACTCTCTTTGTTTTCTGTTTTGAAAGCGCTTTGTAGGATTAAAGACATATAATAAGGATAAAAGTACCTGTTATTCATCCTCCAACATCCCACAAACAACATCTGTTATTGGTTGTCTGATAGATCAAGCCTACTTTCCTGTCTTGTATTTTGTAGAATACAACATGAACGTTCTTCACTCTAGCTGTTGCCCTTTAATGTCAGAAGACATAGGCCGCAAGGAGAGTGGATTCAAGCAAGTGAATTCATGTATTATGTATGTTAGGATTTGGCTAAGCAAACACACCATACTTGTGTGTGTGTGTGTGTTTCTGTGTGTGTGTGTGTGTGTGTGGATGCGTGAGTGTGTGTGTGAGTGTGTGTGAGGGGTGGGGGTCCTGTTCTTCCACTGGTCTCCCCCCCACACATCTGTCAACTCTACTAGAGGGCCTCAGTCAGTGTAATGATGGCCTGACACGCATCACCATCCAACGTTACTAAGTCTCTTCTCTGAGTCCTACTGCATTATTACCTAATCCCCAGCTACTACAATATTACCCCAGGGCCTAGCCCGAACCCAAGCTCCGGAGAGGGAGAGGGGAGCGGGGGGAACTCAACCCTTACCTCATCCCCAACCTCAGCACCTCTAGGAGAGGAGTGGGGGAAGACGGCTGGAGACAACTGGAGCAGAAATAACACTAACGACTGCCTGTATGACTAAGTAAGCCAAGCTGGAGCAAGTCAATAAGGTGTTGGTTAACAGCCCATTAGAGCTGTTAGAAGCTGCTGCAGAGGGTGCTGTCTGTACTGAATGTGCATTATGCTGACCAGTGTGTTTGTGTAAGACTGGGTTCGTCCTGTGTTAGCCTGCTGAGCATTAGCTTGGGGAGCTAACGCAAGTCTTCAGGTCTCAGGCAAGGTTACTCATCACGCAAGCCACCTCCGTTACATGTAGATGGAGAAGAGAGTTGGATAATTTATTTTGTCCCTTGTGTTAGAGCCCAGCAAAAGGAGAACGAGGCAGACAGAGAGTGAGGGTAGTGTAGGGACACAAAGGCCCTGTATCCATGAGAAGGAGATCAGAGGGTTTACACATGCAGGAAATGGGCTGCTGTGGTGGCTGGGGATCCTGTCTCGCGTGGCCTACACTGGGGCCTGGGGTTATCAGAGGATGGAGATTACACACACACACACTGGCAGATGGAGACAGGGGAGATGTGGGGGGGGGATCACAAGGACCTCCTGGGGAGAGGGGTTAACGTGGGGCTGTGGTGGCTTTTTTACTGTATCAACTTTGTAAACACAAACAGTAGCAGGGCACGCAAGGAGACAAAGTCTGAAAAACAACACGAAATCTGTGTCCTATTCTATATGCTCAAATATGAACACATAACCTGATATTCCGTATATACAGTCTATCACCTATGTGATTGGGATAGTCTGCCTGCACAAAGACAGACAGACAGAGGATAAGATACATCCTTTATCTCACACTGTCTGTTTGACATTAAAATGTTTACAGAGAAATTCCTTTTTGTGCTCTAATTCAGGGGAACCCTGATAATCTAATTCATGTTCAGTACACATGCACGAACAAAGGTATACACACACAAACACACACACACACACACACACACACACACACACACACACACACACACACACACACACACACACACACACACAAACACACACACACACACACACACACAAACACACACACAAACACACACACACACTTGAGCCCTGCAGTCTCTCTCCCGTCTCTCTGGGACTCAGCTTGTTGTGACGGGGCCCTGAACTTTGAGAGCAGCAGTGTAGAAAATGTAAAGTATTATTACCAAACAAGCAGAATTGTTTCTTATTTGAATACACATTGACAGAGAGAGTGTAAGTCAAGCAATTTGGGACGAAGGATGGAAATCAAATATATGACGGTACATGAAAGAAAAGGCCTTTTATGCCTGAAAATATATTTCACTATCTATTTAGCTTTTTAGCGTGACTGGCCCTTAGAGCAATTTAAATGCTCTCGCTCAATTTCCCTCAACCAGAACACAGTTAGATTTGACCAAGCAAGACCAGTCAAGTCAGGTCTATCTCACTGATGGAGCAATCACTCCTTGTAAGGGCTTAGGATAACTGAGCTTAATCCCCTATGTCTGTCAGCAGGTGGAGAAAAGACTATCAGTGCTGGTTGTGTGAAGCAGGTTGAACATTAGTGCACCAGTCAGGGCTGAGGTAACGTATGGTACTATTCCAACCATATGTTCTGCTCTGTCACTGAGAGGTAAATGTCCGCAGGGCTTGAATTATACATCGACTCTTGAGGGTGACCAACGCTCACATTGGTATTTCAGCCCCCCTGTAATTCGAAACCTGAATACCCCAAGGCATGCATACTGTTAATGTAACTGTACCAACCTGTGTAGGACCAGTCGATGTCGTCTGTGAATTTCCTCTGGGCCTTGAAGTACGCGTCTGTCACAGCCACTATAAGAGAGAGGGGGAGAGAGACAAAGAGGCAGAGAGAGAGAGAGAGAGAGAGAGAGAGAGAGAGAGAGAGAGAGAGAGAGAGAGAGAGGAGAGAGAGAGAGAGGAGAGAGAGAGAGAGAGAGAGAGAGCGAGAGAGAGAGAGTTAGAATACGCCTGACTGAGAAAAACATACACACTCTGTCACGTGAGACCCCAGCACCTGCTACATGACCTTCTATACGATGACATACTATGTCTCTCATGTCAAATGATACATCACGACCACTTAGTTTAGCTATAGGAATATGATTGAGCTGCCATTTGTTGAGTGTCTCTCAATACTGTTCTCTTCTCAAGGGCAGGAGAGAGAAGGGTACTGTTGAGAGGGGTGAGGCACAGGAGATGGAGGGGGTGAGGCACAGGAGATAGAGGGGGTGAGTCACAGGAGATAGAGGGGGTGAGGCACAGGAGATAGAGGGGTGATGAAGGCGATAAAAGTGGTGAGTCACGAGATAGAGGGCACTCCTCTCTCTCTCCTTCTTCCTCTTTCTCTGTTTACAAGACTTTGGCTACTTTCTATGCACGTCACAGTGCTGTCTGTTCTAGCCCCTCTCAACCCTCGTTCATCCCTCTCTCATCCAGCAGAGTTCTCTGTAATCAGCTTGGTTAATGGGAACGTGATGAAGGACTGGTCATCTTTATTGACTCACCCAGAGAGATCGTGTTGTTCTCCACATCCACATAGTGATGTAGTGAGTTATCTGCTACAGAGACAGTAGAGGGTAATGGCTTTATGGTGATGTGTGGGAACAACACACATACGTGCACACACACTCACTCACACACACACACACACACACTGTGGAGGAGATGAGACACATCAGTAGAGTTCAGAAGGTCCAAAGTAATTACTGGAAAGAGACAACAGTGTTTAGAGAGATGAATGGCTGCTAAATCTGTATGTGTGTGTGTGTGTGCCTTTGTGTGTGTGTGTGTGTGTGTGTGTGTGTGTGTGTGTGTGTGTGTGTGTGTCTGCTACGGCACACAGTATACACACATCTACTGCTCTAATGGATTTCTGCCTCCTCCTCTTTGTATATCTCTTTCTCTTTCCCCTCCAGCTTTCTTCCTCGTTCGCTCTCATTACATTATCTCTCTCCATATCTCTCTCACATGCACACAGAGAGGCATTCAGGTTATTTTACACTTTCAGAGTGTCGCTGTGTAGATCGGATGAAGGATATTAAGCATTAGTGGATTTAATCCCACAGATTTGAACAGGATGGAAACCTAATGATCAGTATCAAAGTCCACTTTAAGAGCACTATACTATACCTACTGCTGACATTTACACTACTGTTACAATCTTCTTCCTATGCACTCCTCTTAGCGCCACTCAAACCTCTCCATTTCAAATAGCTAAGTTACCCAGTGGACATGCTCTTTCTGACCTGGTAATGTCTGAGGATAATAGCGCTCTCTGTGCCATGTAGGAAAGGAAACAGATAGCTGGCAGCCCGGTGTGTGTGTGTGTGGCACTCAGAGAAGGAGCTCCAGAGCATTAGCTGGAATCAATGTCAGATGGCATCCTCTACTTTACAGGACACCTGCTCTTTCTAACTGCATGGGCTGCTGTTGCTGCTCACTGCTGGTCACTAGTGTTACTGGTTACGGCTTATTGATGCCCACTGGTTAAAGTGAAAAAATGAACCAAAATCTGTAGTGAGAAAAAGGCTAAGTATAACTAACAGGTGAAAATCAATGAATTTCTTTGCTTGCTTACTTCCTCGAAATCTAGTTACTCACATTGCTGTGTATCTACCGAGCTACTGCCTAGTTACTAACCCACCTGTGTTGTTGTTGTTGTTATGTTAAGTCAGAGGTTAAGGGTCATGATGACCCACTCTGTTATGGCCTAATGCTCCATATAATCCTATTGTTTTTACCATACTGTAAAAAACTAAGACGGGGGGTTTCTTCAATGGTCCATTGTCACCATTGAAGAAACAGTCATTGATATGAATGGTCCTCTGTACCTCAATTGGTAGAGCATGGCGCTGGTAATGCCAGGGTAGTGGGTTCGATCCCCGGGACCACCAACGCGTAAAAATGTATGCACACATGACTGTAAGTCGCTTGGGATAAAAGCGTCTGCTAAATGGCATATTATATTATGAATAAATACTCTCCATTCTATAGTATACAGGATCTAGGATAGGTCTTTACCATGTTCCGCTGACCTATGTTTTATGTCACAATACTAACTGTATGCTATAACTTCTAGAGGGAAACAGCCCTGGGAAAGGAAATAGCTGTACTACACACACACACACACACACACACACACACACACACACACACACACACACGCTATGTGACAGATCCGTCTGAGCCCCAGTGTCCTGGCCCTGCTCCAGTCACAGTGTCACAGAGAGAGGCCAGAGGCAAATTAGATTAAAATCTTTCACATTGTGATGTTAATGAGTCCATTATCAATGCTAGCTACAACCTCTTGGCTCTCTCTCTCACTCCTTCCTTTCTTCTCTCTTTCTCTCCTTCTTTTGGTCCTTATCAGCACTAACGATGGGGCTCATATATGACTATATCACCAACGAACGCGTCAAACTCAAGCTGGCCTGAAACCTCTTGCCTCTCTCACTCCTTCTCACTCCTTCCTTCCTTCTTTCTTCCATTCGGTCCTACTCTCCACATTCTCTCTGTCCTTATCAGCTCTAATGATGGCACTCATAAATCTATGTTACAGTCACACTCAAATGTTTATATTTCTCTGGTTAAAGGCTAGTATGGTTTGTAACGATCATAGAGTGAATTAGTTGGCCACGGAGTGTTGACCTCTTCTTTTAACCCCAGATCAGATAGACTGAGTGGGCGCCTGCCTGCCATGGTCAGGAACTAGAAGCGTATCTGTTACAATAGAACCAGTCATTACAGAAAGATCAAACCTGAACTCTAGTCTAGACTCTAGATAGAACATGTGTGTGTGTGTGTGTGTGTGTGTGCGTGTGTGTGTGCGTGTGCATGTGCATGTGCGTGTGTGACTGTACTATACACTGTGATGTTGAAGCGGAGGAGAGTCTTACTAGAATGCTAATGAATAGCTGATTAGTGGACCCCTGAGAGAGATGAAAGCTGGCTCAGACTGAAACTAAAAGGCAGGAAGGATTCACTTTACTCTGGTTTGGCGCTGAGCCGCTCAGCCGCCCAGCGCGTGTGGTTCACTTCACTGTCCCTAGGGACTCATCGTACGGCCACGGTCACGGGGTTGTGAAATCACATATCTGGATCCTAGAACACATCCTCCGTCTGTGAGGGGACAGGAGTAATATGCTACTCACATCACACAAGAGGCACTGAGACAGAAAGACTGGCAACATCTCTGAGTCTGTGCAGTGAGAGACTTCAAGAGCTTTAGTAGAGCAGAAGTGCATCCACGATGCCAAATGCCAATAGTCATCCTTATTCTTTCCTTTGATCAGTACACACTGAGAACATTCTAGAGAGCACCTGTTGGACATTAAGTGAGATATACATACCTCCCTACCACTCCCCATGACCTGTTCATGTCACAGCGGCTGTGACTGACAGCCATGTGTGAATTAGTGAATTAGTGGCATGTGTTATCGCCGACAGGTTTTACTTGCAGGTCTTTCACTGGAGTCATACAGGGGGAAGATTGAAGAGGGTTAGGCCCAAATTAAACAGCGGATACTGCGTCTGAGCACTGTCAAACACTGCATTGTTGTAAGGGTACTTAGCGGTATATATAACAACATACATCCATATCATGATGATGTGTCGGTCTTAGAGAGAGCCTATGGGAATGTGTCATGGCCCAGCTATTGCAGTGAGGTCAGAGGACATGTGACATGTGGTAACCGTGGGAACGTGAGGCCTAGAGGCCTCAGGGCCTACTTCTAGAGGTGGTAATATAGGGGAACAGCTGGGAGTTGGAACAACTGTCCAGAACAACTGGACAGTGAAACGGCAGTGGAACAAATATCACTCTAGGGGACAATTCTTTTTTTTTTATATTGAAATGTCTTCATTGTCCCCAAGAGGGAAATTTGTTCATGGGCCATCAAGTTCGTCCAGTGTTACCTAGTGTTGATTTTTCAGTGTAACATTTCTAGTGTTGAAAAATACCCCCAGTGTTGGTGCAAATAACCAGTGTTAAACCAAAACTACACCCATCATTATCATATTTCCCTGCATGCTGTATTGCAGGTTGGTTTTTAGAATAGTTTGTTTCAATATCTATGTTTTTGTATGTAAATTCATTGACTAATTAATCTTATGCTACTCAAATATAAATAACATACATTTTTCTAAACTAATCCAGTCTGTTAAGCGGACTTATTGCACCTGTTACTGAAATGGTTTTATGTAGTCTCGTATCTTAGTCTTCCCAACCCGGCAGTCATTCTGAATGCAGGTTGTGGGTGAATAAAAATTCTAAATGTTGGATATCCCCACTCTGGCTGGATTCCAATAGGAATTACACATCACTTTACAAGCAAGCATAATGTAATTTGCAGGCCTGATGTGCTTTCGAAAACAAGTATGTGTTGTAGTGTGTTAAAGAATTTAATGATAACATATTTGCTGAGGGTCTCACTTGGACGACTGAACATGGAGGAAAGCAACAACCATGTCTCAACCAAAACCAAGGCTTTACACTAAGCAGTGTGTTAATTTAACACCGAAAAGTGTGGACCCCATATAGACACTGGACCAGTGTTAAATGTAACACTCTATGGGGTTGATTTAACACTGGAGAATTTGCTGTGTGGTTTAACTTCACCTTCTGTTGAGAACAACTGGGTTTTTAACTAGAGCCATAGGCGCTAAAATGGCTCTGAGTTTAAGACACTGGACAGAGCTGTTCTGTTCTCAGCAATAGGCCTGTGGAAGGTCTGCTCATGCATCATGGGAGTTTGTCTGTGACACTCCATTTCTGTGACAGATTCTGTGCCTCTGTGACTACTCCTCCCCTATTTCTGCTGCATCCATTGACCGAGATGAGTGTGTGCTGTGCATCGCACTCAAGAATTGCCCATCAATCTCTCCTATGGTCCTGCACTCTGAGGGCTGTGTCACGGTAGCTTTTCTCCAAATTCTGTTTAATGAGATTAAGTTTGATGCCGATGGAGAGGGTTTACTTGTCTCCTCCACAAAACTCTCCATGAAATACAGTATTTGTGAACAAACAACCCATGAAAAAGCCTGTTATTAATGTGAGCCGCTAGCCAGGGAGTTCCCTGGTGAGGGATGACCTAAAATAATAAACGTAAAGTTTCAGCTCCTTCCTCCGAGCTCTTCCCGTCTGAAAATGGGCCGCATCCCAAGAAGAACTCATAAATAAATCAGGCACAGAGAGAGACACCCCAGGGAGGGGAGAGAACACAGAGAGCTGGAGAAAACAGAGGAACAGAGAGCTTCATAACACAGAGGCAGTATTTTAGAGCCAGGTACAGTCACTGCACTTACTGTAGTCAGCCCCACTGGGGTTGTGTGGTTGATGATGACATAAATGCTCAGTCCCACTTTGAAGTCATGACTGTGTGTACACTGGTAGTGTGTTTATTTGTCTACTTGGGTATGTAGGATTGTGTCCATGTGAGTTAGTGGGGATGGTGTGTGTGTGTTCGTGTGTGTGTGTGTGTGCGCGCGTGTGTGCTAGAACCAGTCGGTTCTCCCACTGAGTGCAGTGCAATGCACTGTGTCCACCTGCTCAGCATCACAGCACTGAGCTATGTAAGCATCTCAATAGTCTAATGTGGCTTCTTGGAGGAAAAGAGACAAGAAGAGGAAGTGACAGACAGTATTGAGATGCATCACAGGTCTTCAGTTCCATCAGCATGCAGGGAGCATCAGCACTGAACTCCTTGACAACCGTAAAATGTCTTGTGGCGTTTGGCCACCCTGATTTCCACACTGACATCCTCTGCTGCCTCTCCCATCGCCATGGACACACACTCCCCCATCTTTCACTGCCCCCCCCCCCCAACCACCTTTCACTTGAGGTTCCCCTCCATCTTTCACTGCAGACTGCAGCCCCTCTCCCACCGGCTTTCCCTGGGTTCCCCCCCAGCCTCAGTCATCTCATTCCCCCAGACCCACCATCTCCCACCGCCTCTTATTAAAGTCCCTCTCCTTTAAACAACACTGTCCTTTGTGACAGACTGCCCAGCCACAGACAAGCCTTGCTCTTGTCAGGCTGACGGTATAACTCCAAACCAACTTCCTGAAGTCAAGAGAAAATAGAATATCTCTCTCTCTCTGGCCTTTTGGTTTCACTGCCCTCCTCTTCCTCCCTCTCCCTCTCCGCTGTCACTGCTTTCTAAACATTTACACTGCGGATGAGGGGGATTTAGGATGTTCTAAGACAGAGCACGACTTGGGAACCGTCCGCTGTAGCTCTCTTTAGCCAGCCAGTGCCCTGTCTGGGAGGATGCCACAGAGCAAATTGTCCAGTGTTGATTTTCCAGTGTAACATTTCTATTGTTGATTCAGGAGTTACATTCACTCTGTAAGAGTGTAATTAACACTCAGTGGTGTAACTTAACCCCAAGTGTTGGTGTTAATAACCAGAGTTATTGTTTTACACTACAGGTGGTGAGTAAAACAGTCCCATTAAAACCACACCCACCATTACCATATTTCCCAGCATGCTCTACTGCAGGTAGATTTTTTGGGGATTGTTTTAATATTTGTGTTTTTGCATGTACATTTATTGATTGATTAATCTTATGTTAAACAAAGATAAATATCTTACATTTTTCTAAACTAATCCAATCAGTTAGTTAGATTTATTGCACACGTTACGGAAATGGTTGTACTGGTTTAAATGGTTTAGGTAGTGTTTTTTTTTTATATTACGTTTCCTGATCTTTTTTATGTCTTGTTGTACATTTGCCCACTGACAAAGAAATGATCAGTCTATAATTTTAATGGTAGGTTTATTTGAACAGTGAGAGACAGAATAACAATCACAAAATCCAGAAAAACGCATGTCAAAAATGTTATAAATTGATTTGCATTTTAATGAGGGAAATAAGTATTTGACCCCCTCTCAATCAGAAAGATTTCTGGCTCCCAGGTGTCTTTTATACAGGTAACGAGCTGAGATTAGGAGCACACTCTTAAAGGGAGTGCTCCTAATCTCAGCTTGTTACCTGTATAAAAGACACCTGTCCACAGAAGCAATCAATCAATCAGATTCCAAACTCTCCACTATGGCCAAGACCAAAGAGCTCTCCAAGGATGTCAGGGACAAGATTGTAGACCTACACAAGGCTGGAATGGGCTACAAGACCATCGCCAAGCACATATACAGGCCCGTCTGAAGTTTGCCAATGAACATCTGAATGATTCAGAGTAGAACTGGATGAAAGTGTTGTGGTCAGATGAGACCAAAATGGAGCTCTTTGGCATCAACTCAACTCGCCGTGTTTGGAGGAGGAGGAATGCTGCCTATGACCCGAAGAACACCATCCCCACCGTCAAACATGGAGGTGGAAACATTATGCTTTGGGGGTGTTTTTCTGCTAAGGGGACAGGACAACTTCACTGCATCAAAGGGACGATGGACGGGGCCATGTACCATCAAATCTTGGGTGAGAACCTCCTTCCCTCAGCCAGGGCATTGAAAATGGGTCGTGGATGGGTATTCCAGCATGACAATGACCCAAAACACACGGCCAAGGCAACAAAGGAGTGGCTCAAGAAGAAGCACATTAAGGTCCTGGAGTGGCCTAGCCAGTCTCCAGACCTTAATCCCATAGAAAATCTGTGGAGGGAGCTGAAGGTTTCAGTTGCCAAACGTCAGCCTCGAAACCTTAATGACTTGGAGAATATCTGCAAAGAGGAGTGGGACAAATCCCTCCTGAGATGTGTGCAAACCTGGTGGCCAACTACAAGAAACGTCTGACCTCTGTGATTGCCAACAAGTGTTTTGCCACCAAGTACTAAGTAATGTTTTGCAGAGGGGTCAAATACTTATTTCCCTCATTAAAATGCAAATCAATTTATAACATTTTTGACATGCGTTTTTCTGGATTTTTTTGTTGTTATTCTGTCTCTCACTGTTCAAATAAACCTACCATTAAAATTATAGACTGATCATTTCTTTGTCAGTGGGCAAACGTACAAAATCAGCAGGGGATCAAATACTTTTTTCCCTCACTGTAACAGCGTCAGCACTAAGCACAGTGTTAACTTAACACTTAAAAGTGTGGACCTGTATAGACACTGGCCCAGTGTTAAATTTAACACAGTCAGTGTTGATTTAACACTGGAGAATTTGCTGTGTAGGGAACTTCAACTTGCAGTAAGACCAAGTATCCTGCAATCAAAGTCATGACTGGGACGGAGCTAGCTCTAATAACTGTGACTACATTCCTTAGAGAGTCAATAAGTGGATTAGTGGTATAGGCTAAGTATGCTTATGAATAAATTACATTACAGTTGACTAGGAATGTCATGCTGATAAAATACATTTACTGAAAATATCGAAAATAAAGGGTTTAAATAAAGCATAGCCATTATTAATAATTCTATAATAATGCTGTTTCAGATACATCAAAAGAAGTTGTAATCAAAATGAGCGCTTATATCCAAATAACAGTCTAACTTCTCTTCATGGTAAGATAAGCTATAAAGCCAATGATAGTTTTTTTAGACACCCAAAGAGAGATGCATAAGAAGGCTTTAGAAAATCTTTTTAACAAGATTTATACTTCCATGAAGACTTAGTTGTGCTGGGACAGAGGTACAGAGCGGCTCTGTTCTGAGCTGCAGTGTAAAGGTCCATCCGGTTCTACAGTTCTAATCTCATCTTACACATGGAGCGCTATGGAACACTACACAGACCAGCTCTCAACAGTGGTGTGTGTGGGTTTCTGTGTGTGCGTTTGTGTGTGTGCATATGGGCGTCCATGCGTCTGTGTTTGAGAGAGACATGGAGGGGAGACAGATGAGATGCCAATGATGTGATCATATGTTCCAAATCAGCTCTAAATCTTCTGTTCTTCTTACAGGGCTGGATCTTAACTTGAGATATGTGTGCCTAGTATGTACTGCGTAGCTAACTCTAATTCCCATCCATACATTAGACTGAACATAATCACGCTGTCTGGGGAGCAAGCAGTTCCCTCAGATAATTTTGTTCTAGTAATTTACCATATTACATGTTACCATCGCTACTGTTACAGATTTCTGTCTTTCGGATGTGTAACCTTAGTGATTTTGACATCATCTATTAGATTCATAGTCTGATAAAACACCCTGTACCGGTGAATCATAATGACAAAAAAGCAGAAGAGAGAGTGAACATGAAGAGAGACGAGAGACTCAGCATGAACACTTGGGGATGTAATGTCCTCAATGTATTCTTTCACAGAAGAAAGGCCTGCTTACAGAAACATGGTACGAGAAGTGAGATCCTGCCTCTATGTTTGTTGCCATGAACACCCACACACCCACTCAGACTCCCGTCTCTGGAGACAGATACACAAGGCTAAACAGATAGCTACTAACAGCAGATAAACCAGACATACATTAATCTGTCTCTCTCCTCTAATCCAAACTGCAGACATAAAAATAAGAAGAGGAGGCAAACCATATCCGTGATCCTTTGACATGTAACTCTAGTCTAAACTCATTTAACATTTAAAAGCAATGACCGAAATAGCAAACATTTCTAATTTGATGGAGAGAGACAAACGTTAGAGACATCGATAATTTGATTGTCCAGAGGGAGAGGGGACTCTCTCTCTCTCCTCATTAAGTAGCATTAGGATGACATAACTACATGTGGGACTAATGACCAGATATTGTAGATCACAGGATCATCATAAGCACCCAGGGGTAAATCAGTCAAACCTGATGGCTAATAGATAGCTTCTCTGTTTGCATCATCTGCTTGGATCACAGGTCTCTTTATGTGATGTTGCTTTGATAAGGAAAATGAATTTATTAGAGCTATAAAAACAGAGTCTGTATAAAGGTTGTTCTTTGGGTTTCTAAATTGGCACCTTTCATTGAAGACTTTTGCGTTCTATGCTCAGGTATATCATCTGCTTCTATCACAGGTTCTAAAGAGGTCACGTTGCTTTACTAAGGCAAATTGCTCAGATTATAAATGGCATCATTTACACAGTTAATAAAGTTTTTATAAGCAGTAATTATTCATAAGCATGATTGAATGTAATTGATCCTAACCCAGGTTGCAGTTGAATTGGTTACTGGTTTGACCCAGACACATTTGCGTCTGTGTCACGCCCTGGCCTTGAGAGGCCGGTTGTTTTTAGTTGGTTTGTCAGGGCGTGAGAATCTATGCTGGAAATTCTGTTTCTGATCTAGGTATTGTATTTCTATGTTTGGCGGGGTGTGATTCCCAATCAGAGACAGCTGTCACTCGTTGTCTCTGATTGGGGATCATACATAAGTAGCCTGTTTGCCTACCTTAGTTGTGGGATCTTGTTCCTGTGTTAGGCTTGTATTGTGTATAGGCTTGGACTTTCATTATGTTTCATTATCTAGTGCTCTGGTCTAGGGCTTTGTTTGCTTTATTTCATGTACGTTCTGTCAAGGTTCAAAGGAAACTGCAGTGGACATGCTGCCAAATACCAATTAACTATACACCGTGGGGTTAGAGCAGAGTAATCTACCCTAATGAATGATGCTGGATCCCATAAAAGTACTCAGCAGGCTCACCCAGGCTCACCCACCATCACCACATCCACATAGGGTAGTTACACTTCAACTCTTACAGTCTCACACAGGCTGCTGCTGCTACAGCTCATAAAAGAGAGCATGAACCATCTGTTAATGTGTGCCAAGAGATACTCGATTGTATTCTATTGTATTCTATTATATTCCAAAAGGGTTCTTCAGCTGTTCCCATAGGAGAATGGGGATAGGGGGAAAAACTTTATACAGTAGAGTATCGTGATATTATTTTTGACTATATTATACTGATTCTATGACTTATCGATTTATTTTGTTGCTAGGTAGTTAACATTAGCTAGCGCTAGCAGGCTGTACCAGCACCAAAACGTCGGTATTTCTTCTTCTATAGCTTGGCCTCAATCTTCTTTTTAAATGGTGAGCCAACATGTTTTCATCTCTTTTATATCCATAACTGATCAAAACTCATTTTTATTATGGGTCTCTCTTGCCCCTCTGTAGCAATATGTTTGGAACATTGAATAGCAATAAAATCACCGTATCAAATCGCAATACATATAGAATTGTGATATATCGTGATACATATCGTATCGGCCCGTAAGTATCGTGATAATATCGTATTGTGAGGTCCCTGGCAATTCCCAGCCCTATAGGAAAACTATTTTTGGTTCTAGGTAGAAGTATTTTTGGTTGCAGGTAGAAACCTTTTGGGTTCCATGTAGAACCCTCTGTGGAAAGGGTTCTACTTGGAACCAAAAGGGTTCTACCTGGAACCAAAAAGGGTTCTTCAAAGGGTTCTCCTATGGGGACAGCCAGATAACCCTTGTAGGTTCTAGATAGCACCTTTTTTTCTAAGAGTGCATGATCGCGTGCTGTTACTTCATACATCTCAATCACACCCATGGAGAGAACAGTGTGGAAGATCAAATCTTCACATTCATTCAATAACACTCTAGGGTCATTTCATGTAATTTCAGCAAGCCATGACACCCACCATGTCAGATTGTTCTGATATCGTTTCTGTAGTTAGGAACAGAAAAGATTAGCATTCCTTCAACATTATTTTGTTGAAATATTATTTGATCTCTGAGAAATTAAGCTAATTGAGTGCACCCAAATTGGCCATTTTCATTTATAGGATTCATATAATATTCAATACATATAGTACCTAATATTCGATTTAGACCAAACCTTTTTCAAACATTGAGTAAGACATGAGACATTCAAAGAAATTGTCAAAAGCCACCCACAGACCCCCCACTCCCCATGCCAATCCCACTCCAACAAATATACAGTATCCGTTCTCTATGTGTGACAAGTTGTATGCGGCTCGGAGTACTGTTTCTTCATCCTATGTAATGTATTCTCAGTGAATTTGGTGATGTTTATTTTTTTTCCTGTTCAGAGAAATTAGTCATTGAAGTTGTTAGGTTTATGTCTCATCATACATCCTGATATTACCAGGTTCTGACCACTAGATGGTGATGTTTCAAATGCAAACTTTTTAGCATTTGTGGCACAAATCCAATGCAAGTCAATGGTATCTATATTAGCATTTTCGCGCTTCATATCCAAATCATCTAGAAGTAACATCGTTGAGCTACAAAATACATTTTTAGTTACTTTAGCATGATTTGCTAATATAGATACCATTGACTTCCATTGAATTTGTGCCACAAATGCTACAAATTCAGCATTTGAAACAGTGGACAACAAAACCAAAGCATGGTTGCTGTCATACTGTACCTTCTCAATAGACTGCTTACAGGGTAAGGAAACCAATATGTAATTTTGTAATTGTCATTTTGTAATCTGAAAATAACAAAATCGCCTAAAAGCAGGAACAGCACCATCTAGTGGTCAGAACATGGTAATACCAGGATGTAGGATGGGACATAAACCTAACAAATTCGATGACTAATTTTTCTAAACAGGTGGAAAAAAAACATCACCAAATTCACTGGGAATACATTAAATAGGATGAAGAAACAATTCTCTGAGCCGCAGCTCCATACTACTTGTCAGACATAGAGAACTGATAGTATATATTCGTTGTTGGGGTGTGATTGGCGTGGGGTGTGAGTGGTCTGTGGGTAGCTTTTGACAAGTTCTTTGGATTACTCATGTCTAACTCATTGTTCGAAAAAAGTTGGGTCCAAATCAGATGTTAGGTACTATATTTATTGAATATTATATGAATCCTATACATTTAAATGGCCAATTTGTATGCAATCAATTAGCTTAATTTCTCAGAGATCAAATTATATTTCAACAAAATAATGTAGCAGGAATGCTAATCTTATCTGTTTCTAACTACAGAAACAATTTCAGAACAATCTGACATGGTGGTTGTTAAAATTCTCTTTCTTGTGCTTTTTGAGGTGGAACAACACTCTTGCCCTGCCCATCGATGGTGTTACAACCAGCTCATTTAGGGTTGGAGTCAGATCTGTTTTCAATTCAGTCAATCGTCCATTGTTTCCTATGAGGATTTTTCCACTTTCTGAACATTTACATTTTAGTCATTTAGCAGACGCTCTTATCCAGAGCGACATACAGTTAGTGAGTGCATACATTTTTCATACTGGCCCCCCGTGGGAATCGAACCCACAACCCTGGCGTTGCAAGCGCCATGCTCTACCAACTGAGCTACAGGAGGGCCAACTGAATTGAAAACTGAACCCTGAAAACATGACCCTAACCCTAGCCATGCCCACTAACCGTGCCCAAAACTTGATCCTAACCGTATTCAGGCACTGGCACACACCACAGCTGAAGTTACTTTACAATGAGTTCCTAATGTACTGTTCTGCACTGTTCATATCTAGGCTAATTACCATAATGTAGTCTACAGTTAAAAAAAACAACATATGGCATGGTGGGAATGTGTTGATTGTATCCAAACAGTCAAATTGGTGATAATATTGCATGCAGATGGATGTGTCTATTTGCGAGACACAGTATGAGTGCCGTATGCAGTGTGTGTATGTGTGTGTGTGTGTGTGTGTGTGTGTGTGTGTGTGTGTGTGTGTGTGTGTGTGTGTGTGTGTGTGTGTGTGTGTGTGTGTGTGTGTGTGTGTGTGTGTGTGTGTGTGTGTGTGTGAGCGTGGGTAGCCTACTTCTGTATGGTGGCCTGGCATATTGAGGAACAGATGGCTTAGAGATGTGCGCCCTCCTTCATTTCCCTCCAAAGAATTTTCCCAATAATTCCCAATTCCCATAAAACCTCCCAGAAAAACTGTTCATCTCTTAGATGCTTCTTTTAGATCACAGATAACAACTCAGCCAAGGGATTAGAAGAAACGGAAAATGCAGATGGCAGATCTCAAATCTCTCAAAAGCACTTGCTCTTTCTTTTCCATCTATTCTTTGACCAGAAAAACATCCATGAAACCAACCCTATTGTCAGTGTTCATGTCATGTTTCAATGGCTTCACCAGGGAAACAGCAGAAAGACAAGACAACCTTATAAAGGATCAATACTTAGGCTTTCAACATCAAGTTAAAGGCTCTCTCAATGGCATGTCCAAATCAGAAACACTGTTAACAGCCTACAAATAAATCCGCTTGAAATATCAAGTGAAATGCTTCTATCAAAATGAAGAAGTTCTCCAAATGTGAAAAGTCTCTTCATGATAAAAAATCATATACCTTAGAATCAACAGTGTAATTTATCCAAATACACAGACCTGAGACCTGTCAGGTGGAGTGGCATTTGGCATGTACCTTTTAAATTCACCATGGTCCCTGTCTTTATTTGTTTGCCAGTGTCAAATATGGCATCGTTGAGTGAATGCACTATAACATCAAATATAGAGTCTACAGTAGCCAGTTACAGACATGCGCTGTGCACACTCCAGTAAAAACCGCTGATAATGCGTATCACACATAAATCATTGCACTTATCAAAATCTATCAATATTCTTCTTCCTTACCTATATGGCAGAAAACCAGGAGCTGCGCAATGGAAATCAGCACTCTGGATACAGTCACTTCCATAGTCTCCGATTCAGCACCAAAACTGAATTTTAAAAGAAAAAACAATAATTGTTGCAAAAAAATCTGAAATTCTGGCGCGGGCGCTAAGATGCTACGCTCGCTTCATACCGACGATGTCGGCGCTCCGGTGCTCCTGCCTCTCTTACCTCCCTGTCTTTCGATCTCTGCTTGGAGGAAACGGAGTGGCTCCACTCTCTCACGTACAACACTGGCTGGGTATGGGATTGGGTATGCGCGCCGCCCACTACTCACACAGGCGCAGCGGGAGGGAAAAAAAACAGATTGTTGAACATACTCTCTGAATGGTGATATGAAAGGGCTACTGACTGGCCAGTGATAAAAGCGAAACGTGCATATTCAGAAGGCTAACAATGACAAATTGCCAATTTAGTGCCTAATGCAACTACACTAAGTTGTGATCTAAATGAAAATAGAGCCAATCAGTATAATTGCATGATGGAGAAGTAAAGACAGGATATTGTCTAGGGGCCTACTATAACAGCTGGGAGATCAGTAGGGCCCTTCCATCATTTACCAATAATAAGGGCCTACGACTGTGCTACTATTCATCTGAATGAAACACTTCAATATTCCTATAGCAATCCAGATCTCAAGTCTCATTCTCTTTCTCCTATGCAGAGTAGGAAGCTGGGAGTTGGATGTTGGTTTGGCCCCATATGAGACCTCTAGGACTGTTGTTCTTATTATATGGTGCTGGGCAACAGGATCTTATAGTCACAAAGAAGGCTCACATTCTCCTTGGCCGACGTGAGTAAGACATTTAAGCATGTTAACCCTCGCAAGGCTTCCGGTCCAGACGGCATCCCAAGCCGCGTCCTCAGAGCATGTACAGACCAGCTGGCTGGAGTGTTTACGGATATATTCAATCTCTCTCTATCCCAGTCTGTTGTTCCCACTTGCTTCAAGATGTTCACCATTGTTCCTGGACCCAAGAAAGCAAAGGTAACTTAACTAAATGACTATTGCCCCGTAGCACTCACTTCTGTCATCATGAAGTGCTTTGAGTGGCTAGTTAAGGATCATATCACCTCCACCTTACCCGACACCCTAGACCCACTACAATTTGCGTACTGCCTCCTCACACTGCACACTGTCCTATCCCATCTGGACAAGAGGAATACCTATGTAAGAATACTGTTAATCGACTACAGCTCAGCCTTCAACACCATTAGTGCCCTCCAAGGTCATCACTAAGCTCGGGGCCCTGGGTCCTAACCCCGCCCTGTGCAACTGGGTCCTGGACTTCCTGACGGGCCGACCCCAGGTGGTGAATGTAGGCAACAAGACTTCCACCATGCTGATTCTCAACACGGGGGGCCCAACAAGGGTGGGTGGTCAGCCCCCTCCTGTACACTCTGTTCACCCATGACTGTGTGGCCACAAACGTCTCCAACACAATCATCAAGTTTGCTGACAACACAACAGTGGTAGGCCTGATTACCAACAATGAGGAGACAGTCTACAGCAGGGTTCCCCAACTGGCGGCCGAATTTGGTCCGCGGGTGGTTTTATTCCCCCCCCCCCAAGTTTTGTGAGCAAACTTTTTTTTTTTTTTGAATAGACTGTAAAAACACCAGGAAATCAGCTCCAAGTGATTTTAATTTAAGAAACATGTTTCCAAGTATTCCCACGCATAATAGAGAGACACGTGATGGTATACAAATGTAAGCAAGGTTTGAAATGATTACAATATATCTGTTTGGGCTTCTTGTGGTCAATTTTCAGTCTACAAAATGTTTGTAATTATGTTCGGTCCCCCCAACCATCCGCTCAAGAAAAAATAGGCTTGCGGTTAAATCTAGTTGATGATCCCTGGCCTACAGGGAGGAGGTGAGGGCCCTGGCGGAGTGGTGCCAGGAAAATAACCTCTCCCTCAACATCAACAACATGAAGGAGGCCGCAGTGGAGAGGGTTTAAGAAGGCGCAACAGCGCCACAGTGGAGAGGGTGAAAAGCTTAATGTTCCTCGGCGTGCACATCACTGACAACCTGAAATGGTCCATTTACACAGACAGTGTGGTGAAGAAGGCGCATCAGCGGCAATTGCACTGTCCGCAACCGCAGGGCTCTCTAGAGGGTGGTGCGGTCAGCCCAACGCATCACTGGGGGCACACTGCCTGCACTGCATGATATCTACAGCACCCAGTGACACAGGAAGGCCAAGAAGATCATCAAGGACCTCAGCCACCCAAGCCACGGCCTGTTCACCATCGAGACAGTACAGGTGCATCAAAGCTGGGACCGAGAGACTGAAAAACTGCTTTTATCTCCAGGCCATCAGACTGTTATACAGTCACCACTAGCCGGCTTCCGCCCAGTACCCTGCCCTGAACCTTAGTCACTGTTACTAGCTGGCTACTACCTGGTACTCTACTCTTGTCTCTCGAGTGGCGCGGTGGTCTAAGAGATCCTGGTTCGAATCCAGGCTCTGTCGTAGCCGGCTGCGACCGGGAGACCCATGGGGCGGCGCACAATTGGCCCAGCGTCGTCCAGGGTAGGGGAGGGAATGGCCGGCAGGGATGTAGCTCAGTTGGTAGAGCATGGTGTTTGCGACGCCAGGGTTGTGGGTTCGATTCCCACGGAGGGCCAGTGTGAAAAAATAAAAATATGTATGCACTCACTAACTGTAAGTCGCTCTGGATAAGAGCGTCCGCTAAATGACCAAAAATGTAAAATGCACCCTAGAGACTGCTGTCCTATATACAGTTGAAGTCGGAAGTTTACATACACCTTAACCAAATACATTTAAACTCAGTTTTTCACAATTCCTGACATTTAATCCTAGTAAACATTCCCTGTCTTAGGTCAGTTAGGATCACCACTTTATTTTACGAATGTGAAATGTCAGAATAATAGTAGAGAGAAATATTTATTTCAGCTTTTATTTCTTTCATCACATTCCCAGAGGGTCAGAAGTTTACATACACTAAATTAGTATTTGGTAGCATTGCCTTTAAAAACTTGGGTCAAACGTTTCGGGTAGCCTTCCACAATAAGTTGGGTGAATTTTGGCCCATTCCTCCTGACAGAGCTGGTGTAACTGAGTCAGGTTTGTAGTCCACCTTGCTCGCACACGCTTTTTCAGTTCTGCCCACAAATTTTCTATAGGATTGAGGTCAGGGCTTTGTGATGGCCACTCCAATACATTGACTTTGTTGTTCTTAAGCCATTTTGCCACAACTTTGGAAGTATTCTTGGGGTCATTGTCCATTTGGAAGACCCATTTGCAACCAAGCTTTAACTTCCTGACTGATGTCTTGAGATGTTACTTCAATATATCCACATCATTTTCCTTCCTCATGATGCCATCTATTTTGTGAAGTGCACCAGTCCCTCCTGCAGCAAAGCACCCCCACAGCATGATGCTGCCACCCCCGTGCTTCACGGTTGGGATGGTGTTCTTCGGCTTGCAAGCCTTCCCCTTTTTCCTCCAAACATAACGATGGTCATTATGGCCAAACAGTTCTATTTTTGTTTCATTAGACCAGAGGACATTTCTCCAAAAAGTACGATATGTGCAGTTATGCCTATGTGCAGTTGCAAACCGTAGTCTGGATTTTTTATGGCGGTTTTAGAGCAGTGGCTTCTTCCTTGCTGAGCGGCCTTTCAGGTTATGCCGATATAGGACTCATTTTACTGTGATATAGATACTTCTGTACCTGTTTCCACCAGCATCTTTAGGAGACAGAACGCGTCTCCTTCCTGAGCGGTATGACGGCTGCATGGTCCCATGGTGTTTATACTTGCGTACTATTGTTTGTACAGATGAACGTGGTACCTTCAGGCATTTGGAAATTGCTCCCAAGGATGAACCAGACTTGTGGAGGTCTACAATAATTTTTCTGAGGTCTTGGCTGATTTGTTTTCATTTTCCCATGATGTCAAGCAAAGAGGCACTGAGTTTGAAGGTAGGCCTTGAAATGCATCCACAGGTGCACCTCCAATTGACTCAAATTATGTCAATTAGCCTATCAGAAGCTTCTAAAGCCATGACATCATTTTCTGGAATTTTCGAAGCTGTTTAAAGGCACCGTCAACTTAGTGTATGTAAACTTCTGACCCACTGGAATTGTGATACAGTGAATTATAAGTAAAATAATCTGTCTGTAAACAATTGTTGGAAAAATTACTTGTGTCATGCACAAAGTAGATATCCTAACCAACTTGCCAAAACTATAGTTTGTTAACAAGACATTTGTGGAGTGGTTGAATTGAATTGGTTTAATGATTCCAACCTAAGTGTATGTAAACTTCCGACTTCAACTGTACATAGTCATTGAACACTGGTCATTTTAATAATGTTTACATACCTGTTTTACACACTTCATATGTATATACTGTATTCTAGTCAAGGCTCATCCTATACAGCGAGGGAAAAAAGTATTTGATCCCCTGCTGATTTTGTACATTTGCCCACTGACAAAGAAATGATCAGTCTATAATTTTAATGGTAGGTTTATTTGAACAGTGAGAGACAGAATAACATCAAAGAAATCCAGAAAAACGCATGTCAAAAATGTTATAAATTGATTTGCATTTTAATGAGGGAAATAAGTATTTGACCCCCTCTCAATCAGAAAGATTACTGGCTCCCAGGTGTCTTTTATACAGGTAACGAGCTGAGATTAGGAGCACACTCTTAAAGGGAGTGCTCCTAATCTCAGCTTGTTACCTGTATAAAATACACCTGTCCACAGAAGCAATCAATCAATCAGATTCCAAACTCTCCACCATGGCCAAGACCAAAGAGCTCTCCAAGGATGTCAGGGACAAGATTGTAGACCTACACAAGGCTGGAATGGGCTACAAGACCATCGCCAAGCTGCTTGGTGAGAAGGTGACAACAGTTGGTGCGATTATTGGCAAATGGAAGAAACACAAAATAACTGTCAATAACTGTCCATGCAAGATCTCACCTCGTGGAGTTGCAATGATCATGAGAACGGTGAGGAATCAGCCCAGAACTACACGGGAGGATCTTGTCAATGATCTCAAGGCAGCTGGGACCATAGTCACCAAGAAAACAATTGGTAACACACTACGCCGTGAAGGACTGAAATCCTGCAGCGCCCGCAAGGTCCCCCTGCTCAAGAAAGCACATATACAGGGCTGTCTGAAGTTTGCCAATGAACATCTGAATGATTCAGAGGAGAACTGGGTGAAAGTGTTGTGGTCAGATGAGACCAAAATGGAGCTCTTTGGCATCAACTCAACTCGCCGTGTTTGGAGGAGGAGGAATGCTGCCTATGACCCCAAGAACACCATCCTCACCGTCAAACATGGAGGTGGAAACATTATGCTTTGGGGGTGTTTTTCTGCTAAGGGGACAGGACAACTTCACCGCATCAAAGGGACGATGGACGGGGCCATGTACCGTCAAATCTTGGGTGAGAACCTCCTTCCCTCAGCCAGGGCATTGAAAATGGGTCGTGGATGGGTATTCCAGCATGACAATGACCCAAAACACACGGCCAACGCAACAAAGGAGTGGCTCAAGAAGAAGCACATTAAGGTCCTGGAGCGGCCTAGCCAGTCTCCAGACCTTAATCCCATAGAAAATCTGTGGAGGGAGCTGAAGGTTCGAGTTGCCAAATGTCAGCCTAGAAACCTTAATGACTTGGAGAAGATCTGCAAAGAGGAGTGGAACAAAATCCCTCCTGAGATGTGTGCAAACCTGGTGGCCAACTACAAGAAACGTCTGACCTCTGTGATTGCCAACAAGGGTTTTGCCACCAAGTACTAAGTCATGTTTTGCAGAAGGGTCACATACTTATTTCCCTCATTAAAATGCAAATCAAATTATAACATTTTTGACATGCGTTTTTCTGGATTTTTTTGTTGTTATTCTGTCTCTCACTGTTCAAATAAACCTACCATTAAAATTATAGACTGATCATGTCTTTGTCAGTGGGCAAACATACAAACTCAGCACTGTATAACTACTGCTGTACACACCTTTTCTATTCATATACTGTCCATACTGTCTATATATTTATATTCCGGACTCAACATTGCTCGTTCTGATATTTCTTAATTTGTGTGTATTGTTTCATATTGTTAGGTATTATGGCACTGTTGGAGCTAGAAACATAAGCATTTTGCTGCACCTGCGATAACAGCGGCAAAATATAAGTACATCAAATCAAATCAAATCAAATCAAATTGTATTGGTCACATGCGCCGAATACAACAGGTGCAGACATTACAGTGAAATGCTTACTTACAGCCCTTAACCAACAGTGCATTTATTTTTAACAAAAAGTAAAAATAAAACAACAACAAAAAAAGTGTTGAGAAAAAAAAGAGCAGAAGTAAAATAAAATAACAGTAGGGAGGCTATATATACAGGGGGGTACCGTTGCAGAGTCAATGTGCGGGGGCACCGGCTAGTTGAGGTAGTTGAGGTAAGATGTACATGTGGGTAGAGTTAAAGTGACTATGCATAAATAATTAACAGAGTAGCAGCAGCGTAAAAAGGATGGGGTGGGGGGGCAGTGCAAATAGTCCGGGTAGCCATGATTAGCTGTTCAGGAGTCTTATGGCTTGGGGGTAGAAGCTGTTGAGAAGTCTTTTGGACCTAGACTTGGCACTCCGGTACCGCTTGCCGTGCGGTAGCAGAGAGAACAGTCTATGACTAGGGTGGCTGGAGTCTTTGACAATTTTGAGGGCCTTCCTCTGACACCGCCTGGTATAGAGGTCCTGGATGGCAGGAAGCTTGGCCCCAGTGATGTACTGGGCCGTACGCACTATCCTCTGTAGTGCCTTGCGGTCGGAGGCCAAGCAGTTGCCATACCAGGCGGTGATGCAACCAGTCAGGATGCTCTCGATGGTGCAGCTGTATACTTTTTTGAGGATCTGAGGACCCATGCCAAATCTTTTCAGTCATGACCTATAAAATTAGATTCGATTTGATTTAGATTTTTGTGGAGGTTTGGCTGAGAGCCTGTTCTCACAATGTGCACCCTTGGATACTTCCACTCTGAAACACACAACAACATGCTACTCCACTGCCCCCCCCTGTTATCCCCTTGCATAAATTAACATAATTTAACAGGGGATTAGCTTTAATTTATGCAGGAAGGATCTGCATTTCACTTGTTGGACCACAACTTTTCAGGTTGCTCAATACAATGTTGTTTTGCTTCTCAAGTTCCGCTGCTCTGTTTGTGTGTGTGTGTGTGTGTGTGTGTGTGTGTGTGTGTGTGTGTGTGTGTGTGTGTGTGTGTGCTTGGCTTGTGACTGAACCTGTGGCTTAGTGGAAGCAACCTGTTGCTAGTGAAGACCTTCCGCTTGGCAGAGAGGAGAGTAGAGGAACAGGGCTAGCTTCCAGGCAGGTCAGTAAAAAGACAACATTCTGTTTTGATGGAGAATAAAGTTGTATTGTATTGTATATGAGACCCACTTACCATTCCCTCACAGACACTGGTGCTACAGCGATAGGGACTAAAACCCTAGACCCGTATAAAACACATGAGATAGATCACATCCTGGATCCCTATCAACCAAGTACGATAGGTATGCTATATCTGGATGGCAGTATTGTGTCGGATTGTCAACAGAAGCCGTTACTACAAAAATGAAGATAGGGCGGAGAGGACCAGAGCTATTGGTCCTCTCCCCATTAGCCCTTCGTGGGCTGGCCTGCAAGTGAGGCTAATCAATTTAAGATAACACATAAAGGGCTTAGTAGAAGTGCATCAATAAAGGGAGTGGATGTGGGATAAGAACCCATTACTGTGTAAATCTTTGGCTACTGGTAAACACCGCATTGTTACAACCAGAGAAAGCTCTAGTTCGCTGCTAGGTGTTCGGTTACTTTGGAGGGAGTCTTTGAATGTGGTGGCTGGAGTCTGGGTGAGAAGGGCCCTGGGATGGGCTCAGTTACTGAGGGAATATAATGGTAGAACACTGCTATCTCCCTAGCTGACCTCACCACACCTGAGATACAGTTACATGTGTTAAATAAACCATGGGAGAGAAAGAGGGACACAAACAGCCAGACTAACATAAGACTGTTTGTCAATGAAGATGAATCCCCCTGGATTTGACCAGCCTAGGCGTCAGCTGTTTCTTGTTTAGCTACGAACAGTATTCTGCTAATCAATGCCAAGCCTTCAGGAAAGCGCAGCATCATCTCTACCCTACTGTATGCATTCAGTGCTTCTTCCTGTTACACGCATAGTAGCACTATTGAGTGCAAGTTAGTAGTAACAGTCAGGTACCCAGACTAGAATTTGACACGGTCCTGTTGGGTCTTTTTAGTCTGTAACAATGTTGTCTTCCTCTCTTCGTCTGCCTTCTTGGCCTCTAAGAAAACCTGAATCTTCTCGCTCCCTGCTGATGTGTCTTCCTCAACTGCCTCAGCCCTGTTTCCATGACACCCTGGTAGGTTGTAGCCGAATGTCAACATTATTGACAGCCAACTGCCGTGCCTGAAGTTCAATATTCCGGACACCCCGTTGCATAACCCCAACGGATCAATGCCTGTCTCAGCCACTCACAGCTAGGCGTGCATGCTAGCAGGCAACAGCACACACCCCTCACTGTCAACTCAGTGTATGTGGCTGCACACACACACATACACACACACCCCTCGCTGTCAGTCTTCTCTGTCTGTGGCTGTGCTGCTCACTGGCTGGCTGCACACGGCAACATCCTCTCAGGCGATGCAGTTTTTTATCGAGTTATGTAACTAAATAGCGTGATCACTCTTTTAAACTATGGGATAAGTCAATATAGCTTTTATGCTGTACTCCATCAACGCTCTAACTAAAGGAGGCAGAAGGGAGCACTACATCTGTACAAAACCCTCTCAAAGCCCCCACAGACTCAGTCAAGCAGTCTGTTTCCTGTGATGGGCCTCAACCAGCCTTCAGTCAGTCATGTACCAGAGAGATGTCTGACTGAGAAGGGACATTTACCTCACAGTGACACTCCAGTCCCTCTGTGTGGGTCTTTGTCCACCTCTACAGCTCCCTCAGTGGAACAGAGAGCTAACAGAGGGCTGAGACAACAGCAGTGGGACAGGAAGCCATAGAGACAGCATCCAGAGTGGAGCAATCGTCTGTGAATCAACAGCAGCAGAAGCAACAGCAACACAGAGCTCCTTCAGTCATTCTCAATGGCCCTCATGTGGCATTCCAGCCAGTCCCTCTCATGTGACATCAGGCTTCCCTGAGCCCAGAGAGAGGAGAGTGGTGTGTGGCAGGGTTTTCATCTGGACCACAGAACTAGAGAGTCAAAGAGTAGCAAGTCAGTGCCAGTCTACCCTCCTGTCTCCACCTCCCTCTAGGGATAAAACAAAGACCGGGGACAACCAGAACCCTGGTCCACTACACAGAAAGAACACACACACACACATGCACGTATGCATACACACATTTACACATAAAACTGAGAGAGGAGCCAAGCCTGTGGTGTTCTTTATCAAGAAGTAGCAGTAGATGCATAGGGCTCTCATATGATGAGCTATCAATCATATTTCCCTGCTCTGCTGGTGAGAAAGAGCCTGGTAAGAACTTTAACCTTTCAGCTTTACATGTTCAGTGATATGCATATGGATTTACTCTAGTGTAGGCTAAGTCCTAATGCTGTACGACAGCTAGTAGTAAATCAGCTGGAGGTCCATGGTTTCCTAGCAACGGGCTAATAGAAGGTTAAAGGCCATTTAAAACCAGTATGACCCTCACACAGCTGGAGAAGAGGCAAAATCACTGCAATATTCCTCAACAATTTACTGAAGAGCCAGACTGACACACAAAGCCTGAATTTTGACATGAAAGATATTGTAATGAGAAGGAATACATAACCTTTCTATAATCTTAATTCTTCTTAATTCCTAAGACATTAAAGCCATTCTGCTCTCGTGCCATGCGCTATTAATGGCAAACTGTAATAATCAGCTATTCTCTTTTCTAAAGCAGCTCTCCTTTTTTCTTCAGGTGTCACATCTCACAAAGGACTTCCTGGGAACTAAGAGTGAGCGTCCTGGTGGGGGGGGGGGGGGGGGGGGGGGGGGGGGGGGCTGCTGGGAATCCAAGTGCCATTTGGCCTTGCTTGCCATTTTGCATGCCTTATTCCTTGGATGTTTACAGTTCTTACGGTTACTTCTCCAGAGAGAATGCAGAACTGCAGAATAAATATTCTGCAGGAATTAGATGTTTCGCTGCTGGGTGATTCTGCAATCACATTGTGGTCTCGAATGTGTTTTGAGAATTTTTGTGAGAATCCAACTCCAGTGAGTTGAGCATTTACTTCAGTGTGTGGGTTTGCAGCCTCCCTTAGTCTGTAACCCTGAAATGGATGGTTGCTGGGCTCCATGGAAACAAGGCACCAGGCAGGCCTATTATATCCACTCTCAGAACAGGGGCAGTGTTCCGTAAAAGCACCCGTGTGCCTCCTCCTTCCTCCCCTCATCCTTTATTCTGTCAGTTCACATCCATGAAAGACTGACCAACTGCACCTTGCCCTAAATTAATTGTTTTGCATATAACCTGCAGTAGCCCCCAGTGTTGTCTTTGATTTGACAATACTGTAGAATCTGGAGGGCCAATGTAACATTAGGCACAGAATCAATCAATCAAATGCATTTTTATAATGCCCTTTTTACATCAGCAGATACTCAGCCTAAAACCCCAAAGAGCAAACAATGCAGAGGCAGAAGCACAGTGAAAAAACTCTGTAGAGGGCAGGAACGTAGGAAGAAACCTAGAGAGGAACTAGGCTCTGAGGGGTGGCCAGTCCTCTGGCTGTGCCAGGTAGAGATTTAAGAGTTCAGTGCCTTCAGAAAGTATTCACACCCCTTTACTTTTTCAAATTTTGTCAACGATCGAAACAAAATATTCCGTAATGTCAAAGCGGAAGAATAATTCTAACATTTGTAAAAAATTACAAATTAAACGCTAATATATCTTGATTAGATAAGTATTTAACCCCTTGAGTCAATACATGTTAGCGATTACAGCTGTGAGTCTTTCTGGGTAAGTCTCTAAGAGCTTTCCACACCACATTGTGCAACATTTGCCCATTATTATTTTCAAAATTCTTCAAGCTCTGTGAAATTGGTTGTTGATCATTGTAAGACAACCATTTTCAGGTCTTGCCATAGATTTTCAAGCAGATTTAAGTCAAAACTGTAACTCGGCCACTCAAGAACATTCACTGTCTTCTTGGTAAGCAACTGCAGTGTAGATTTGGCCTTGTGTTTTAGGTTATTGACCTGCTGAAAGTTGAATTAATCTCCCAGTATCTGGTGGAAAGCAGACTGAACCAGGTTTTCCTCTATGATTTTGCCTGTACTCAGCTTCTTTTTTATCCTGAAAAACTCCCCAGTCCTTAACGATTACAAGCATACCCATAACATGACGCAGCCACCACCTGGATATGGAGAGTGGTACTCAGTAATGTGGCTCCTGAGTTGCGCAGCGGTCTAAGGCACTGCATCTCAGTGCCAGAGGTGGCACTACAGACCCTGGTTCGATCCCGGGCTGTATCACATCTGGCCGTGATTGGGAGTACCGTAGGGCGGTGCACAATTGTCCCAGCGTCTTCCGGGTTAGGGGAGAGTTTGGCTGGGGTAGGCTGTCATTGTAAATAAGAATTTGTTCTTAACTGACTTGCCCTGTTAAATAAAAATTTGATTTACCCCAAACTTAACACTTTGTATTCAGGACAAAAAGTTAATTGCTTTGTCACAGTTGTAGCGGAATGGAAGTTGAAGAAGTTTTATTATGAACACTTGTTTTGTCTCCCTTCTTGCTAGTTGCATCACATGAGAAACTTACGTTTTGTCAAACATCTTTCTTAGACCTGTTTCTGTGAGAACATGAGATTACTGTGTGAAGTGTGCCACCTAGCGGCATCTCAATGCACTCACCCAAAATGAGTGAAAAAACATAGAGATGGATAGAGGACTCATCTTTGAATCTGTGCCATTATAGAGCTCGCCAGCTTGTAGTGTAGTCCTAAAAACCGGAAATGAGTTACCTCTGGTTCGTTCAGCCATTCATATGGGGAAAATGAATAGAGAAAGAATAGGGTTTTGGGATAAACACAGAAAATAAGGTCTGAGGTTAACACAGGCTTAAGAGAGCTTACACGTTTTGTTCTATGAGATAATATTAGTCAGTTAACATGACCTTTTTGAATTAAGAAGCCTTTATGTGCTTTATGTGCTTTTTAAAATTACATAAAGGCTTCAAAATTCACAAAAAGTGACTTTAGCTGATGAAGATTATCTCATAGAACAAAACGTAAAAGATCTCCTAAGCCTTTGTTTACCACAGACCTTCTTTTTGGCGTTTATCCAAAACCCCTAGAAAAACTCCAGTCATTTCCCCATAAGCTATACCTAGCGAACCATGGCGGAGTTAGTGCCTACAAAAAAACACTGCCATTCCTATTGCTGTCTATATCATCTGTGACAGCATGGGCATCTCCATTTTGAAGTAGTCCATTTTCCTCTTCACGATTGGCTGATCACTCCTGATGACCCGGTTGGACACGACTGCAACAGGGTCACCAGGAAGGATCAGCCAATGAAGTTATGCTGTCCCACCCAGTTGACTACATTAAAATGGTGGAAGCCCTCAATGGTGCTGCCCATGCTAATATCAAAGACAGTACAATATGAAGATAGGCTAAAACTGCTTCTCCAATAGAAATCCCTGCTCACACTTGTAGGCGATGTCATGGCGACGTTGGCTAGCTAAGCTTATGAGTAAACACGTCATTGGGTCTAACGCATTTGCAGGCTGTCAAATCAAAGGCACTCCTTCGTTATAAAGTTGTATTTGACGAAAATGAAAAGGTGTCAGTTTGTCACTTTCATGAAGTTGGAGTAATAACATGTTCAACTACTTATGCGTTCGAATATAGGTTGTGCCTTTAGATTTCGAGAAAAATAACAGTTAAGGAATGTTTTTAGTGTATTTTAACCCCAATTTCAATCGTGTCTCATCGCTGCAACTCCCCAACGTGCTCGTGAGGAGAAGGTCAAGTCATGCGTCCTCCGAAACATGACCCGCCAAACCGCGCTTCTTAGCACCTGCCCGCTTAACCCGGAAGCCAGCAACACCAATGTGTCGGAGGAAACACCGTTCAACTGACGACCAAGGTCAGCCTGCAGGTGTAACCGGTGTGAAATGGCTAGCTAGTTAGCGGTGCGCACTAGTAGCGTTTCAATCGGTAAGGTCACTCGCTCTGAAACCTTGAAGTAGTTGTTTCCCTTGCTCTGCGAGGGCCGCGGCTTTTGTGGAGCGACGGGTAACGGTGCTTCGAGGGTGACTGTTGTCGATGTGTGCAGACTGTCCCTGGTTCAAGCCCAGGTAGGGGCGAGGAGAGGGACGGAAGCAACACTGTTACACAGGCACCTGGCCCGACACAAGGAGTCGCTAGACCGCGATGAGCCAAGTAATATGGCTAATATAGCCTTCTGGCCACTAGAGGCCTCTATCATTCTCCATGGTGAAAAATGAACTCTTGCATCATTGAGATGCGACGGAAGTCCTCACGCCACAAGCAGCTGTCCTTGAATGCACAGGGGAAACATGTTACAGAACTGAAAATTACATAATTTAACTGCTCTTTTGGCATTGTTGAACAAACTATTCATACCGGAGTAGTGATATAAACCTTCATGGTGAGTTGTCAAGATTATAACGTGGTAGCATTAGTAGCTATCTTATTTGATAAGTGTTGCTTAGGTTTGGAAACAGATTAGCTAGCTAAACACTTTTTATTCTCGATGAATAAAACGTGTAAATCAGCTAGCTGAAAGCCTTTATAGTATTTCCTTACCTCTGTCGGGAGACTGTAGGATATGAGGACTGTAGGCTAAGAGGAATATGTGCTTTGGTTTTTGCATCACTGATTATAATAGAGCTAGCCAGTTTGTTACTTAGTTACAGTTCGTACAAGGAAATCAGGCAATTTAAATAAATTCATTACGTCGTAATCTATAGATTTCACATGACTGGGAATACAGATATGCATCTGGTTACAAATACTTTTAAAAAATAAAATAAAAGTAGGAGCGTGGATAACAACCAGTCAGTATCTGATGTGAGCCATTTGCCTCATGCAGCGCGACACATCACTTTTGCATAGAGTTGATCAGGCTGTTGATTGTGGCCTGAGGAATGTTGTCCCACTCCTATTCAATGGCTGTGCGAAGTTGCTGGATATTGGCGGGAACTGGAACACACTGTGGTACACCTTGATCCAGATAATCCTAAACATGCTCAATGGGTGACATGTCTGGTGAGTATGCAGGCCATGGAAGAACTGGGACATTTTCAGCTTCCAGGAATAGTCTACAGAACCATGCGTCATGGGGCCGTGTATTATCATGCTGAAACATGAGGTGATGGCGGCAGATGAATGGCACAACAATGGGCCTCAGGATCTAGTTACGGTATCTCTGTGCATTCAAATTGCCATCGACAAAATGCGATTGTGTTCGTTGTCCGTAGCTTATGCCTGCCCATACCATAACCCCACCGCCACCATAGGACACTGTGTTCACAACGTTGACATCAGTAAACCGCTCGCCCACACGACGCCATACACGTGGTCTGTGGTTGAGGCCTGTTGGACGTACTGCCAAATTCTCTAAAACGATGTTGGAGGCGGCTTATGGTAGAGAACCATCCCACTCCTTTAGTCACAGTCCAAATCACATCCCTAAACAGGCTCAGGTGGCTATGAGGACGGCACATTCATTGACAGGATTTCGTGTAATGCCTCTGCTGTAAAATCCCTGGTCCCCAAAAATCGCTCAGGCGCACTCACAACGATGCCTTTTTTCTCTGATTTCCTTTCTGTTTGCGCTGTGCTGTTGATAACCAATGCAATAAATGAACCAATGCAATAAACGAATCCTGACATGCAACCCTCTGTTGACAAGGAATATTATCAGCTATGTCCTCCGGTGCCATTCTCAAAAGGGAGAGACTCTTCATCAAAAACAATAGAATGGATGGAGTGGGTTCCTCACTCCATACATTTAAATTTTAGTCATTTAGCAGACGCTCTTATCCAGAGCGACTTACAGTTAGTGAGTACATACATTATTTATTTTTATTTTTCATACTGGCCCCCTGTGGGAATCGAACCCACAACCCTGGCGTTGCAAACGCCATGCTCTACCAACTGAGCTACCTGCCGGCCATTCCCTACCCTGGACGACGCTGGGCCAATTGTGCGCCGCCCCATGGGTCTCCCGGTCGGCCGGCTACGACAGAGCCTGGATTCGAACCAGGATCTCTAGTGGCACAGCTAGCACTGCGATGCAGTGCCTTAGACCGCAGTGCTTTAGACCACTGCGCCACTCGGGAGACTATGCAGGTGCATCCACCATGCAGGTCAGTCGGTGTGCACCAACCACTTGACCCAATTCTTCACATACAGTGCATTTGGGAAGTATTCAGACCCCTTAACTTTTTCCACATTATGTTACGTTACAGCCTTATTCTAAAATGTGTGTGTGTATATATATATATATATATATATATATATATATATATATATATACAGTGGGGAGAACAAGTATTTGATACACTGCCGATTTTGCAGGTTTTACTACTTACAAGCATGTAGAGGTCTGTAATTTTTATCATAGGTACACTTCAACTGTGAGAGATGGAATCTAAAACAAAAATCCAGAAAATCACATTGTATGATTTTTAAGTAATTAATTTGCATTTTATTGCATGACATAAGTATTTGATACATCAGAAAAGCAGAACTTAATATTTGGTACAGAAACCTTTGTTTGCAATTACAGAGATCATACGTTTCCTGTAGGTCTTGACCAGGTTTGCACACACTGCAGCAGGGATTTTGGCCCACTCTTCCATATAGACCTTCTCCAGATCCTTCAGGTTTCGGGGCTGTCGCTGGGCAATACGGACTTTCAGCTCCCTCCAAAGATTTTCTATTGGGTTCAGGTCTGGAGACTGGCTAGGCCACTCCAGGACCTTGAGATGCTTCTTACGGAGCCACTCCTTAGTTGCCCTGGCTGTGTGTTTCGGGTCGTTGTCATGCTGGAAGACCCAGCCACGACCCATCTTCAATGCTCTTACTGAGGGGAGGAGGTTGTTGGCCAAGATCTCGCGATACATGGCCCCATCCATCCTCCCCTCAATACGGTGCAGTCGTCCTGTCCCCTTTGCAGAAAAGCATCCCCAAAGAATGATGTTTCCACCTCCATGCTTCACGGTTGGGATGGTGTTCTTGGGGTTGTACTCATCCTTCTTCTTCCTCCAAACACGGCAAGTGGAGTTTAGACCAAAAAGCTATATTTCTGTCTCATCAGACCACATGACCTTCTCCCATTCCTCCTCTGGATCATCCAGATGGTCATTGGCAAACTTCAGACGGGCCTGGACATGCGCTGGCTTGAGCAGGGGGACCTTGCGTGCGCTGCAGGATTTTAATCCATGACGGCGTAGTGTGTTACTAATGGTTTTCTTTGAGACTGTGGTCCCAGCTCTCTTCAGGTCATTGACCAGGTCCTGCCGTGTAGTTCTGGGCTGATCCCTCACCTTCCTCATGATCATTGATGCCCCACGAGGTGAGATCTTGCATGGAGCCCCAGACCGAGGGTGATTGACCGTCATCTTGAACTTCTTCCATTTTCTAATAATTGCACCAACAGTTGTTGCCTTCTCACCAAGCTGCTTGCCTATTGTCCTGTAGCCCATCCCAGCCTTGTGCAGGTCTACAATTGTATCCCTGATGTCCTTACACAGCTCTCTGGTCTTGGCCATTGTGGAGAGGTTGGAGTCTGTTTGAGTG